ACACCACATATGACCACCGAATCGACTGAAAAATATTCTGCTGAAGGAACTACTCCGACCTATTTGAAGGACACAAAACGTCCAACAACATTATCTGAAGAAACTACTATGATTTCATTCGAAACAAGACCAACTGATCGGGAGAGTTTCCCTTCAACTGCAGAACAGACGACTGAACAAGAAACTGGAACTACTCCTACTGAAAGAACACATTCCGAAGGAACAACCTTCATACCTATTGCTAACACTTCAAGAACCTCTTCTGGGGAAACAACTACACAACCTTACAAAACGGACCCCACTGCACAAAGCAGTTCAGTGGAGTCCACAGGTTCTACTCTGAGTTATGAAACGACAACATCACATGTGACAACCGAATCGACTGAAAAATATTCTGCTGAAGGAACTTCTCCGACCTATTTGAAGGACACAAAACGTCCAACAACATTATCTGAAGAAACTTCTACCATTTCGTTCGAAACAAGACCAACTGACCGGGATAGTTCCCTTTCAACTACTGAACAAACGACTAGACAGGAAACACAAACAATGCCTACTGAACGAAAACACTCTGAGGGAACCACTTTCACACCTCTTGCTAAGATTTCAACACCTTACTCTACGGAAACAACTACACAATTCTACAAAACGGGCCCCACTGAAGAAAGTAGATCAGTGGAGTCCACAGGTTCTACTCTGAGTTATGAAACGACAACATCATATGTGACAACCGAATCGACTGAAAAATATTCTGCTGAAGGAACCACTCCGACCTATTTGAAGGACACAAAACGTCCAACAACATTATCTGAAGAAACTTCAACGATTTCGTTCGAAACAAGACCAACTGACCGGGATAGTTCGCTTTCAACTACTGAACAAACGACCAGACAGGAAACACAAACAATGCCTACTGAACGAAAACACTCTGAGGGAACCACTTTCACACCTCTTGCTAAGATTTCAACACCTTACTCTACGGAAACAACTACACAACCTTACAAAACGGGCCCCACTGAACAAAGCAGTTCAGTGGAGTCCATAGGTTCTACTCTGAGTTATGAAACGACAACATCATATGTGAAAACCGAAATATCGACTGAAAAATCTTTTTCTGAAGGAACTGCTCCAATCTATTTGAAGGACACAAAACTTCCAACAACATTATCTGAAGAAACTACTACGATTTCGTTAGAAATAAAACCAACTGATCGGGAGAGTTTCCCTTCAACTGCAGAACAGACGACTGAACAAGAAACTGGAACTACTCCTACTGAAAGAACACATTCCGAAGGAACAACCTTCATACCTATTGCTAACATTTCAACAACCTCTTCTGGGGAAACAACTACACAACCTTTTAAAACGGGTCCCACTGAAGAAAGCAGTTCAGTGGAGTCCACAGGTTCTACTCTGAGTTATGAAACGACAACATCATATGTGACTGAACGAAAACATTCTGAGGGAACCACTTTCACACCTCTTGCTAAGATTTCAACACCTTACTCTACGGAAACAACTACACAACCTTACAAAACGGGCCCCACTGGAGAAAGCAGTTCAGTGGAGTCCACAGGTTCTACTCTGAGTTATGAAACGACAACATCATATGGGACAACCGAAAAATCGACTGAAAAATCTTCTTCTGAAGGAACTACTCCAACCTATTTGAAGGATACAAAACTTCCAGCAACATTATCTGAAGAAACTACTACGATTTCATTCGAAAGAAGACCAACTGATCGGGAGAGTTTCCCTTCAACTGCAGAACAGATGACTGAACAAGAAACTGGAACTACTCCTACTGAAAGAACACACTCCGAAGGAACAACCTTCATACCTATCGCTAACACTTCAACCACCTCTTCTGGGGAAACAACTACACAACCTTACAAAACGGGCCCCACTGCAGAAAGTAGTTCAGTGGAGTCCACAGGTTCTACTCTGAGTTATGAAACGACAACATCATATGTGACTGAACGAAAACACTCTGAGGGAACCATTTTCACACCTCTTGCTAAGATTTCAACACCTTACTCTACGGAAACAACTACACAACCTTACAAAACAGGCCCCACTGAAGAAAGCAGTTCAGTGGAGTCCACAGGTTCTACTCTGGGTTATGAAACGACAACATCATATATGACAACCGAAAAATCGACTGAAAAATCTTCTTCTGAAGGAACTACTCCAACCTATTTGAAGGACACAAAACTTACAACAACATTATCTGAAGAAACTACTACGATTTCAATAGAAATAAAACCAACTGATCGGGAGAGTTTCCCTTCAACTGCAGAACAGACGACTGAACAAGAAACTGGAACTACTCCTACTGAAAGAACACACTCCGAAGGAACAACCTTCATACCTATCGCTAACACTTCAACCACCTCTTCTGGGGAAACAACTACACAACCTTACAAAACGGGCCCCACTGCAGAAAGTAGTTCAGTGGAGTCAACAGGTTCTACTCTGAGCTATGAAACGACAACATCATATGTGACAACCGAAAAATCGACTGAAAAATCTTCTTCTGAAGGAACTACTCCAACCTATTTGAAGGACACAAAACTTCCAACAACATTATCTGAAGAAACTACTACGATTTCAATAGAAATAAAACCAACTGATCGGGAGAGTTTCTCTTCAACTGCAGAACAGACGACTGAACAAGAAACTGGAACTACTCCTACTGAAAGAACACACTCCGAAGGAACAACCTTCATACCTATCGCTAACACTTCAACCACCTCTTCTGGGGAAACAACTACACAACCTTACAAAACGGGCCCCACTGCAGAAAGTAGTTCAGTGGAGTCAACAGGTTCTACTCTGAGCTATGAAACGACAACATCATATGTGACAACCGAAAAATCGACTGAAAAATATTCTTCTGAAGGAACTACTCCGACCTATATTAAGTACACAAAACGTCCAACAACATTATCTGAAGGAACTACTACGATTTCGTTCGAAACGCGTCCAACAGAACAAGATAGTTCTTTTTCAACTTTCAGAGGTTCTATTCTGAATTATGACACGACAACTTCAGTTGTGACAACCGACCAACCAACACTGCAAACGGCACCAACAATACCGACTGAAAAATTTTCATTCGAAGGAACTACTCCGATGGACGCAAAATTTCCAACAACATTAAGTGAAGAAACTACTACGATTTCGTTCAAAATGCGTCCAACTGAACGGGATAGTTCCATTTCAACTACTGTACATATGACTGAACAGGATACTGAATCTATTGCAACTGAAAGAATATATTCAAAGGGATCATCATTAATACCAACAACTGAAACTTACACAACAATCCCCACTCAGGGATTTACTTCTAAGGATACAACTCCCGCTCCTCTGACTGTTGGAACGACGACTGTTAATTTAATGACTCCCTTCTTTTATACATCAATGCGATATCCTGCAGATGTTACTACCGAAAAGATATATTTTGCAAACCACACGCAATTCCCATATGATGTTATAAATACAACCGAAGCGCTAGTGACAGATAGTACCACACCCGAACAGTTTTTGAAATGTAGGACAATGTACGACTGCTTAGACGACGAAATATGTTTGAAGACCGTTTGTATAAGACCTTGTGAGCATTATCAATCTATCTGTGCAACTACAAATTTTACTGTTTGTCGAACATTAAACCACACCGTTTTGTGCCTTTGTGATACCACCGCAGATGTAAATAAACCAGATTGTTATATAAATGCAGGTAACTAAGTTTGTGTAAATTATTATTAAGTTTTGATATCAATTCAATTGTGTTAAATTAAATGAATGAATTGCAATGAACCAAAGGTTTTCGGTGAAATTCTATGACATTGTTGTGCCAACTACATTAAAGCCAATAGATCCGGCAAAAACGTAGTAGCCCTCTAGCATTGAATGTCATTTTATTATCTACGGACCCAGCCACCTTTTTGGCGGACACCTGCATGTTTTTGTTTATGTTCTCGGAAACTCCATGTGTTTATGCGGATGGAAAACCACCTTTTCAGCCACATTTGTTCTCTCTCCGATTCTTCTGCTTCTTTAGCTGTTTTATAAGCTAAGGCTTGCACCACAAACACCTATTTATCACCATCACCCTTAGCACCATGTCGAAGTTCTCCAATTTTGAATGGTGTGGACAACAACATGCGCTTTATATGTATAGTATACCATGTTCGTTTGTTTCTGTTTCATGCACCGACCAAACGAAACTCTCTTATAAGCGCAATCGTTTGCATGTCTTTTACGTTGCTCGTTCATAATAGTTGCCTGCCTGTTCGCCTGCCTGCTAGTCCAGTGAACCATTTTTTCTGTTGTGTGCCCAAAATATCGTCATGCCCTTTCTCACGCCCTACATCACTTTACATTATCTTCGTACTCCCTTTTAATATGTTCGATTTGCATGTTAAGTCAATAAAATGTGTACGCATTTTGTGTTGAATATGTAAATACTCGTAGAAGTTTGTATATTTGTTTTTTAAAGTATAGTATATGTTTGTTATCTGTGTAAGTGTAAATGTTATAATACAATATAATTTAAATTAACCAATGCATGTGGTGTTATGTTTACTAACAAGATCCTGGTGTGATTGCTGAAGGCTTTTATAATGCTTACTAAGTGCAAATACTATTTATACTTAGCTTACTTGCATGTGTATACGTTGTTTTGCGACTGCTATTAACGAGCTAAACTAAACAATTAAAGTTATTTGATAAGGCTGCTACTATCCTATATGCAAATTGGAACAAAAAAACATCACGTAAATCCAAAAATGCAATTTTTACTAACTGCATTAAATATATGGAGAAAAATATGCTTTAAAACAGGATATTTAATTATGTTTAACACATTACTGAATTTGAGCCGATATATTCTCAACAGACACACTATGTTGTGCTAAAAAAGCTTGCTTAGATCCATATATATATTCCTAAGTAATATGTTAATTTTCAACGTTTTTCAAATGCACGAATAGAAATCGGTTGCACATCTAGCGATGAATGCCCCACCCAACAGGCATGTGTAAATGCACTCTGTGTGGATCCTTGCTCGTATGAGAATCCCTGTGGTCGAAGCGAAGATTGTCGAGTCATTGAACATCAGCCTGTTTGTTCTAAAGGTGGGTATGCCAAGGCATTTTTATTTTACTTTTTTTTTTAAATGTACGTATATATGTCAAATTATAGTGTGTGAATGTCAACGTAAGTCTGATTGCCGTAATGGATTCGAATGTGATGGGTGCCACTGTCGTGATGGTAAGCATAATTGTATAAATTTAATAGACCGATTTTAATTTATATGTACATGATTGTGTAGCAACTGGTCGTACGCCTGGCTGCGAACACTGTCCTCCTGGTGCCAATTGTGATCCCACAACTGGCGCTTGTATTAAAGGTAAGTTCCAGTTTTCTGCAATTTGTATGATATCTATATATGTATATAAAGCAATAAAAATCGAATAAAATATTATTACTTTTATTAACAAATGTAAATAAATCTTGTATATATCTGTACAGTATATTAACAATCCTTTACCCCTGTAAATATATCTCTCTCCCTAGCTAATGTAACAATAACAACTAGCACTACCAACAAAACCACAAAGAAACCAACGTCAACATCAACAATATTCAATGCAAAAACCACAGCTAACCCAAACATTGGCCCCAAAACGACGCCCAGCAGCGATGCGACTACTCACACTACCACCAATCTTAGCAATGAAACGAGCACAATCATTACCACTACTAACAAAACTACTGCTGGTCCAATAACATCGCACATCACAACAATTAGAACAAATACAGAGAGTACGACAGCAAAATCAGGTCACACGAAAGGCTATCGCGATGGTGAAAATAATATTACCGATACACCCACACCTAGACCAGCAACAACGGCTACTACAACAGCTAGAACTACATTACGTGGTGAAGATAATATGGGCAGTAGTGATAGGCGTACAACAACGCCAAAAATGAAGACGACACGTCTCGATACATCAAATGAAATACCAGAAACTACAACATTAACAAGCAAATCTGCACTACCCACTGAGATGCCAGCAGTAGCGGGCACAACTATGGACATTTTTGAAATACCTATCACAACCCCTGCCCCAGTGGAGAGCACTACAGATATCAAAATAATTAACCAATGTACAGTAGATACTAACTGTGCTTCTAACGAGCACTGTAAACTGGGGAGTTGCCAGAAAAAAGGTATATGTTATGTTTGTAACGCTTTTTAAGTAAACTTCGACAAATTCGATGAAAGTTGAGACTTTATTTTCAAGTTTTATTAATAACTTCTAAAATAAGTACGGGCCTATAGGTTTAGAATTTAAAGGCCTTTTCATTAATCAGGCAATTTTAAGAGATTTCCAATATAGATAATGAAGTCTATATATAAGATAAAACATAAATAAGTATTACAAACTATACCTTTCCAAATTTGTACATAAAATTGTAAAAATTCAGCTGTTTGTATATATGCACAAAATTCTCACTCGTTTTTAATTGTATTTAAATCATATAATCCTTCAGCCTAACAAAAATAATAACTCTAACAATAATACTATTCATTTCTAACAAGTAGAACCATCCGGCACACCGAAAACCCCAGAACCTTGCCAATCCAACAACGATTGTATTGAAAGCGAGGCCTGTTATATGGGCTTGTGTCATGATCCTTGTGAGTTTGCAAAAATCTGTGCAGCAAGCGCAAAATGTACGGCTAAAGGTCACCGGCCGATTTGCACTTGCCCTGAGGGCCATGAGGGCAATCCAATGATCAAATGTGCCCCAACATTGAGTTCAAGTAAGCAATAATCATAACACTAACCATTAAGCATTAATACAACCAATCATGAAAACAATTTAATTTCGATCGGGTTCGTTGAACGTAATTTTGGAGTTTAATATAATTAGTAATTATTATTATAATAAAATAGAGTGAAGTATATTCTTCTTACGCGCCGGGTTTTTATATTCCACAGTGGAATGCACAGAAAACTCTGACTGCGGAATTACTGAGGCCTGTGTTAATCAACGTTGTCAACACCCATGCGATGTTCACGACCCATGTGCCAAAAATGCGGTTTGTATCAACACCAATCATGCAGCTGATTGCAGCTGCATGGATGGATATGAAGGCAATGGTCTTGTTGGCTGCCAACCAGGTTAGTAAGATATTAGTGTGTTAATCCCTGCAAATAGAATGCACTGATTGCTAATTAAACTCTGATAATGAGCAACAACTATTTTTTGTTTTCAAACCTCTTTCTTTCATACACTGTACAAATTCCCGTACACCGTCACTGCCTCATGTACAAAATCATACTGTCTAACACTTGAACTCGGGCAAATCAAAAATAAATAAATAAACCAACACCCAAAAAAAATATTATAAATACACAAAAATGTCTCGCACAACACCATAACCAAATAAACTTCAGCACGCACCCAAGTCTGCCAATACAACGAAGACTGCCCACCAAATAAGCTTTGTGATCGCCTCAATCGTCGCTGCATCAATCCATGTCAGGAGGATTCATGTGGCGAAAATGCAGAATGTATTGCCATTAATCATGGTGTCGATTGTCGCTGTTTGCCTGGACATTTTGGTAATGCTTATGTGCAATGCCAGCAGCTACAAGGATGCCGCGCTGACTCGGAATGTGATGCCAGCCAGGCCTGCATAAATGAAAAATGTGCATCACCCTGTCAGTGTGGTGCTTTTGCGCTATGCGATGTCATTAATCATCGTGCCGTGTGCAAATGTCCTCCTGGTTACAATGGCAACCCCAAATTAGCTTGCAGTCCACCACAAAATCCTTGCGAGCCAAACCCATGTGGCCTCAATGCACTATGCGAACTAGACAACGGCAATCCAATTTGCTACTGTCCAAAAGGTCTTACCGGAAATCCATTCAAAAACTGCAGTAAGTTTATTTAATATGCTACACTAATACAAACAGTGATATATCCGTTTTACAGTTCCTGAGGGCGATGAGTGCACACCAAATCCATGTGGTCCCAATTCTGGATGTCGTCGAGTTGGTGGTGCACCAGTGTGCTTCTGTCTACCCGAGTATGAGGGTCAACCACCACTTATTGCTTGTGAGCTGCCCTCAAACCCATGCGAGCCTTCACCATGTGGCCCTAACACCCAATGTTCAGTACTTAAGAATGGTTTCTCAAAGTGTACATGTCTGCCTGGCTATGTCGAGAGTCCAAATACGATACGCGGATGTGTTGAGCCCATTAATCCTTGCGATCCAAATCCTTGTGGAACTGGCGCTATTTGTGACTCTTCACGTCAACCTGTTTGCTATTGTCCAGACAATAAGATCGGAAACCCCTTCAGATTATGCGAAAAGCCGGCCGTTTCGATTGAGCTCTGTCAGCCAGGTCCATGCGGACGCAACGCCGACTGCTATGTTACTGGAAATCGTGAAGAGTGCTACTGTCGCTCCGGGTATGTTGGTGACCCTTATCAAAGCTGCCGCGAGCCAAGTCGCACAGTGTGTGATCCTAACCCATGCGGTCCAAATGCAAAATGCGTGGTTACTGGCGATGGTCAAAATGCATGCATATGTCCAGATGGATTATCCGGCGACCCCACATCACTCATTGGCTGCCACGGTTACGAATGTCAAGTGGACTCTGATTGCCCGAGCAGCAAAGCCTGTATGGGTTTTCATTGTTACGACCCTTGTCCGGGAGCTTGCGGTCAAGGTGCCAATTGCCGTGTAGAAGAGCACCACCCAGTATGCTCCTGTAATTCTGGTTTGACTGGCAATCCGGGCGTACGCTGCTATGCCCTCGATAGACCTAAGTCTAATGCATGCGTTCCTAGCCCTTGTGGCAGGAACAGCGAATGCAAGCTACTAAATAATCGGGCTGTATGTTCCTGCTTACCAGGCTACTTGGGCGATCCACAGTCTGGTTGCAATCCAGAATGTGATATTAACTCGGATTGCGGAGAGGCTTTGTCCTGCATTAATCATAAGTGTGTGGACCCCTGTGCTGGAACCATCTGTGGCATTAATGCCATATGCAACGTACGTCAGCATACCCCAATCTGTCACTGCTTGGATGGTTTTACTGGTGATGCCTTCCTGCAATGTGTGCCCATTGGGATATTAAAAAATATAACGCGTGATCCTTGCGCTCCATCACCTTGTGGTCCACAAGATGTGTGCTCAGTCTATGGTGATGGCGTTGCTCTGTGCGATCCTTGCTTTGGTGCGGATGCTCAACAAAATCCTCGTTGCCGACCTGAGTGCCTCACAAACTCTGATTGTCCGTTTGACCGTGCTTGTTTGAGCCAACGTTGCTTAGATCCTTGCCCAGGGTCATGTGGTCGAAATGCGATTTGTAATACCTATGAGCACAATCCGATATGTGCTTGTCCAACAGGCCTCTATGGAAATCCCTATGACCAATGCTCACCCCCATCCCCTATTGTGCCAACTCCTTCGCCAAGCTGTGCCAAATTGCAATGTGGACCCAATGCTGACTGTAAACGTCTTAGTGGCGGATTAGCTTGCGTTTGCCGTAAAGGTTACTTTGGAGATCCTCAACTGGGTTGTCGACCCGAATGCGTACTAAACAGTGATTGTCCGGCTGATAAATCTTGCGTAAACTCAAAATGTACGGATGTCTGCATTGGCGTGTGTGGAATTAATGCTATTTGTCGTGCCGTCAATCATGCACCAGTTTGTGTGTGCGCCGAGGGATTCAGCGGAGACGCATTCCTTTCATGCAGTCCTTATTACTTGCCCCCATCTGTAACACCCACAGAGCGTCCACGAAACCCATGTGAACCATCGCCTTGCGGTCCGAACTCACGCTGCCTCGCATCTGCCAATGGGTACGCTGCATGCTCATGTTTGCCTAATTTCAAGGGTGCCCCACCAGTCTGCCAGCCAGAGTGCATTGTAAGCTCTGAATGTCCATTGAATCAAGCTTGTCTAAATCAACGCTGTGCAAATCCTTGCCCTGGAACATGTGGTGTGGGAGCACGTTGTGAGGTCCTCAATCATAATCCGATATGCTCTTGCGATCAAAACTTCGAAGGCGATCCGTTTGTTTCATGTTCTCGCATACCAGAAAAACCAGAGGGAAAAACACCAGAGAATCCTTGTGTGCCATCGCCTTGTGGACCTAACTCTATATGCCAAATCAAACAGAATCGCCCAGTATGCTCTTGTGTAGCTAACTATATCGGCAGCCCACCATACTGTCGACCAGAGTGTACACTAAGCAGCGAATGTCCTGCCGATAAGGCGTGCATTCAAGAGAAATGTCAAAATCCATGCTCCAACACATGCGGACACAATGCTCGCTGCACAGTTGTGGCTCACTCGGCACATTGCAGCTGTGACCAAGGATATGAAGGAGATGCATTTGTTGGTTGCTCCAAAGTAATTGAAGAAAGTAAGTTTTCCATTAAAACATTAACTTACAAGATCAACACCTAATTTTCAAATTTGTATAGAACCACAAGATCATATAAGTCCCTGCTACCCGAATCCTTGCGCCGAAAACGCCGTGTGTACTCCACACAATGGCGCTGCACGCTGCAGTTGCATTGAACCCTATTTTGGCGACCCATACAGTACTGGCTGCAGACCAGAGTGCATTTACAACTCAGAATGTCCTTCGCCACTTGCGTGCATTAAGCAACACTGCCGAAATCCTTGCATAGGTGCCTGTGGTGCCAATGCTGAGTGCGCAGTCGTCAATCATTTACCGACATGCAGCTGTGAACGTGGTTTTGAAGGTGATCCATTTATCGGCTGCAAGCGTACACCAATTGGTCCAGTTAGTGTATGTGAACCTAATCCGTGCGGCCCAAACAGTATATGCCGCACTGTGGAAGGACATCCTACATGTAGCTGCCAAGTTGGCTATTTTGGCGCGCCACCAACATGCAGACCCGAATGTGTAGTTAGCTCTGAGTGCAGTCAAGACTTGGCGTGTATTCATCAAAAGTGCGCTGATCCTTGCAGCGGAACTTGTGGGTTTAATGCCAAGTGTCAAGTACTTAATCACAATCCAATCTGTTCATGTCCGAAAGACTTCATAGGCGATCCATTTGAGCAATGTGTACCAAAACGTAAGTAATAAGAGACATAAATAAACGCAAGCTTTAACATACGATCTTTTTACTAAAAGCTCCAGAACCAGAGCGCAAGGTGAATCCTTGTATACCAAGCCCTTGTGGGCCTAATGCCCAGTGCCGTGATATCAATAACCGTGCTGAGTGCTCTTGCGTAGCTGGAATGTTCGGTGCACCTCCTAATTGCCGACCTGAGTGTGCCATTAACCAGGATTGCCCGTCGAATCGCGCTTGCATACGGCAGCGCTGCGAAGATCCTTGTATCGGAACTTGTGGTTTCAATGCTCTGTGTACAACACAGCATCATCAACCAAAGTGCAGTTGTCTTGAAGGTTATGAAGGCGATCCATACACTGGATGCAGTATGCATCAAAGTGAGTACATCATTTTTCATTTAAGAACATTCCCTATAAGTGCGCAATTAATTGAGCACAATTTTGCCTTTAATGTTGTTTTATTTCTCAATATGTTTCTAGGATATGGTTATTGGTATTTGTATACTTGTAATATCATGCATGTCTACATTATGTACAAATTTTTCATCTCATATTTTAGGTTGAGAATGCTATCTATTTTACGTATAAGGCTTATCTACAAATAAGTGTTCAACAGTCAAAGCATTTTGATTTAACTATTGAACATTGATACGTAAAAAAAGCATGAAAAAATATTTGTTTATTTTTAGAGTATACTTTTTTGTTACTATGTAAGCCCTTTACCGGTGTTTTTATTGTAAATATCATCTTACTGCTTCCTTATCACTATCTTGCATATATTTAGTCGTGGTGCCCGACATTCCGAATGACCCATGCAATCCATCGCCATGTGGTGCGAATGCCATTTGTCGCGTACGTAACGGTGCTGGTTCATGCAGCTGCATTCAAAACTATTTTGGTGATCCCTACATCAATTGTCGCCCTGAATGTTTACAAAATAGCGACTGTCCTACCAACAAGGCTTGCATAAATATGAAATGCCGAGATCCATGTCCCAACGCCTGTGGTTTTGATGCTATTTGCCATGTAGCACATCACCAACCTGTATGCAGATGTGAATCTGGGTTTAGCGGAAATCCACTGCGCGCTTGTATTAAAATTCCATCAAGTATGAAAATATACGGGCTATTCAAATATTTAAGAAATAACACCCCCTTTTTAATGACTCAGATATGTACCTACCATTACCCAAGGACCCATGTAGACCTTCGCCATGTGGCCTCTTTAGCAGTTGTCATAATGTGGATAATCGGGCGGTGTGCGCCTGTTTACCTAATTACTTAGGAAGTCCTCCCAACTGTAAGCCTGAGTGTGTTACAAGTGCGGAATGTCCTTCGGATAAGACTTGTATCAATCAACGCTGCCAAGATCCATGCCCAGGAACTTGCGGCTACAACGCGCTTTGTCGAGTGACAAACCATTCCCCAATCTGTAGTTGCTTCGAGGGCTACACTGGCGATCCTTTCCACCAATGTGTACTAAAAAGAAGTACGTGCTGTTTAGTATCTGTACAACATGAGAAATGCAAACAAATTTTTGAATTTTTATAGAACCAACGCCAATAGAACCTATAGCACCATACAACCCCTGTGTACCTACACCTTGCGGTCCAAACTCACAATGTCGTATTACAAGCAATGGAGCTGTTTGCTCCTGTATAGCTAATTACATAGGACGTCCGCCTGCATGCCGACCGGAGTGCACTATTAACTCAGAGTGTGCCTCCAATATGGCCTGTATGAATGCACGCTGCGCAGATCCCTGCGCCGGTTCTTGTGGCAACAATGCACTTTGCCATGTCAGCTCTCATACACCAATGTGCCTTTGTGAAGCTGGTTTCACAGGCGATCCGTTCACCGGCTGCTATCAGATCATTGAAAGTAGGTTGATTTTCACTAGTAAAAAAAATATATGCACTGAAATGCATGATTCCGCATTGCAGCTCCAATTGAGAAAGTTCAGCCGTGCCGACCAAGTCCTTGTGGCTTAAATTCAATATGCGAGGAACGCAATCTCGCGGCAGCCTGCAAATGCATACCCGAATACTTCGGTGATCCATATATTGAATGTCGTCCCGAGTGTGTAATCAATTCCGATTGTCCCAAGTCTCATGCTTGCATCAATCAAAAATGTATTGACCCGTGCCCTGGTATGTGCGGGCATAACGCTGAATGCGGCGTCATCAACCATGCGCCCAACTGTGAGTGTCTCCCGGGCTATACCGGAAGTCCAATTGTCGGCTGTCACCTGATCCCCGAAGCCCCGATCTGTAAGATTTACAGCACGTTAGACCCAAACAGATAATACAATAATTGAGACCTTCTCAATTCGTTAGATCCTGATCCCATAGAGCCTGAAAACCCATGTCAACACTCTCCCTGCGGCCTCTACAGCAACTGTCGTCCGATCAACGGTCACGCGGTATGCACCTGCTTAGCCAACTATATTGGTGCACCACCCAATTGTCGACCCGAATGTATGACCAGCTCAGAATGTGCTCAGGATAAGTCATGTATCAACGAACGCTGTAAAGACCCCTGTCCAGGTACTTGCGGCAACAACGCACTCTGCCGTGTTCTCAACCACAATCCAATTTGCTCATGCAGCCCTGGTTATAGTGGTGATCCATTCGTTCGATGCATCCAAGAAGAGAGTAAGAACCAAAAATCAACCAATTCGAGCATCATTAATTTGACGCGACCTCATGCTGGTGCTCATGCTCCACGCTTTGATCGTGTCATATCATTTTGCATTCACTCAAATATATACATACATCATCGCAATCAGTACATACCTATATAAATACTCTTTCCGTATTATTTTGCTTTTTTTGTTGCTTGCTGTGGTAATTTGGTGTCATATGCTGGTAAATGTAGAACGCCCCATCATACAAGAGTCGACTCAACCATGTGTGCCTTCACCGTGTGGACCCAATTCACAATGTCGCGTTTCATCGACTAATGAACAAGCCGTTTGCTCATGTTTGCAACATTATGTTGGTAGACCTCCAAATTGTCGTCCTGAGTGCACATCAAACTCAGAGTGTCTTGGCAATTTGGCCTGTATTAATCTACGTTGTCAGGATCCATGTGTGGGAACCTGCGGCTTGCAGGCCACATGCCTTGTAAATAATCATAGACCTATTTGCCGTTGCTTGGATGGTTATGCGGGTGATCCTTTCTCAGGGTGTAGTCCACAAAGTAAGAACAAGATATTAAATCACCCTTCGGAATTTCGAAGATTATATACTCTTGCAAAAAAATGTTGTGCCATTTTTCGTATATATACATACATGCATGTATTGTGGTCCTTTTTTATAGATTATGCTATAGAATCAATATTTTAAAGTTAAAAGTTCAATGAAAATAATACTTCAAATATTAAATTAATATTTAGCAAACGGATTTCGTCTTGACAAATGGCGCATAAAAGTAGTAACAGTTATTGCAAGAGTACTATAATACTTGAAAATTGGTTTTATAATAAGTAAGGCTTAACACTTATTCTTAAACATAATTTAAAACAATTTCCCGTAATTGGTAGTAATCGTACCGCCAGAAGTCGCTGAACCATGTAATCCAAGTCCATGCGGTGCCAATGCAGTGTGCAAAGAACGTAATGGAGTTGGCTCCTGCACTTGCCTTCCCGAATACAATGGTGATCCTTACACTGAATGCCGCCCAGAGTGCGTACTCAACACAGACTGCTCCAAGAACCGAGCATGCTTAAACAACAAATGCCGTGATCCCTGTCCGGGCGTTTGTGGTATTGCAGCCGAGTGTCATGTGATTAATCATGCTCCAAGTTGCAGTTGTCCATCTGGGTTTACAGGAAACCCATCACAATACTGCCGCGAAATACCAAAATGTAGAGTATTCCCCTAATAGTGTTAGTTCCGACCGATTTTTAGTAAATACTCCTTTAACTTTTTAGCGCTAGCACCATTGCAACCTTGCCGTCCTTCACCGTGTGGCCCTTACAGCCAGTGCCGTGAAGTAAACGGACATGCAGTCTGCTCATGCATTAGCAATTACATTGGAGCTCCTCCCTCTTGTCGACCAGAATGCTCGATTAGCTCCGAGTGCCCGCAAAATAGGGCCTGTGTTAACTTACGCTGTATAGATCCATGCCCTGGTACATGCGGTAACGAAGCTGTATGTAAGGTGACCAATCACAATCCGATATGTTCCTGTCCAGTTGGCTATAGTGGTGACCCATTTGTTCGCTGCGCACCATGGGTCGAAGAACTAGAACGTCCAAAGGCCAATGAGAATCCGTGTGTGCCTAGTCCATGTGGACCTAATTCACAGTGCCGTGTCGTCGGTGAAACGCCTGTTTGCTCTTGTGCACCCAATTATATTGGACGTGCTCCGAACTGTCGACCCGAATGCACCTTAAACTCGGAGTGTCCAGCAAATATGGCGTGCAATAATGAACGGTGCAAGGATCCTTGCCCGGGCTCTTGCGGTTTCAATGCGCAGTGTAATGTGGTCAATCACAGCCCTGTTTGCACATGTGTATCAGGGTATACTGGCGATCCATTTGCTGGTTGTAACCCACAAAGTAAGCCAACCAACTGCATTAACAACTATCCGTCTAAAAAAGCTAATTGTGTGTCTATTGCGACCCTTTAGCTGTACCCATTCCTGACGAACGACTGACTCCTTGCATACCCTCTCCCTGTGGCCCCAACGCTGAGTGTAGAGAGCGCAATGGCGCCGGTTCTTGTACCTGTCTACCAGAATACTACGGAGATGCGTACAGTGGCTGTCGGCCAGAATGCGTGGCAAACAGTGATTGCCCGCGTGACAAATCCTGCGTTAATCAAAAATGTACGGACCCTTGTCCAGGTGTTTGTGGTCTGAACGCAGAGTGCCACGTTGTCAATCATCTGCCTGTTTGCCAATGTCTGACCGGCTACACTGGCAACCCGTCGAGTGCATGCCGTGAGATCCCAGAGCTGCCTTTACCACGTATGTTGCATTTGCAATAACACTCGCTTATTGCTAACACCCCACATTATGAAGCAGCTTGACAGCAATTTTCCTTTCCTAATCATAGCTGCGTTCGACGTCAATCCATGTGTACCATCCCCCTGCGGCCCATATAGCCAGTGTCGTGAGATCAACAATCATGCAGTGTGTTCGTGTCAAGCTGGTTTCATTGGCTCTGCACCCAATTGCCGTCCAGAGTGCATTGTCAGTTCGGACTGCGCACAAGATTTAAACTGTCAGAATCAAAAATGCGTTGATCCTTGTCCGGGTACATGTGGCATCGAAGCCCGTTGCCAAGTTACAAACCACAATCCTGCATGTTCTTGTGCACCAGGCTTTACCGGAGATCCCTTCAATCGATGCACAAAAATTAAACGTAAGCATGCGTTATTCTCCTTCGCATGCGGGCTGGTTCAATTGGACAACAGTTATATGCTAAAATTTATTAAATGACTTGGTTCTATTCAAATAAACGTGCAATCAAATAACCTCTGTAACTTTTGTCCAAATGAGTTAAGTCGCAAAATCTTTCCTGCATGTATTTATTTCCGTACCTTAATCTTTTCTTTATCTACTTTATTTTTTATTTTATGTACACTGTATCAATCCTACAACTATGCTCTACTCCAACTACTTCCAACTTTACTATGTAAAATATGTGTATATTTGTAATAAATGTATTTGTGTGACCTTCACCCATCCTGCATGGCCTGCATGATCCTGTCTGGCTAAATAGTGGAGCCAATACCTCCACAAAAAAGTGGTAACCCGTGTATACCCTCACCGTGTGGACCCAATTCTAAATGTATTGATGTTCGCGGTTCACCTGCATGTTCCTGTCTACCTAACTATCTCGGCCGGCCACCCAACTGCCGTCCCGAGTGCTTGAGTAGTCCTGACTGTCCAGCAAATTTGGCATGTGTCAATCAGAAATGCGCTAATCCATGTATCGGAGCGTGCGGCATACACTCCCTGTGTACAGTCATTAAGCACAATCCTACATGTCAATGCGATCCTGGTTACACCGGAGATCCCTTCTCCGGCTGTACCATTGTACAGCAAAGTATATATCACTTGGTCCGACTATATAAAATAAATATTACAATATTGTTTATTTTTCTCTTTTTCCAAATCTTTTCCCAAATAACAGTCCAACCTACAGAAGAACCACGCAATCCTTGCAATCCCAGCCCGTGTGGCGCCAATGCAGTTTGTCGTGAACGCAACGGTGCAGGCTCGTGCGCTTGCCTCCCCGAATACTTTGGTGACCCTTACAGCGGTTGTCGACCTGAATGCGTGCAAAATGCTGACTGCGATCGCTCTCGTGCTTGCATCAATAACAAATGTCAGGATCCTTGCCCAGGCGCTTGCGGTATCAACGCTGAGTGTCGCGTGCTTAACCATGCACCAAATTGCATGTGCTTTGATGGTTATACAGGTGATCCACATTCAACTTGCGCCGTTATTGAAGTGGCGACGCGCCGTCCAGAAAACCCATGTCAACCTTCGCCATGTGGACCATACAGCGAGTGCCGTAATTCTAATAGCCATGCGGTTTGCAGTTGCATCGAAGGTTACATTGGTGCACCGCCATCTTGCAAACCAGAATGCGTCGTCAGTTCGGAATGTGCCCAGAATCGTGCCTGCATCAATCAGAAATGCGCTGATCCATGTCGCGGTGCCTGCGGAAATAATGCCAAATGTCAAGTGGTCAACCATAATCCAATATGCACATGTATTCCGGGACTAACAGGCGATCCCATTTCTGGTTGCGTCCAGGATCTTGGTAAGAGTACAGAGAACCCGTGCGTTCCATCACCTTGCGGACCTAACTCCATATGCCGCGAGATAGGCGAACAAGCTGCCTGCTCATGTCAAGCTAACTTCATTGGACGTCCACCGAATTGCCGACCTGAGTGTACAAATAGCGATGAGTGCCAAAACCATTTGTCATGTCAAAACGAACGATGTATTGATCCTTGTCCAGGATCTTGTGGGAGCAATGCTCTCTGTCAGGTGGTCCAGCACAATGCTGTATGCTCGTGTGCTGACGGCTATGAAGGTGATCCGCTATTTGGCTGCCAGCTTTTACAACCTGTGCTTCCTACGCAGCCGCCTGAGTCACCATGTGAGCCATCCCCCTGTGGACCTCATGCCGAATGCCGTGAACGAAACGGAGCAGGCGCATGCTACTGCCATGATGGATTTGAGGGTAATGCCTATGATACAGAACGTGGCTGCCGGCGCGAGTGCGAACTTAATGATGACTGCTCCACGGCGCTAGCATGCGTAAGATTTAAGTGCATTGACCCATGTGCCAATATGTGTGGCGAATATGCTACCTGCGAGGTGGAGAACCATGTCCCGACTTGCAATTGTCCAGCTGGTTATAGCGGCGATCCCTTCTTCAGCTGTAGACCCATACCAGTGACGCCGCCACCAATTTTGAATCCCTGTTCGCCATCGCCTTGTGGTCCCAACAGCAATTGCCGAAACATCAATAACCAGGCGGTTTGCTCTTGCCAATCTGGATTTGTTAACCAGCCACCCAACTGTCGACCCGAATGCGTTGTTAGTGCAGAATGCGTACAAGACCGCGCTTGCGTTAACAACAAGTGCGTCGATCCGTGCCAGCATACTTGCGGCATACGCGCCATTTGCACCACTAAAAACCACAGTCCCATCTGCACATGTCCTCGTGGCATGACGGGTGATCCATTTGTGCATTGCACTACAATACGTAAGTATTATTTTTATTTGCCAATAAGTTTACCTACTAATCTTAAATATTTGTGTAATTTTTCTATACACAGCTATAACGCAAGATACAACAACACCAGAACCACCAGCGCCATCGTGTGTGCCTTCACCATGCGGCCCCAATTCCAAATGCCAAATTGTAGGCGGAAGTCCGGCCTGTTCTTGCCTGCCAGATTTTATCGGCGCACCTCCACGTTGCCGTCCAGAATGTGTGCTCAACTCAGAATGCGGACCCACAGAGGCGTGCATCAATCAGAAATGTCGTGATCCATGTCCCGGTTCTTGCGGTTTTGAAGCCAAATGTCACGTTCTGAACCACTTGCCTATTTGCAACTGCATTGACGGTTACACTGGTGATCCATTTATACGATGCAGCAAGCTTCCAGAGACAAAGGTTATACCACGACCCAATGATCCCTGTGATCCAAATCCATGTGGTTCGAATGCCGACTGCGTCAACGGTGAATGCCGCTGTCAAAACAGTTACCACGGAAATCCTTATGAAGGTTGCCGACCTGAGTGCACGCTATCAGCCGACTGTCCACGTGACAAGTCTTGCATGCGCAACAAATGTATGGATCCATGCCCAGGCACTTGTGGCAACAACGCTGTTTGCGAAGTCATGAACCACATTCCTGTTTGCTCGTGTTTACAAGGCTACGAGGGAGATCCGTTCACCAATTGTCGTGTAAAGGCCATAGAACCCATTCCTGAAGTCAGAGCTTGTTCACCTTCACCATGTGGTGCGAATAGCCAGTGCCGCGACATCAATGGACATGCTGTTTGTTCCTGTCTTGAAGGATTTATTGGTGCCCCACCACAATGCCGACCAGAATGCGTAGTATCTAGTGAGTGTTCAGCTTTACATGCTTGCGTCAACAAGAAATGTGTTGATCCTTGCGCCGGCGCCTGCGGCATCGAGGCACGCTGTGAAGTCATCAACCATAGTCCCATTTGTGGATGTCCACCAGGAAAAACAGGAGATCCATTTAAGGGTTGTACCGATATACCACAGCAGCCAGAAGAGAAGAGCCCAAGACCACCAGAGGACCTCTGTGTACCATCGCCTTGTGGGCCCAATTCGATTTGTAAAATTGATCGTGGAGGACCGGTTTGTCAATGTCAGCCAGAGTTCTTTGGTTCACCGCCAAATTGCCGTCCCGAGTGCATAATAAATCCCGATTGCCCGTCAACGCAGGCTTGTATCAACAACAAATGCCGCGATCCCTGCCCAGGATCATGTGGCACGAACGCAGAGTGCCGAGTTATCGGTCATTCTGTATCCTGTTCATGTCCAGCAGGTTACGCTGGCAATGCTTTTGTACATTGTTTGCCGCAACAGGTTGAACCCATCAAACCTTGCCAACCATCGCCATGTGGATCCAACGCCGAATGCGTTGAGCGCAATGGCGCCGCATCCTGTAAATGTATTGATGAATACCAAGGAAATCCCTATGAAGGCTGTCGACCAGAATGTGTGCTTAGTTCAGACTGTCCCACGGACAAGGCATGCATCCGCAATAAATGCCAAGATCCTTGCCCTGGCATATGCGGCTCTAACGCCCAATGCTATGCTGTAAATCATGTGCCTAACTGTGTTTGCATTGATGGATATACAGGTGATCCGTTTGCAAGCTGCCGTCGTGTTGAACCTACAACTCCACCACCTGTTGGCGATCCTTGTAGCCCGTCACCATGCGGTCCCAACAGCAAATGTCGCACCGCTAATGGATTGGCCGTATGCTCCTGTCTGGATAACTTTACAGGATCTCCGCCCAACTGTAAGCCGGAGTGCACCGTGAACGCTGAATGTCCCCAAAACAAGGCTTGCCACAAATTCCGATGCGCCAATCCATGCTCCGGTACATGTGGCGTTAGCGCCAAGTGCGAGGTGATCAACCACAATCCTATTTGCAGTTGCCCTCTTGACATGACCGGTGATCCATTTACACGTTGTTTTGCCGCACCTGAAGTACCTGCGCCTAAGGACACATTGGAGAAGAGAAATCCATGTCAACCATCACCCTGCGGTCTTTATTCTGAATGCCGTGTTCGCGGTGATTTGGCATCATGCTCATGCCTGCCAAACTATATTGGAGCGCCGCCCAACTGTCGACCAGAGTGTATTGTTAATACAGACTGTTCTCCAGATCGTGCATGTATCGCTGAAAAGTGCCGCGATCCTTGTGATGGTTCTTGTGGAATTAATACTGAATGTCGCACCCAGAACCACTTGGCCATCTGTATCTGCCGCACCGGCTTCACGGGTGATCCATTTATACAATGCGTAGAGGTCATTGAAAGAACTACCCCTCCTCCGCCAGTATCACAAGACCCCTGTGACTTGCAGCCATGTGGGGCCAATGCCGAGTGTCGCAATGGAATTTGCACTTGCTTACTAGACTATCAAGGAGACCCGTACACCGGCTGCCGCCCAGAATGCACTTTAAGCACAGACTGCGCTTCAAATAAGGCATGTCTAAACAAAAAATGTGTCGATCCCTGTCCTGGCACTTGTGGCCAAAATACCGAATGTGATGTTTCCAACCACATACCAATTTGCAGCTGTTTAAAGGGCTATACAGGTGATCCATTCATTCACTGTCGCCAGGAGACTCCAGTTGCTAAGGATCCATGCCAACCAAATCCATGTGGTCCAAATAGCTTGTGCCACGTCTCTGCGCAAGGTGCAGTTTGCGCTTGTCAGCCCGGCATGTTGGGCTCACCACCCGCTTGCAAACCCGAGTGCATTGTAAGCTCAGAATGCTCTCTGCAAACAGCTTGTATTCAGAAAAAGTGCACTGATCCATGCCCCGGTGCATGTGGCCAATTCGCGCGCTGCCAAGTTATCAATCACAATCCATCATGCTCATGTAACACGGGCTACACTGGCGATCCATTTACACGTTGTTATCAGGAGGAACGCCAACCTCCACCCGAGGCAAGGGGTAATCCATGCTCGCCTTCGCCTTGCGGACCTAATTCGGAATGCAAAGAGATCAACGGAAATCCAGCTTGTTCATGTACTGTCAACTTTATTGGAACGCCACCAAACTGCCGTCCGGAGTGCACTATCAACCCGGAATGTACACCAACGAAGGCGTGCATCCGACAAAAATGCGCAGATCCATGCATTGGTGCTTGCGGCTTTAATGCACTCTGTACTGTGGCAAATCATCAACCAATTTGTACATGTAATGTTGGATACACTGGAGATCCTTTCATCGGTTGTCAACAAGAACAAGGTAGGACCCCGTTTCAATTTTCTTATACATACACAGTTAGGCCAAGGCGTAATAATGCTTGGTTATGGGCGGACGTGAAAGCAAAAAAAAATTTATAAAATACATATTGCACCTATTTACAATGCATACAAAATCTTTATTAGATGCTGCAATTACGCCTTGGTAGGGAAAGATTATGTGAAACTGAACCACTTTTCTGGCTGCACAAAAAAAGAAAAAACAAAAAAAACACGATAACCATTCAGTCCCCTTTTGCCCCCCTTAACAATAATCATGCAGTTTCACATAAACGCATTAGAACGAGATGATCTTACATATTGAACTCAACGTCACTATACCCACGCAAATGGAAATTTATTTATGCCGGCTCACGCACTCTTAGCATTTTTTATAAGCAAGCGTTACTCGTTCTAATACGTTCCAGCCTAGTTAGCATTATTAAAACAAATTTACATGATTTCCATTAAAAGTTTTGGATGTCCCACACATAAACACGTTGCATTGCAATAAGTAAACAATTAATTTTGAGCGTTAATGCACTTTAATTGGAATTGAGCACTGCAAACTACTTACGCGAAATGCAAAGTTCAATAGCACACTTTTCTGTACGAGTTGTCTGAAATGTCGTAGCTATTGAAGTGTTTGTGTGTGGCTACAGAAAAAACTTTTAATTATTTTATAAGACTGTTACGCTAAGTATATGCTTTTTAAATGCCTTTTAACGCCTGAATACAATATGCAAACTCCTTACGCCACTATGCTGCCTTTATGTGTTTAATGTCTCACCCAACGCCTTGCCTTTTCCCATGATGATATTTATAGCTGCAAGAAGATTTGGTGTTGTTCATACTCGTATTAGTTTTGACGAAACAGCCAATGCTTTTACTAGGTGGTTAAATGATATTCGTTTGCTTGACCCAAATCGTGTAGTTCCAAATTTCAACCAAATGACCAATGATTTATTTAATTACACAATTCAATATCTAACCCAAATCAAAAATAAATACTGCGTTGTTTGCCCAAAATTTGACTATTGCTGTAACAACGGTATGCCATAGAAATTTACTAGTCAACAACTACCAAAGAATAAAACAGAGTTACGCAATATTTAATTAGAGACTAATTTATTTATAATCTAGCTGTTTAGCACAAAATTACTGTTTAACAAAGATCAATAAAAATTATTGATATAACCTTTGCAAAACCACTCGTTTTACTTACGTCACGCACCTTACGTATCGCAATGCTACTTTACACTCTGCTCACAAAGAACACGCAAGCCACAACTCACAACGTTTAACACAAACTAAAAAGTGCCTTAATAAAACACGTAATGATTGAAAAATTGGATATATTTAACGTCTACTCTAATGACACCTGCCTCAAAATATGGAACAATTGGATTAATCACAAAGAAATTCAAGGAGAGCGTGTATTTGCACTAAACCAACTCCACTGAACGAGAATATTAATGTCTCTGACAATTTATATATCCCTATTTGTCACTATTTTAACCCACAGAACGCATAATAAATGAGCAAATTACACCTTGCGAACCGAACCCTTGCGGCTCGAATGCCATATGTCGTGAACGCGATGGTATTGGCTCCTGTCAATGCTTGCCCGATTACTTTGGAGATCCGTACCAATCCTGTCGACCAGAATGCGTTCAAAACTCCGAGTGCCCATCAAACAAAGCCTGCCAGCAACAAAAATGTCGCGATCCCTGTCCCGGTTCTTGCGGTACGAATGCCGATTGCAGCGTAACGAATCATTTGCCTACTTGCACATGCCGTACTGGTTACATAGGGGATCCTTACAATTATTGCCATGTAAAACCAACGCAACGTAAGCCAAAAACCACAGTCCCCTCCCCTATGTTTTGTGTATCAAATACCCATTGCAGCTATACGTTTAGTGGAAGAAACACAGCCCTGCCGCCCATCACCATGTGGTCCAAATTCCCAGTGCCGCGAACTAAATGGTCAAGCTGTTTGTTCTTGCCTTGAAATGTATATCGGTTTGCCCCCTAATTGTAGACCTGAGTGCGTACTAAGCACTGAGTGTCCCATAGATAAGGCTTGCATTGGTCAGCGTTGTCAAGATCCATGTTCTGGTACATGTGGAATCAATGCCGACTGCCGCGTACTTAATCATAGCCCAGTATGTCAGTGTCGTCGAGGTTTTACAGGTGATGCATTCACGCGTTGCTACATTCTTCCACGTAAGCCTCCTTTCGTTCGACTTGTCCCATCACAACTAATTACCTTAAAAATCCCAGCACCAACATCAGCAATTGAACGCATTGAGCGTGATCCTTGCTTGCCAACGCCCTGCGGTCTCAACAGTCAATGTCGTAATATACAAGGTGTGCCATCTTGCTCCTGTCTGCCGGAATATGTGGGTACACCGCCTAACTGTCGTCCAGAGTGCACCATTAGTTCTGAGTGTCCCTCGAATATGGCCTGTATACGCGAAAAATGCATCGATCCATGTCCTGGATCCTGCGGCTATGCTGCTGAGTGCAATGTTGTCAATCATACGCCGATATGTATCTGTGCGATGGGCTTTACGGGTGATCCCTTTACTAGTTGTCACTTGGCCCCATCTGACCCAATAAGTATGTCGTTTGCTAGCAATTTCATCACAGATTCGTTAAATTAACCCCATATAAAATTTATAAGCTGAATATGTAGATCCCTGTAATCCTTCACCATGTGGCCCAAATGCCCAGTGCAACAACGGTATATGTACTTGTCTCAGTGAGTTCCATGGTGATCCTTATGCCGGGTGTAGGCCAGAATGCGTCTTAAACTCAGACTGTTCTCGCGATAAGGCCTGTATGCGTAGCAAATGTGTTAACCCCTGCCCGGGAACCTGTGGCGAAAATGCAATCTGCGATGTCATCAATCACATACCAATGTGCAGATGCCCGGATGGCACAGTTGGAAGCGCATTTATACGATGCACACCGATACAAAGTATGTTTGCAAAAAAGCGTATGATTGTCTTATATTTCTTAAATGGACATATTGAACCTATAGGAGTTGCTAATACCAGCCCATGCCAACCTTCACCCTGCGGCCCGAACTCACAGTGCCGTGAAGTTAACCAACAAGCGGCCTGCTCCTGTCTCTCTGGCTATATAGGCGCACCGCCTTCTTGCCGACCAGAATGCACATCTAGTGCCGAATGTGCACCTCTGCAGGCTTGTCTCAACCAACGCTGCGGTGATCCATGCCCTGGCACTTGCGGAATAGGTGCCAATTGCATCGTAGTCAATCATAGTCCGTTCTGCACATGTCCACCTCGCTTCACCGGAAATCCATTTATACGTTGCCAATTGCAAAGTAAGCATAAAACCAAAAGAAACCACTATCTTCGGTGCGCCAAAGATCATGTACCCTTGCAAATTATAGTAAACAGCAGTTATAGATATTGACAGTAAATTTTGGTACGATCCCTTTCCTACATATTATCTGCTTACGACCTACATATAGCTGTTTGTGAAAATTGCATGTTCTTAGCCAGAACTTAAGGTGAACAAATAGTTGAAGAAATGCAAGGATGCTTACATTACTTGCTTATATGGCTTAAAAGCTATAATACCATTTGCAAGGGTATAAAATTAACTCTCTATATAGAACAAGTGATGAAATTATATCCTTCTACCAGTTGAACCGATACGTGATATCGTGCAAACCGAACCATGCCAACCATCCCCTTGTGGACCCTACTCTCAATGTCGTGCCATCGGAACAGCACCAGCTTGCTCCTGCCTTCCAGCCTATTTCGGGCGCCCACCAAATTGTCGACCTGAATGTCTTACTAGCTCGGATTGTAGCAGCCACATGGCGTGCGAAAATCAAAAATGCATTGATCCATGTCCAGGTCGCTGCGGCTCCAATGCTGAATGTCGCGTCGTCAGCCATGCTGTCCAGTGCTTTTGCCAAAAAGGCTTCATCGGTGATCCTTTTGTGCAATGTACGGCGGAGATCATACGAGATATAGACGTTCGAACACCCTGCAATCCCAATCCTTGTGGCTCGAACGCTATCTGCCGTGAACGAAATAGTGTAGGTTCATGTCAGTGTCTGCCCGAATACTTTGGAAATCCTTATGAAGGCTGCCGTCCAGAATGTGTGCTTGACTCAGACTGCGCTTCGAACAAGGCTTGCCAGCAGCAGAAATGTCAGGATCCCTGTCCTGGCACTTGCGGTCAGAACGCTGAGTGCCAAGTGCTTTCTCATCTACCCACTTGCACATGCTTCGTAGGCTATTCAGGGGATCCATATCGTGTTTGCACGCCTACACAAAGTAAGCATTTACAGTTCATTATCTCCTTTTACTTTGATATCCCTCATAATTTTCTGTAGTTATGACCGCGAAATATATAAATCCGTGTGACCCATCACCCTGTGGACCCAACTCTCAATGTCGAGTTTCTCAAGAGCAGGCAGTTTGCTCTTGTCTGCCTCAGTTCAGTGGTATACCACCTGCCTGCCGGCCTGAGTGCACAATATCGTCGGAGTGTGCTAACGATAAAGCATGTGTGAACCAAAAATGTATTAATCCATGCACTACTGAAACGTGTGGGAAAAACTCAGATTGCCGCGTACGTAATCACAGTCCAATTTGTAGCTGCAAAATTGGATTTACTGGTGATGCATTCGTACAATGCTATCCAATACCGCGTAAGCAATTCCTTTTTAGCAAGCTATGCTGTGTTTATTTCAATCCATGCATATCCAACAGCTCCACCTATTGAGATTCAACGGGAAACAGTCGATCCTTGCATTCCCACACCCTGTGGGCCAAATTCCGAATGTCGCAACATAAACGGAGTACCTGCTTGCTCTTGTATTGCAAGCTTTATAGGTCAGGCGCCTAACTGCCGACCAGAGTGCACCATCAATGCGGAATGTCCCAGTCAATATGCCTGTATAAATCAAAAATGCCGTGACCCGTGTGCTGGAGCTTGTGGCTTAAATGCCGTATGTAGTGTTATCAATCACGCGCCTCTGTGCTCTTGTATCGAAGGCTACATTGGAAATCCATTCACTAACTGCAACCCTAAGCCACCAGTAACCAATGCTCCACCGACCAGCTATGATCCTTGCCAGAATTCTCCCTGCGGCTCAAATGCCCAGTGCCGGAATGGAGAATGCACATGCTTACCAGATTTTCAAGGCGATCCATATGTTGGCTGCCGACCAGAGTGCGTTCTCAATACGGATTGCCCGCGAAATCGTGCCTGTGTGAGGAACAAGTGCATAGATCCCTGCCCAGGAACTTGCGGCAAAAACGCCATTTGTGAGGTGAACAATCATATTTCCATCTGCCGTTGTCCAGATCATATGTCTGGCAATGCCTTCTTTGAGTGTCATGCGGTGCCGCCATCCGCGGATTCGCAGCCTTGCCAACCTACGCCCTGCGGACCAAACAGTCAGTGCCGTGTGGTGCAGGGGACCGCAGTTTGTTCTTGCCTGAGAGACTATGTGGGCAGTCCTCCACAGTGTCGTCCTGAATGTACCACCAACTCCGACTGTGCTGCTGATCAAGCCTGTCAAAATATGAAATGTCGCGATCCTTGTCCTGGCACATGTGGTTTCAATGCCATTTGTAAATCGGTCAACCACAAGCCTTTCTGTAGTTGCCCTATCGGTATGTCTGGAAATCCATTTTTGCACTGCCAGGAGCTGAGTAAGCAATTATTTAATTTTTGTGAATGCAGTGCCTAATATTGCCATATTTATAGTAGCACCTATCCGTGAGATATCCAAAAATCCTTGTCAGCCTTCACCCTGTGGACCCAATGCGGAATGCCGAGTGACCGGTGACTCACCGTCCTGTTCCTGTTTACCCCAATATGTGGGCGCACCACCAAACTGCCGCCCAGAGTGCATATCGAACTCAGAGTGTGATACAAGCCTTGCTTGTATTGGACAAAAGTGCTCTGATCCGTGCCCAGGGCTATGCGGTCTTAAGGCCAATTGTCGCGTTTTTAGCCATACAGCTATGTGCCTGTGCGAAAACGGATTCACCGGCGATCCGTTTACTCAGTGTAACCCTATTAAAGATACGGCTATAGAGGTTCTGCAGCCTTGTAATCCAAGCCCCTGCGGTGCCAATGCCAAGTGTGAACAGCTAGGTGATGCTGGGTCTTGTCAGTGTTTACCAGATTATTTTGGCAATCCTTACGAAGGCTGCCGACCAGAATGTGTGCTGAATTCAGACTGTGCTTCGAACAAAGCCTGTGAAAACCAAAAGTGTCGCGATCCTTGCCCAGGAACATGTGGCCAAAATGCCGAATGTCAGGTCATAAATCACTTATCCAACTGTAATTGTCTTACGGGCTATACTGGAGATCCATATAAATATTGCCGGGTCATAGAAAACGAGCCGCGTAAGTTATAATTTTTTGCCCCCAGGAGTTCCTATTACCACTTTCTTTTATAGCCGAGCGTGTATATATAAACCCCTGTGATCCATCGCCCTGTGGACCTAACTCACGCTGTCATGTGGTTAACGAGCAGGCAGTTTGCTCTTGCTTACCAGAATTTATTGGTAGCCCACCTGCATGCCGTCCTGAATGTACCAGTAGTTCTGAGTGCACGTCTAACAAGGCCTGTATAAACCAAAAATGTGTTGACCCATGTGTCAACATCTGTGGTAAAAATGCCGAGTGTCGTGTACGCAACCACAGTCCCATTTGTACATGCTCAATAGGTTTCACGGGTGATGCATTTACGCATTGTTACCGCATGCCACGTAAGCTACGCGAGCAGTATGACCCCTAATATCTTCTAACAAATATACCTTTTAGCTCCACCACCTATTTCCCCAATTGAAAATGAACATGTGGACCCATGTCTTCCCTCACCTTGTGGCCCAAACGCGCAGTGTCGCGAAATACATGGCACTCCATCATGTTCGTGTCTCCCCACATACTTGGGTACACCACCAACATGTCGACCTGAATGCTCCATCAATTCGGAATGCTCCAGTAAACAGGCTTGCATCAACCAGAAATGTCGTGACCCTTGCCCCGGATCTTGTGGTATTAACGCGCAATGTTTTGTAATAAATCATACGCCAATATGCCAATGCCAATTTGGCTATATTGGTGATCCATTCACCGCATGCAATCCCGAGATACCAAAAAAAAGTAAGATCTAATGCTGTTCCATATACAAACAAATTTAAATTTCCTTTGGTTGCTAGCTGAAGTGGAAGTGATTCCGGATCCTTGCAATCCTTCACCCTGTGGCCCTAACGCACTTTGCGACAACGGCCAGTGCTTATGTATAGCCGAATATCAAGGCGATCCCTACATTGGTTGTCGGCCAGAGTGTGTTCTGCATACTGAATGCGCTCGGAATCGCGCCTGTGTTAACAATAAGTGCATGAATCCATGCACAGGCATATGCGCGCCCAACGCTGTTTGCGAAGTTCTTAACCATATACCAAATTGCTACTGTCCTGAGGGTATGGAAGGCAATGCATTCGTGCAGTGCAGTCCAGTGCCACGTAAGCAAACCTACCAATACTGACAGGGCTTTACCTGTCATATTTACTAGACGCAATTCAGCAACCAAATATTTTTAGAACTGGACGTATTGGATCCGTGCCAACCCTCGCCTTGTGGACCCAACTCTCAATGCCGTGTCATCAACAAGCAGGCCGTCTGCTCCTGCATAACGCCTTTTATTGGAAGCCCACCATTTTGTCGCCCAGAGTGCACATCCAATTCAGATTGTCCCCTAAGCTTAGCTTGCCTTAATCAGAAGTGTAGTGATCCCTGTCCCGGTGTTTGTGGACGAAACACACGGTGCCATGTTACCAATCATAGTCCATTCTGCCGCTGTGTTGAGAGTTTCACTGGCAATCCTTTTGTTAGTTGCCAAGAAATCATAGAACCTCCTGCGCCACAACCCCGACAAACATGTCACCCATCACCATGTGGACCATACGCAGAGTGCCGTGAGAATAACGAGACACCTTCATGTACATGTCTTCCCGAATACACGGGTGTACCACCAAACTGTCGTCCGGAATGTGTTACCAGTTCAGAGTGTCCACTAAATTTAGCATGCATTCAGCAGAAATGCCGCGATCCTTGTGTAGGCTTGTGTGCTCCAACTGCCGAATGCCGTGTACTCTCGCACACACCTAGCTGCTTCTGTCCCGCAGGTTTACAAGGTGATCCGTTTGTGGAATGCATTGAAAGACAAATTTCCCATATGGATCAGATTAACCCATGCAATCCCAATCCTTGTGGACCAAATGCATATTGTACTTCACGCAACGACGCTGGCTCATGTCAGTGTCTGAATGATTTCTATGGTAATCCCTATGAGGGATGTCGTCCTGAATGCATTATTGACTCAGACTGCCAAGCGGATAGAGCATGTCAATTGCAAAAATGTCGAGATCCCTGCCCAGGTACATGCGGCCAAAATTCCATATGTAATGTTCTCAATCATGTACCCAGCTGCAGCTGCATGAGCGGATATTCTGGCGATCCATATCAGCTTTGTCTTCCTGAACATCAACGTAAGCCAAAGCCAAAGAAATAATAGCATTTGTCTTCAACTTTTCCCTATTTCCAGCGATTAAGATATATGTAAATCCTTGTCAGCCCTCACCATGCGGGCCAAACTCACAATGCAGGGAAGTAAACGAACAACCTGTATGCTCATGTATGCCTGAATATTTAGGGTCACCGCCAGCCTGCCGTCCTGAGTGCACCATTTCGTCAGAATGTGTAACAGATAAAGCATGTGTCAACCAAAAGTGTGTGGACCCCTGCCCTGGCACATGTGGCGATAATTCCAATTGTCGTGTTGTAAATCATAGTCCTATTTGCTCATGTCGCGCTGGTTACACAGGTGATGCTTTCTACCGATGTGTGCTCATACCACGTAAGTGGCTCAATTCTGGAGAAGCTGCCCATTATTGTCTTAATAATTTATATATTAATAGCGGCAGCATTAACGCCAGTGCAAAAGGCTCCCATTAATCCTTGTGTTCCATCACCTTGTGGTCCTTATGCTAATTGTCTTGCACGAGGAGATGTGCCAGCATGTTCATGCTTAGCCAACTACATAGGTGAACCACCGAATTGCCGCCCTGAGTGTCGCATTAACTCTGACTGCCCAAGTAGCCAGGGCTGTATAAATGAGAAATGTAGAGATCCTTGCCCTGGTTCCTGTGGTTTTGGAGCTGTTTGTAATGTCATAAATCATACGCCTAGTTGTACATGCCCTGTAGGCTATACCGGTGATCCATTTAGTTTCTGCCAAGCTGAACCGCCACCGCAACGTAAGATATCGTCACTTTACTTGAAGGAATCTATAAAGAGCTTTTACTTCTCAGCCGTCGAGCCGGATGATCCATGCAACCCATCACCATGTGGTGCCAACGCTAAATGTGATGCAGGCGTTTGTACTTGCATACCTGAATACCAGGGCAATCCATACAGTGGTTGCCGTCCCGAATGCCTTACTAGTCTCGAATGCGCTCGACATCTCGCTTGCATACATAACAAATGTAGTGATCCCTGTCCCGGCACATGTGCTTCCAATGCGCTCTGCAATGTCATAAACCACATCCCTATGTGCACGTGCCCCGATGGATACAATGGCAACGCATTTCTACAATGCCAGCCCATACAACGTAAATATGTCAATATTGTGTGTAATAGATGTGATGGAACTATTACCATTCCCAAATATAGATACCCCTGTTATTCAACCCTGTCAACCCTCGCCATGTGGTCCAAACTCGCAGTGTCGCGAAATTAACCAGCAAGCAGTATGCTCCTGTGTAGTCGGATATATTGGCTCACCGCCCCTGTGTCGTCCTGAATGTACATCAAATTCAGAATGTGCTTCTAATCTAGCCTGTGTGAATCAGAAATGCGTTGATCCTTGTCCTGGAGCTTGTGGACGCTACGCACAATGCAACGTCGTCAACCACAACCCTTTTTGCACTTGCAGTTCGCATTATACAGGAAATCCTTTCGTGGGATGCCAACAAATCATTGAACCTACACATGCTGACAATTTACCGAAAGATCCATGTCATCCCTCGCCATGTGGCCCTAATTCAGAATGCCGTGCCCTTGGAAGCATACCTTCATGCAGTTGTTTGCCGAACTTTGTTGGCCGTTCACCCTACTGTAAGCCGGAATGTGTGTCTAACTCTGAGTGTGCGGCGAATCGCGCGTGTATAAACCAAAAATGCAGTGATCCATGCCCCGGCTTGTGTGGAATTAGCGCCATTTGCCGCGTTATCTCCCACACAGCCATGTGTCTGTGTGATAATGGCTTGACAGGTGATCCCTTTACACAATGCCAACCCATTAAGGCGAATGAAGAGATTATTAATCCCTGTCAGCCTTCACCTTGCGGTGCAAATGCCCAGTGCATACAAAATAACGGTGCCGGCACCTGCCAATGCTTGCCTGAATATTTCGGAAATCCATACGAAATCTGCCGCCCCGAATGTGTGGTCAACTCGGACTGCCCATTAAATAAAGTATGTCAGCAGGAGAAATGTCGGGATCCCTGCCCGGGCACCTGTGGACCCAATGCCGAATGTAATGTTGTCAATCACACGCCGATTTGCAACTGCATCACTGGATATATGGGTGATCCATATCGTTATTGTATCAACACTCCAGAACGTAAGCCAGTTTTATTTATTTCACGTAGATATAGTCTAACCTCTTCAGTAGAACTGGTAGTTACTAATTCTAATCATATTTGTTTTAACTAAACTAGAAACTCTCCACGAGTATGTTAATCCTTGTGTACCTTCGCCGTGCGGTGCAAACTCACAATGCCGTGAAGTACAAGGTCAAGCAGTGTGCTCTTGCCTCGTCGAATTTTCAGGGGCCCCCCCAAACTGTAGGCCTGAATGTACTTCTAGTGCTGAATGTACAGCCTCTCAGGCATGCATCAATCGCAAGTGCATTGATCCCTGCCCAGGTGTGTGCGGTTATCAGGCTATTTGCCACGTGCGTAATCATAGCCCGTTATGCATGTGCCCTTCTAGCATGATAGGAGATCCTTTGGTTCGATGCTTGCCGAGACCATCATGTAAGATTTCCTGCTGGATTTGTATATGTATTATTTGAGTAACGGGTAATATCGCTTTGTAGTGTCACCCTTACCCTTGCCCCACCACGACCCTTGTGTGCCCTCTCCATGTGGTCTATATGCATCTTGTCGCAAACAAAATGGCCAAGCTGTGTGTACGTGCTTGGCCAATTACTACGGTACACCACCCACTTGTCGTCCCGAGTGTACTATAAATTCTGACTGTGGCAGCAATCAGGCATGCATTAAAGAGAAATGTGTAGATCCCTGCCCAGGAGCCTGTGGTCTATACACTGTATGCCACGTCATTAATCACACGCCAAACTGTGTATGTGCTCCAGGCTATATTGGTGATGCCTTTGTTGCCTGCCGAACTCCAACACGTAAGCAGCTTAGCTTGATCACTAAATGTGTGGCAGGTTTTAATAGGATCCTTGATCATTTAGCAGCCCGTCCAGCTTATGAAGACCCTTGCAGTCCCAATCCCTGTGGAAGCAATGCAGTTTGCTCTGAAGATGGAAAATGCATATGCATTAATGGCTATGAAGGCGATGCGTATACGATTTGCAGGCCTGAATGTGTTTTGAGCACGGAGTGTCCTCGAAATCTTGCTTGTGTGAAAAATAAATGTGTTGATCCCTGCCCCGATACTTGTGGTATCAACGCGATATGTGAGGTGCATAATCATGTTGCCATGTGCCATTGTCCAGAGCGTACGAGTGGTAATGCTTTTATACAGTGTTCTGCCCAGCCAAGTATGTCAAAATATCTGAAAATATGATAAACAAACATTAGATACAACTAATACCTATACAATTATTTATCCTAGTGACTGTGTATCACAATCCCTGTTTTCCATCACCTTGCGGCCCATATGCCGACTGTCGTGCTCAAGATAATCAAGCCATATGCAACTGTTTACCCAATTACTATGGTGTACCACCTGCCTGCCGTCCAGAATGTAGTACCAACTACGAGTGTCCTACAAATCGCGCTTGTCAAAATCAACGCTGTGTTGATCCCTGTCCAGGTAGCTGTGGTGCCTTTGCTCAGTGCAAAGTGGTTACCCATATTCCTTTCTGTAGCTGTATGTCCGGATTTACGGGCAATCCGTTCGTGCAATGCCACGCGTTGAGTAAGTTTACACTCGATTTAATTCAATATGTCTTACCAAATCGTCTTTGATCTACTACGACAATAGTTAAGCCGTTGCGTGATGTCGTACCTAGTGATCCCTGCCAACCATCACCCTGTGGCCCAAACAGTCATTGTAAACGAGTTGGTGATACGCCATCCTGTACTTGTGCCGAAAACTTCTTTGGTACTCCACCATACTGCCGCCCTGAATGTGTGTCAAATTTTGAGTGCACTTTATCACAGGTTTGTGAAAACAACCGGTGCAAAGATCCATGTCCTGGCCTTTGTGGAACTGGAGCCATATGCCGTGTTTTAAGTCACACCGCTATGTGCTTCTGTGAAGCAGGGTATACTGGAGATCCTTCTGTCTACTGTGCACCTATACAACGAGGTCCTCCAGAAGTACTCGATCCTTGCAATCCCAACCCCTGCGGGGCGTACGCAGAGTGTCGTAAAGAAAATGGCATTGGATCTTGCCAATGTTTGCCCAATTATTTTGGTAATCCCTATGATATTTGCCGACCTGAATGTGTATTCGACTGGGATTGTCCAGCAAATAAAGCCTGCCAACAAGAAAAATGTCGCGATCCGTGCCCTGGAAGCTGCGGACTGAATGCTGAATGCTATGTGCGCAACCATTTACCCACATGCAATTGTATTAATGGCTTCACGGGCGATCCCTACTCTTCTTGCAGTATTTCGCCAAAACGTAAGAAATCCTTAAAATAATAGACGAACGAACTATTCAATATTTTGAACCCCGTTGCAGCGATTATACATGAGTATATAGATCCGTGTCAGCCTTCGCCCTGTGGACCTAATTCCCAATGCAAAGTACTTAATGAACAGTATGCTTGTTCATGTCTGCCTGAATATGTAGGCGCACCACCAGGCTGTAGACCTGAGTGTGTTATCTCATCAGAATGCAGCTTTGAAAAAGCGTGCATTAATAATAAATGCATCGATCCATGTCAAGGAGCCTGTGGCTCTAATGCCGTATGTCATACCAAAAATCATGTGCCACTTTGTACCTGCCAATCAGGTTTTACTGGTGATCCTTTCACGCGTTGTTACCGCATACCTCGTGAGTTACCCTTCAATTCCACCATTCAGATAAATTCTTAACTCATTTAATTATAATTAAGCTCCTGTTGAAACTGTACAATTCGTGCCAATACGCGATCCTTGTCACCCATCTCCTTGCGGAGCTTATGCGCTGTGTGAACCATTGAACGGCCAAGCTGTATGCCACTGCATACCAAACTACTTTGGCATACCACCTAGTTGCCGACCCGAATGTACAACCAGTGCTGAGTGTCCCGCTACATTAGCATGCATTAATCAGCGCTGTGTAGATCCATGCCCTGGATCTTGTGCCTACAACTCGTTATGCAGCGTTCGTAATCACATACCGATTTGTCAATGTCCCACAGGATATGTGGGAGACCCATTTACTCTTTGCACCATTGCCCCACGTAAGCACCAGAAAGTTCTCAATATATAAAAAAAAAAAAAGAATTCTTATCATCATATCATATCTTGCATTAACTTAGCCACGCCCATTGTGAATGATGATCCATGTAATCCGTCCCCATGTGGTGCGAATGCTCAATGCCAGAACGGTGTATGCAGTTGTTTACCTGATTTCCATGGAGATGCTTATGTCGGTTGTCGCCCAGAGTGTGTTTTGAGTGTGGATTGCCCTACAAATCGTGCTTGTGTGCAACACAAATGTATAGATCCCTGCCCGGGTACTTGCGCCCACAACGCAATCTGTGATGTTATAAACCATATTGCTATGTGTCGATGCTCAGAGGGAATGGTAGGAAATGCATTCATACAGTGTAATGAGCTGTCAACTATTCATCGCGTCGTTCCGAAACCTTGTCAGCCATCGCCATGTGGCCCCAATAGTCAATGCCGAGTTCATAATGAAAACGCCGTTTGCTCCTGTGTAGAAGGCTTTATCGGAAGTCCACCGAGCTGTCGGCCAGAATGCACACGAAATTCGGACTGTCTAAATCATTTAGCGTGTCAGCAAAATCACTGCATCGATCCTTGCCCTGGCACGTGTGGCTTTAACGCTATCTGCAATGTTGCCAATCACGCACCCATCTGTAGATGTCCCCCGCATCATCAAGGTAATCCATTCCTGGCCTGTCAGCCCGAACTACCACAAATACCACAGCGTGACGTGCAGCCATGCTTACCATCACCTTGTGGTCCATATGCCGAATGCCACTCTTTAGGTGATCAGCCACAATGCAGTTGTCTGCCGACCTTTATTGGTAATCCACCCAATTGCCGTCCCCAATGTATCACTAATTCGGAATGTAGTTTTGATAAGACCTGCACTGCTCAACGGTGTACCGATCCTTGCATAGATGCATGTGGCCCTCATGCCATCTGCAATGCTTTAAGCCATGAAGCTGTATGTCATTGTGCACCAGGCTACACCGGGAATCCTTTTATTGGGTGCGTAGCTCCTACACTAATTCAACAAAATCCTCCGGAAACTCCTTGTTCTCCAAATCCATGTGGCGCCAATGCCGTTTGTCGCGAGCAAGGCACTGTTGGCTCATGCCAGTGTCTACCGGAATACCATGGTAACCCGTACGAAAGCTGCCGCCCAGAGTGTATAAATGACAGCGATTGCCCGGCAGACAAATCCTGCCACCAACTTAAGTGTCACGATCCTTGCCCAGGCATATGTGGCCTAAACTCAATATGTCGTGTAATAAACCATTCTCCCACTTGCCAGTGCTTAAGCAACTTTGAAGGTGATCCTTATCGTTTTTGTCGTCCACTCGAGAAGCGTAAGTTAATTTTTAATTTTTGCAAAGGCTCATCAAATACTCAACGTCCTCTTTAATCAACAGCTGTTTATAAAGAATACATTAATCCCTGCCAACCATCGCCCTGCGGTCCCAATTCCCAGTGTAACACATCGCATAATGGGCAAGTCGTGTGCTCTTGTCTACCCAATTATTTTGGAACACCTCCAAATTGCCGACCAGAATGTACAACTAATGCCGAATGTGCACAAAACAGAGCTTGTGCCGATCAAAAATGTACCAATCCGTGTGTTGATATATGCGGCACTAATGCTGATTGTCGCGTTGTCCGACATGCTCCTATTTGTAGCTGTAAACGCGGCTTTACTGGAGACGCTTTTTCACGTTGTTTCCCCCTTCCACCACGTAAGACATAGATGATTTGATTTTTGAATACCCTTCATAAAATACGATATGTTTTGTTACGAAGGCCTATAACATAATTACAGGCTCAATACGACGAGACATATTTTGGAAGCCATTTCTTTCAGTCCGTTTTAACTATCAGTCTACTTTTAGTTTCAAAACTTTTAAGCCACCCCTTTTTAACTAAAGTATGGTTTTGTAAATCATACACAACACTTTCTTATACAATTGAAAAATTGTGAAGGGTATTATAGCTTCGGCGATGCTGAAGATAAAGTTTCCTCTAGTAGAATGTGACACAACTTTTATTTTAACCATATAGCACCAGCCGTACATATCCAATCGGAAGTTTACCGTAATCCTTGCATACCGTCGCCTTGCGGCCATTATGCAAAGTGCCACGATAACCGCGGTACAGCCACTTGTATTTGTTTGCCCAACTACTATGGTACACCACCCAATTGCCGACCACAGTGCACTATTAATTCGGACTGTCCAGCACATTTGGCCTGTCTGCAACAGAAATGTATCGATCCCTGCCGCGGTGCTTGTGGATTTAATGCCATTTGCCAGGTTATTAATCATACACCTAACTGTCAGTGTATACATGGCCAAAGGGGCAACCCGTTTGTATCCTGTCAAATACAACCAATTCCGCCTATACCGCACCAAGACGATGCTTGTCTGTCCTGTGGAGCCAATACAATTTGTAACGATGGCAAATGTATCTGTTTACCGAATTATCGGGGAAATCCATCAATTGGATGTCGTCCGGAGTGCGTGTTGAATACAGAATGCACTAGTCGGCAAGCTTGTGTTCAACAAAAGTGCGTTGATCCTTGTCCAGGCACATGCGGTATAGATGCCATTTGCGAGGTTCACAACCATGTGGCCATGTGCCATTGCCCTGCTGGACTAACCGGGAACGCCTTTGTACAATGTCGTCCCTTGCCGCCAGAGCCTTCGCGAGTAATTTCAGATCTCTGCCAGCCATCACCATGTGGACCAAACTCACAATGCCGCAACATTAACTCACAAGCGGTATGCTCCTGTTTACCTCAATTTGTGGGCGTGCCACCATCTTGTCGCCCTGAATGTGTGAGCGATACGGAATGTCCACTTCATTTGGCTTGTCTTCAGAAGCGTTGTCAAGATCCATGTCCGGGCGCATGTGGCCTGAATGCCAAATGCCGTGTTATTAACCACAGTCCCAACTGTGTCTGCATAAATTCCTACATTGGAAATCCATTTATCGCTTGTCAGCAAAATCTACCCTCAACTAAACTGGAATCGGACCAGGATCCTTGCTATCCCTCCCCTTGTGGTCCCAACTCAGAGTGCCAAGAAATTGATAAAAGCGCCGTTTGTAAATGTGTGATAGGCTTTATTGGCACACCACCAAACTGTAGACCCGAATGTATCAGTAACTCGGATTGTGCACTTAATGTGGCTTGTATAAATCAGAAGTGCCGTGATCCATGTCCAGGAGTCTGCGGTACAAACGCCGAGTGCTATGTGATTAATCATACTCCAACATGTATATGCGTTAGTGGTTACACTGGTAATCCTTTTGTCAGCTGTGATATCCAAAATTATTTAGTACAGCAGAATGAGCCACTTAATCCCTGCGTCCCCAGTCCTTGTGGTGCTAACGCACTATGCACAGAGCGCAATGGCGCCGGTGCCTGTCAGTGCTTGGACAACTACTTTGGCAATCCGTACGAGGGCTGCCATCCAGAGTGTGTGCTTAACTCAGACTGTCCATCGCACTTGGCATGCTTGCGCCATAAATGTCTCGATCCATGTCCCGGTACTTGCGGTCGCAATGCAGATTGCTATGTCCGCAATCATCTTCCAGAATGTAGTTGCGTTGCTGGCTACGAGGGAAATCCCTACAGTTATTGCAGTGTTAAGCACGAACGTAAGCATAATATCAACCGCTTTATTCTATCTATCATCAATACGTATATCCCCTTACCAGCAATTCAAAAACTTCAACCATCGCGGCCTTGCCAGCCTTCTCCTTGCGGTCCTAATGCACAGTGTCGCGAAGTTGACAGACAAGCTGTTTGTAGTTGCCTAGCCGACTTTGTCGGTATCCCACCTGCCTGCCGACCCGAGTGCATAATTTCTAGCGAATGTCCATTGGACAAAGCCTGCATCCATCAACACTGCGTCGACCCTTGTCCTGGAATTTGCGGCAAAAACGCTGTGTGTTATACGCGAAACCACGGCCCATACTGTAGTTGTATTTCTGGTTACACGGGTGACGCTTTCACGTCTTGTCATCCCATACGTAAGAATTGAATTAATTTTTTTAATTTGTCCGTCTATGAAACCATTTTCCCCTTTGTGCAGCTCCACTGATAATCTTCGACTATCCTAAGGATACTTATCGCGATCCTTGCGTGCCCTCGCCTTGTGGCACTTTTGGTCTGTGTCATGCTCAAAACGATCAAGCTATTTGCACTTGTGCACCCGGTTACTTTGATGCACCACCACACTGTCGCCCAGAATGTATTATTAATTCCGACTGCGCCGCCCACTTGGCCTGCTTTAATGAAAAGTGTCGCGATCCATGCCCTGGCTCATGTGGTGTTGCATCCGAGTGCAGTGTAATTAATCACACGCCGATTTGTAGATGTTCACCTGGCTTTGAGGGCAACCCATTTGTCAATTGTGTTCCCAAGCTTCCGCCGCCAACACCAACCATACTCCTAGATGCTTGTACCCCTTCACCTTGCGGCTCAAACACTATATGCAGAGATGGCCGATGCAGCTGCTTGCCTGATTTTGAAGGCAACCCTTATGTTGGCTGCCGTCCCGAATGTGTACTCAATAGCGACTGTGCGCATGATTATGCCTGTATAGGCAGCAAATGCATTGATCCGTGTGTAGGAGCTTGTGGAGTTGGTGCAATTTGTGAAGTTAGCCGTCATGTGCCAATGTGTCGATGCCCTGAAGGCATGACCGGCAGTGCATTTGTTCACTGCACAAGAGTACAATGTAGGTCCCATCATAAATTAATCATATTGATAAATACAAACTTATCCACATTCGTTCTTCTGAATAGCTGAACCAATACGACCTCGCAATCCGTGCCTTCCCACGCCCTGCGGCTCTAATGCGCAGTGCCGAGTAGCTAATGAGCAGGCAGTCTGCTCTTGCCTGCCCAACTTTTATGGCACGCCACCGCATTGCCGACCAGAGTGTACTATAAACTCTGATTGTGCTCCTCACTTGGCTTGCTTCAATCAACAGTGCCGCGATCCCTGTCCTGGCGCGTGTGGACAACACGCATTGTGTCAGGTTATAAATCACACGCCGCACTGTAGGTGTCCTGCAGGGTACACTGGTAATGCATTTAGTTTGTGCCAACGTCTGCCTCCGCCACGCATTTTATCATCGAATCCTTGCGTACCCTCGCCCTGTGGTCCTAACTCTGTATGCACACCAACCGCCGACGGCACCCAAGCAAAATGCCAGTGCTCAAACGATTTTATAGGAACCCCACCCAACTGCCGGCCAGAATGTATCACATCTGTAGAGTGCCCCAATCAACTTGCTTGTATTACTCATAAATGTCGCGACCCTTGTCCTGGATTATGCGGTTTGGCCGCAAGATGCCAAGTGATCAGCCACGTACCTTCCTGTGTTTGCATGGCGGACTATATCGGAGATCCATTCATTCAGTGTTATCCACGACCACCAGTTGAGCTTGATCAAGTACATCCATGTGTGCCTAATCCTTGTGGGAGCAATGCTGTGTGCAAACAACAAGGCAGCGCTGCTGTATGCCAATGCCTTACAAACTACTATGGCGATCCTTTTGATAACTGCCGACCGGAATGTTTGCTCAACACAGATTGTCCTTCGAATAAGGCCTGTCAGCAGCAGCATTGTCGTGACCCTTGTCCAGGAGCCTGTGCACCTAACGCTCAATGCACCGTAGTCAACCATTTGCCAGCATGCAGTTGCAATATCGGCTACAACGGAGATCCGTATCAGTACTGTCACTTGCATCAAGATGAATGTAAGCAACTTATTTCAAATTATCAATCAAAGCAGTTATTTTTCGTTGCTTATATAGATAGTTACACTAACTCCCTTTTTAATATTTTGTTCTCACCTCCTTGCACTCCCCTAGCTACCTACATTAATCCCTGTGAGCCCACACCCTGCGGCCCAAATGCACAATGTCGTGAAACTAATGGCCAGGCTATTTGTACATGCTTGCCCGACTACTTTGGAATACCACCTGCCTGTCGGCCCGAATGCACCAGCAATGCCGAGTGTCCTTCTGACAAGGCTTGCCTGGGAAGAAGGTGCCGTGACCCTTGTCCTGGCTTGTGTGGAAGCAATGCCTTATGCGAAACGCATCAACACCAAGCCATGTGTTTCTGTCAGCCTGGTTATACTGGAGATGCTTTTGTACGTTGTGTGCCAATTCCAGCACCGACTCGTTCGCCCCACTCAAACCCATGTATACCCTCGCCCTGCGGCCAATATGCTCAATGTCATTTACAGAATGAACAGGGCATTTGCACGTGTTTACCCCAGTACTACGGCTCGCCTCCCTATTGCCGACCCGAATGCATTATGAACTCCGACTGCCCCAGTCACCGTGCATGTATCAACGAAAGGTGTCGCGATCCCTGTCCAGGCGCTTGCGGCTTGCACGCGCGTTGCAATATTTTGAACCATGTCCCAAGTTGCTCATGCCCAAGTGGTTTTGTAGGTGATCCATTCTATCGCTGTTATCCTATACCGATTTCAAGCCAACACTTAGCAAATGAAGAACCTTCAGTGCCTATAAAAATAACTGCCGATGATCCTTGTAGCCCCTCCCCATGTGGCCCTAATGCACAATGCATTCAAGGTATTTGTAGTTGTTTGCCACTGTACCACGGTAATCCATATGTAGAATGTCGTCCTGAATGCATTCTCAGCACAGAGTGCCGCTTAGATAGCGCTTGTGTGCGCAATAAGTGTATCAATCCTTGTCCTGGCACATGTGGTGTATCTGCTATTTGTGAAGTGCACAACCATGTTCCCATGTGTCACTGTCCAGCTGGAATGCAAGGGAATCCCTTCGTGCAGTGTGACCCAATACCACAAAATAATTTACCCAAAGTTACACTCAAGCATCCATGCCAGCCTTCACCATGCGGCGCTCATGCCCAATGCCGAGCTCTCGGCCAGCAAGCAATTTGCACCTGTCTGCCTGATTACTATGGTAGCCCACCTTCTTGTCGGCCGGAATGCACCACCAATCAAGAGTGTTCTTTAATTTTGGCTTGTATAAATCAAAAGTGCCATAATCCTTGTCCGGGTGCTTGTGGGCATTTCGCTGAGTGTCATGTGATTAATCATAGTCCACAATGTATTTGCCCCACCGGATATACCGGCAGTCCATATGTACAATGTCACCCAATTATAGAACAACATAGTTTGCAACGAGAGCCCATTGATCCATGCATGCCGACTCCCTGCGGCCCGCACTCGCATTGCAGCAGTGCCAACGCTGTTGCAACTTGCCGATGCCTGCCCGAATTTATAGGCGTACCACCTTACTGTCGGCCTGAATGTATTTCTAATAGCGAATGTCCCAGCGACAGAGCTTGCATTAACCGAAAGTGCCACGACCCATGTCCAGGCCTATGTGGGCTTAATGCCATTTGTAGAACCTACAATCACAATCCGGATTGTGTTTGTGCACCTGGCTTGGTCGGTAACCCATTTAACGCATGCCAGCAACTGCCGACGATACCGTTATCAACTACGGCCGTACAATTGCCTGTCTATAATCAGCCCATTATCAATCCGTGCAATCCAAATCCTTGCGGCGCCAATGCGCGATGTAATCAGTACCATGATATTAGCTCATGCACTTGTCTGCCCAAATACTACGGCAATCCCTACGAAGCTTGTCGCCCTCAATGTGTACTTAACAGTGACTGTCCTTCAAATAAAGCCTGCGTACAACAAAGCTGCCTCGACCCCTGCCCTGGCACATGCGGCCAAAATGCAGAATGCTATGTAATGGACCATATACCCCATTGCAACTGCTATAGTGGCTACAGTGGTAACCCATTTACCCATTGCAAGCCTATCCCAGTTCAAGACGTACAACAATGTAAGCAAAATATAGCAACATATATTTCTCAAGTTAGTTCATTTTTAATATTGGTCTCTGCCTCAGCACCAGTTGTGTATATAAATCCTTGTCATCCATCACCTTGTGGTCTTAACGCTGAGTGCCGTGATGTGGGTGAGCAGGCAATTTGCTCATGCCTGCCCAATTTTTATGGTACTCCACCCTTCTGCCGACCCGAGTGTACACTTAACTCAGAATGTACTTTTGACAAATCATGTGTGCAGCAAAAGTGCGTCGACCCATGTCCTGGAGTTTGTGGTCTTAATGCTGAGTGCCGCGTGCACTACCATAGTCCAATTTGTTACTGCAGGCCTTTCCATACAGGTGATCCGTTTACGCGTTGCTACAAAATCCCGAAAAGTAAGAAAACTTTTGAACAAATGATTTATTCAGAAAACAAGTGTTATTTTGGTTTTAACTTTACCAATACAGCTCCAAGTGTTATTCGACCAGCAATATTTGATACATCAGCACCGCCTTATCCAGTTTCAATACCAGGATTAATAAACATACCCACCAGAGCCCCTCAATTACCAAAACCAGAAATTATAAACATTCCTGCACCTCAACCATCAACACCGCCCACTAAACAAGCTGTTTTCCAAAAGCCAGGTGTTACCAACATTCCTTCTATACTGCAACATACACCCCCACAACAAGAGTCACCAAAACCGGGAGTTATCAACATTGGTTCTAAGCCTATTCCAGAATACCCACCGCCACAACGCATACCTCAGATGCCACAACGGCCAATATATGACGTTTATTACCCGCCCCCACCATCAATACCAGGGGTTATAAATATTCCTTCTTTACCAAAGCCAATATACTCGACGACACCATCAGACGGTTTTATGAATCCAACTCCACAAGCACCAAATTCAGAGACCATCAACATTCCTTCAATATCGCCTCAAAACTACGATGTTTATTACGGCACACCAAAACCACCAACACCAGGAATTATCAACATTCCTTCAGAAGCTCATCCGACTCCACCTGTTTCTCAGCCACCATTGTTTATATCTTCATCTACGCCAACAACTTCTCCGCCAAAACTGAATGTTATCAACATTCCTTCAGTACCGCAACCTGTTAATCCTTCTCCACAGTCTCCAACCTATGATGTTAATTATCCAACACCTCAACAGCCAAAGCCAGGAGTTATCAACATTCCTTCAGAAACTCATCCGACTCCACCTGTTTCTCAGCCACCATTGTTTATATCTTCATCTACACCAACAACTTCTCCGCCAAAACTGAGTGTTATCAACATTCCTTCAGAACCGCAACCTGTTCATCCTTCTTCACAGTCTCCAACCTATGATGTTAATTATCCAACACCTCAACAGCCAAAGCCAGGAGTTATCAACATTCCTTCAGAAGCTCGTCCGACCCCACCTAATGCTCAGTCACCATTGTTTATATCTTCATATACGCCAACAACTTCTCCGCCAAAACTGAGTGTTATCAACATCCCTTCAGTACCGCAACCTGTTCATCCTTCTCCACAGTCTCCAACCTATGATTTTAATTATCCAACACCACAACCACCAACACCAGGAGTTATCAACATTCCTTCAGAAGCTCGTCCGACCCCACCTAATGCTCAGTCACCATTGTTTATATCTTCAACTACACCAACAACTTCTCCGCCAAAACTGAGTGTTATCAACATCCCTTCAGTACCGCAACCTGTTCATCCTTCTCCACAGTCTCCAACCTATGATGTTAATAATCCAACACCACAACCACCAACACCAGGAGTTATCAACATTCCTTCAGAAGCTCGTCCGACCCCACCTAATGCTCAGTCACCATTGTTTATATCTTCATCTACGCCAACAACTTCTCCGCCAAAACTGAGTGTTATCAACATCCCTTCAGTACCGCAACCTGTTAATCCTTCTCCACAGTCTCCAACCTATGATGTTAATTATCCAACACCTCAACAGCCAAAGCCAGGAGTTATCAACATTCCTTCAGAAGCTCATCCGACTCCACCTGTTTCTCAGCCACCATTGTTTATATCTTCATCTACACCAACAACTTCTCCGCCAAAACTGAGTGTTATCAACATTCCTTCAGAACCGCAACCTGTTCATCCTTCTCCACAGTCTCCAACCTATGATGTTAATAATCCAACACCACAACCACCAACACCAGGAGTTATCAACATTCCTTCAGAAGCTCATCCGACTCCACCTGTTTCTCAGCCACCATTGTTTATATCTTCATCTACACCAACAACTTCTCCGCCAAAACTGAGTGTTATCAACATTCCTTCAGATCTGCAACCTGTTCATCCTTCTACACAGTCTCCAACCTATGATGTTAATAATCCAACACCTCAACAGCCACAGCCAGGAGTTATCAACATTCCTTCAGAAGCTCATCCGACTCCACCTGTTTCTCAGCCACCATTGTTTATATCTTCATCTACACCAACAACTTCTCCGCCAAAACTGAGTGTTATCAACATTCCTTCAGAACCGCAACCTGTTCATCCTTCTCCACAGTCTCCAACCTATGATGTTAATAATCCAACACCACAACCACCAACACCAGGAGTTATCAACATTCCTTCAGAAGCTCGTCCGACCCCACCTAATGCTCAGTCACCATTGTTTATATCTTCATCTACGCCAACAACTTCTCCGCCAAAACTGAATGTTATTAACATTTCTTCAGTACCGCAACCTGTTCATCCTTCTCAACAGTCTCCAACCTATGATGTTAGTTCAGATCTTCATGGCCAAATTAATCCATGCTACCCTTCACCGTGCGGTCCATTTTCGCAATGCAATAATCGCTTTACAGTGGCTATATGTACATGCTTACCCAACTATAGTGGTACACCACCAAATTGCCGACCAGAATGTGTAGTTCACTCTGACTGTCCGGCCTCCTTGTCATGCATAAACAGTAAATGTGAAGATCCCTGTCCTGGTGCCTGTGCTTACAATGCTATATGTCGGGTTCAAAATCACGTGCCAAATTGTCTGTGTCCAGCAGGCTATACAGGCAACGCTTTCATTTCCTGCCAACCCACGCGAACACAACTAAGTGCTCAACCAGAAAAGGATCCTTGTTACCCGTCACCCTGTGGGACAAATGCCATTTGCAACAAAGGCATATGTAGCTGCGTAGCCGAATACCAAGGTGATCCATATAATGGATGTCGCCCGGAATGTATTCTCAACACCGACTGTATGCGAGACAAAGCTTGCATTAATCAGAAATGTGTCGATCCTTGTTCAGGAAATTGTGGCTTGAATGCCGTATGTCATGTTAAAAATCATTTACCAACGTGTGCTTGTCCAGAAAATATGCAGGGAAATGCATTTATACGATGCGATCTCGTTCCCGTTGCCATACCCCCAGCTATAACTACAGCGACGCCCATCATATTAACATCTGTTATTACACAGAATGTTTCTGTTGATCCTTGTCGACCTTCACCATGCGGCCCTAATGCAAATTGTCGTGTTTATCGGGATCAAGCTATCTGTTACTGCCTGCCAGGTTACTTTGGCACGCCACCTGCCTGCCGTCACGAATGTACAGTACACTCTGATTGTGCCCTGGATAAATATTGTTTGAATCTTAAATGTCAAAATCCCTGTCCAGGCGCATGTGGCTTACACGCCATATGCCATATTCAAAATCATAGTCCTGTCTGCATTTGTCCACCACGGACAACGGGCAACCCATTGTTAGCTTGCCAGGCCATAGGTATGAATATAACTCCCTGATAAATATGCAATGTCATACTCATGTTAAAAGGAATTTTTTCAGTTACACCCCAAACAGCACCGGAGACCCACGATGAGATTAATCCATGTCAGCCCTCACCTTGTGGACCCAATTCACATTGCATATCCACTGGACAAACGGCTCGCTGCTCATGCTTGCATGAATTTATAGGCACTCCACCTTATTGTCATGCTGAGTGCGTAAGCAATGCCGATTGTCCAATCAATAGGGCTTGCTTCCGCCGTAAATGTGTTGATCCTTGCCCGGGTACTTGTGATCAGTCAGCCCTATGCCGTACGATCGCCCATAGTCCAATTTGCTACTGTCCACCAGGGCACATAGGTGATCCATATAGCTCATGTAGGCGTCCACTCATTGAACAGACATCGCCAGTGCGACGGATCCCATGTAGTCCTAGTCCCTGTGGTATTAATGCAATTTGTCAGCCCCATAACGATTTCAGTGTGTGTCAGTGCCTACCCGATTATTTTGGTAATCCCTATGAAATTTGTCGCCCCGAATGCACACGAAATTCTGACTGCACCAGCGATAAGGCATGTATGAACGGAAAATGTCTTGATCCTTGCCCCGGCTCTTGTGGAATAAACTCGTATTGTCAAGTGGTTAATCATGCCCCCACATGCGAATGTATTGCAGGATATGTAGGAAATCCTTATAGTGCATGTCAACTTTTGCAGCAAGAACGTAAGAATAACTTAATATATCTGCTTAGCCTTCACGACATATTTACGCGTCGTTCTTCTCCGCTCCGCTCTGCGCTCTATATCTTTCGTCTTTCATTCTTTTCCCGAAAGAACAACATGAATCTCGAACTCTTTTGCCGTCGAACTTTGCCAAATAAAACCTTATTCGCACCATATATTACTTACCAAAAATTCTACAAATTCTTCACATATGTTTGCCTAAGCTTTATTTAATTTATAAGCATTTTACTTGTGGAGAAATTTTTTTTATATTTGACTTAAATTGGGATATGAAGCTCATAACATATATTTTACAATAGTCAATAGAGAAATACGTAATATTTATAGCTTCCAACGCTTTTAACCTCGCTTTGCTCAATTTTGTATAAATTAATTCAAGCACATTTAATCAGTTTTAATTAATAAAAACTGTCATTTCCCTAAATCAGCCACGCCTCCAACCGTCTACATCGATCCCTGTAATCCGTCACCTTGTGGCTACAATGCACAGTGCCGCGAATCAAACGGCCAAGCAATTTGCTCGTGCCTTCCGGAATTTGTAGGCACGCCACCCGCATGTCGCCCTGAATGCGTCATCAGTAGCGAGTGTTCGTCAGACAAAGCTTGCATAAATCAGAAATGCCAAGATCCTTGTCCAGGTTCCTGTGGTGTAAATGCCAAGTGTCATGTGCGAAACCACAGTCCTCTATGCTCATGTGAAGTCGGTTACACAGGCGATGCCCTCACCCGTTGTTTGCCCCTACCACCACGTAAGCCATTATTTCCCTCGATTTAAAAATAAATGAATATGTAGCCAAATGTCTTATCCTAGCACAAACAAAGCAACCAACCAAAGATATAAATCCATGCATTCCTTCACCCTGTGGCTCTTATGCGCAATGCCGGGAAATCAATGGCGGCGCCAGTTGCAGTTGTTTGCCAAGATACATTGGCTCACCTCCGAATTGTAGACCAGAGTGTACGATAAATGCCGAATGTCCAAGTAATTTGGCTTGTATCAAAGAACAATGTCGTGATCCCTGTCCTGGAGCCTGCGGCTTTGCGGCTCAGTGTAATGTTATCAATCATACGCCTAGCTGCTCTTGCCGCCCCGGCTTTACGGGGGATCCATTTACCAGTTGCAGGGAGCTGCCACCTGCATTACCTAAGCCAGCACCAAGTATGACTGCCCTTTACATGTCCCTTACTCTTGTGGGCACTAACTCAATTTATTTACAGCACGCGATGATCCTTGCATTCCCTCACCTTGTGGCTTCAATGCTATCTGCCACAATGGCCAGTGTTCGTGTCGTCCAGAATACCGGGGAAATCCGCTTATAGGCTGTCGTCCTGAGTGCGTTTTGAACGCAGATTGCCCACGAAATCGTGCCTGTGTGCGCAATAAATGCATAGATCCCTGTCCGGGAACTTGTGGACAGCAAGCGACGTGTTATGTAGCCGATCATGTTGCCATGTGCAGCTGTCCTCCTGGATTGACGGGCAATGCATTCATATCCTGTGAGCCCATGCCTGACATACCAGTTCCCAAGCCCTGCCATCCATCGCCTTGTGGACCTAATTCGATATGCCTGGAGCGCAATGATAATGCTATATGCTCATGTGTTCCTGGTTACACCGGAAATCCACCGACTTGCCGGCTGGAGTGCTACACAAGCTCAGACTGTGCTCAAATTCATGCCTGCGTCAACAATAAATGCGTGGACCCTTGTCCAGGTCAATGTGGACTAAATACAGTCTGTCAGGCTATACAACATCGTGCTCATTGTGAATGCATCGCTGGGTATACTGGCAATCCACGTATCCTTTGCAATCGTATTTTCATCGAACGTAAGCCGGAGAAGACATCAGACCCTTGTCTCCCCTCACCTTGTGGTTCCAACGCCCAGTGCAGAACTGAAAAAGGGCAAGCAATTTGCTCTTGTCTGCCCGAGTTCCAGGGCACACCACCCAACTGTCACCCTGAATGTACCAGTAACGACGAATGCGCCAATAATTTGGCATGCATTAATCAAAAGTGTCTTGATCCTTGTCCCGGCTCATGTGGACATAATGCTATTTGTTTGGTTACTCTTCACACGCCCAATTGTCATTGCCCATCGGGTATGACAGGTGATCCATTCCGGTTATGTCAGGAAATACCCAAAAGTAAGAGACAAAGCATAGTCGAGTTTGCATATTGTATATAGGCACACAGGAATTTTTAAGCACTTTATTATTATTGGCTAATATTTATATAACTTATTCTTTATCACAGCACTGCCTAAACCACCAACTACACAGCCTAAGAATCCATGCCAACCTTCACCTTGCGGCATCAATTCGGAATGCCGTGTACGTGGAACCAACTATGTCTGTGACTGTATCAACGAGTACATTGGCAATCCTTACGAGGGCTGTCGCCCTGAGTGTCTGGGTAACTCGGACTGTCCAGCCAACCGCGCCTGCATACAGAATAAGTGCACAGATCCATGCCCCGGTACCTGTGGCGTGGAGGCTCTTTGCACAATCAACAACCACATTCCTATATGCTCTTGTCCAGTGGGATACTCTGGGAATGCATTTGTACAGTGCACACGTATTGATGAGCAACCCCCTACACAGTCAGACCCTTGCTATCCCTCACCTTGTGGTCACAACTCAGTGTGTCGAGTGCAACGCAATCAGGCTGTATGTGAATGCTTGCCTGGCTTCTTTGGCAATCCACTAGATCAAGGCTGTCGACCCGAATGTACGCTTAGCTCCGATTGTGCCAAGGATCGTACCTGCGTTAATTCAAAATGTGTTGATCCCTGCCCTGGCATGTGCGGTTTTGGTGCCGAGTGTCTCGCCATTAATCACAATCCGATTTGCAAGTGTCCAAACGACATGGTTGGCAACCCCTTCGTACAATGCGAAGCTCGCAGAGAAGTTGAACCCCTTGACCCTTGCCTTGTTTCACCTTGCCGCAAGGGCACATGCCATGTAGTTAATGGGGCAGCCATTTGCAGTGAGTGCAGAACTAATGAAGAATGCTCTCGAGGTCGCATCTGCATTAATGAGAAATGTCGCGATCCATGCATCAATGCCTGTGGCCTCAACGCTATTTGCAATTCAATCAATCATAAGGCCGTATGTACATGCCCACCTGGCTTCTATGGCTCACCATACAATCAATGCGTTAAGCAGTTACCAGAAATAAAACCACCACGACCCGAGTGCATGAGTGATTCAGAATGCACCAATGACAAGGCCTGCATCGATCAAGTTTGCCGCAATCCTTGTGAACAATCTCAGATTTGTGGAAAGAACGCACGCTGTCACGTACAACTCCATCGTCCACTCTGCATTTGCAATGAGGGCTACACAGGCAATGCGCTGCAATACTGTCACCTACTGGGCTGTCGTGCCGATGAGGAATGCCCCGCAACACAGGCCTGTATTAACCAGCAATGCGTAGATCCTTGCAGATTTACACAGTGCGGTACAAATTCGGTTTGTCGCGCCGACTACAATCACAAGGCGCGTTGCTACTGTCCTGATGGATACAGAGGTAATCCGCTGATTAGCTGTGAACGCCCTGAGTGTACAAGTGATGAAGAGTGTTCCTTCAATTTGGCTTGCCGCAACGAGCGTTGTGAGGATCCATGCAACTGCGGCCTTGGTGCCCAATGCCGTGTGGAAAATCACCGTGCTCAATGTCGCTGCCCTGCCGGCTATAGCGGCAACCCCACCGTGCGTTGTGAATTGATACCAGCTCAACCCGATGGTTGTACCATGGATGCAGAATGTGCCAGCAAATTGGCATGCTTTTCGGGTGAATGCAAAAATCCATGCGACGTGGCACATCCATGCGGTATTAATGCGATTTGTGAAGTTGTGAACACACTACCGCTTCGAACGATGATTTGTCGCTGCGAACCAGGCTATGTGGGTGACGCTGACATTGGATGCCGCAAAGGTTCGTTGTCGTGCTCAGATCTGTCTGACAATATTTATGAATACATATTTTATATGAATATAAAATATACATACACTTGCAAGAATTGAGGGCTTTCCTAAAAACGTATATTTTTCGAACTAATTTTTTAGTAGATAAAGCCTTAGGCCTTAATGATATTAATATTAAAATATATATATTATGTAAAGTCCTAAATTCTCTAAAAGCTCTTAGACCGCTGAATTAAAGCTTTAATTGATGTACAAAATTCCGATTTCTTCCATAGTACAACATTTTTATTTACATCTCTTATCAATTATAGCATTGTATATAAGAAAGAAAAATCACTTGCAAGAGTATATTTTAAGGAGCTTCGGCGTGCCGAAGTAAACTTTTGTATTATTGCCGAATTTAGAGTTTGCTTATTTCATTCCAGCCAAGTATTGTAAAGTATTACAAAAAATGTGTTATTACTTTTTACATATTATAGAGTTGCACTTTATTTTGTAAAACACCAATTTTTTATATACTTGGGCACTTTATAACCTAACTAGTTCACAGACACCTATCTAAGCCACACTTAAAAACAATCACTCAAGCCGTGCATCAAAAATTTAACCCATGATTTTGTATTACTTAGAGCCCACACGTGATCACGGGTGTCTATCACATAACGAATGCCAGGACACGGAAGCCTGCCGCAATGGTAACTGCGTTAATCCCTGCCTTGATTCATCTCCTTGTGCACGGACTGCTGACTGCCTGGCACAACAACATCGTGCTATGTGCAAATGCCCACAAGGTACTCAGGGTGATCCATTTATCAACTGTTATCAGCCACGTAAGCTAAATATTGTTAAATGTATTAAATTAGAAATACAAGAGTATATGAAATTGAAATTGCAGCTCAAATAACTGCTGGATGTACTCATGACTCTGAATGCACGCCCACTACAGCGTGCATCAATAAGCGCTGTCAAGATCCATGCGCTGAGGCCAATCCATGCGCAGGCAATGCAGAATGTCGCGTTCAGAACTCAAGGCCCACCTGCTACTGTCCAGCTGGATGGGGTGGCGATCCACAAGTACAGTGCTATAAACGTAAGTTAAGTATCTTTTAATTCAATTGATATTCTAACCAAGTTCACAATTTTCTACCATAGCCGAGTGTAAGATCAATGCCGACTGTCCCTATGACAAGGCCTGCATCAATGAGAACTGCGTCAATCCCTGCACTTATGGTAATATACGCTGCGGCGTGGGTGCTGATTGTACAGCACAGAATCACCAAGCCGTCTGCATCTGCCCCGCTGGAACGCAGGGAAATCCATTTATTTCCTGTATCACTGGCCATTGTCAATATAACGAAGACTGCGCTGATCATGAAGCGTGCGATCGCTTGAATCGCGTCTGCCGTCCCGTATGCGACGATGATACTTGCGCATTAAACGCTGTCTGTGTAGGCCGTCGCCATCAGCCCGAATGTGAATGTCGCTCCGGCTATCAGGGCAATCCATTTATACAGTGTGCACTACAGGAGCGTACCCCGCAACCGGAGTGCACCCAGGATGCTGAATGCCCATCACAACTTGCCTGCATTCAGCAGCACTGTGCCAATCCTTGTAACACTCCACATGTGTGCACACCACAGCAGACGTGTGCAGTGCTAGATACTTTACCACTGCGTACAATGATCTGCAAGTGTCCTACCGACACATTGACAGATAACTCGGGCAACTGCATACCTATCCAGCATGGCATTGTTGTAGGATGCCAACATAACGAGGAATGTGCTAATACTGAGATCTGTCAGCATGGTAATTGCCTGGAAGCATGCCACTTGGAACAATGCGGAAAGAATGCACAGTGCAGTGCCCGTGATCACTACGCCCAGTGCAGCTGTCCACGTGGCTACCAGGGAAATCCTCGTATTGAATGCTACACCACAGAAATAGCTATACCCAAATCCCCAGAAGCAGAATGTACCAAGAACGACGACTGTCCGAACGATAAATCCTGTCGTAATGAACGATGCGTAAATCCTTGTGTCGACGATCCCTGCGGTCAAGGAGCATATTGCCATGCAGAACAGCGCAGAGCGATCTGTCGCTGTCCACCTAGTTACACGGGAGATCCACGTGTACGCTGTTTGCCACGTAAGATTTATGATCTAGCCTTTTCATAAAATGAAACTTAAGTTCGAATTTTTCTTTTCGCAGCTGCCGATGTCATAACCGTCGGCTGTAAATCAAACTCAGACTGTCCTGTGACGGAGGCCTGCCTAAATGCACAATGCATAAGCCCTTGCAACTGTGGACCTAATGCCGAGTGCTCTGTCCGTAATCACCATCCAATATGCTACTGCAAACCTGGATACTCTGGCAATCCGCAATTCGGATGTGTTCAAATTGGCTGTCAATCGGACGATGAGTGCTCCAATGATAACCAGTGCGTGAATCAGGAGTGTATTAATCCGTGCTTGATCACAGATCCTTGTGCACTAAACGCCGAATGTTATGGTCGTGATCATCGCGCGGCGTGCCGCTGCCCAACCGGCCTGGAAGGTGATCCATTTGTACGTTGCATTCGCCTGGAATGTCATTCTGACTTTGACTGTGCCAACAACTTAGCCTGTTTAAACAACCAGTGCGTCAATCCATGCGCTAACAATCCTTGCGCCCGCAATGCTATCTGTCAGGCACTGCAACACAAAGCTATCTGTCGCTGCCCTGAAGACATGCCACTTGGAAATCCACAATCTTACTGTGAGCGTCGCCCTGTTGAGCCCATCTGTCGCGATGATGGAGACTGTCCCAGCCGCTTGGCCTGCATCGACGCAAAATGTAAAAATCCATGTACAGAATTGTCACCTTGTGCCCGCACTGCAAAATGTTCAGTTCTGGATAGCGTTCCGGTGCGCACAATGGTCTGTGAGTGTTCACAATCCTTTGTACCCGATGCAAGCGGCGAGTGCAAACAGTTAGTTCTCCAGAGTCCACCCGGTTGTAGCAGCGATCAAGACTGTCCGGACAGTGAAGCTTGCGTACATCGTCAGTGCCGTAATCCCTGCAACTGTGGTATCAATGCCATCTGTAATGTACAAAACCATCGCGCAGTATGCTCGTGCCAAGATGGATTTGAAGGAAATCCGTATTCCACTTGCCGGTCAATTGGTTGTCGCATCGATGGTGAATGCGATTCGGGCAAGGCCTGCATCAATGGCAACTGCGTTAATCCATGTCTAGTTAATGATCCGTGCGGCATCAATGCCGAATGTTACGTGCAATCTAATCAAGCTCATTGTCGCTGTCAGAGTGGCTATCGGGGCAATCCGTATGATCGATGCCGCGTCATTGGTTGCACCTCCAACAATGACTGTCCCACAGACAAGATGTGCGAAAACGAGCAATGCGTTAATCCCTGCATTTACCACAATCCTTGCTCGCCGCATGCAGAGTGCCGACCTCAAAATCACATGGCTGTCTGCCGCTGTCCGGTTGGCTTCCTTGGAAATCCCTATGTGGACTGTCGTCCTGAGCCACAGCCCGTGTGCAAGTTGGATACTGACTGCCCTGCACGATTGGCCTGCATTAATGACGAATGTGTCGATCCCTGCTCTGTTTTGGAGCCCTGCAATAGACCAGCTCGATGTGAGGTTACTCCAACAGCTCCTGTCCGCACAATGATCTGCATTTGTCCGGATGGTTACATCAGCTCTGGTAGCGGCACCTGCAAGCCCACTTCTGGTATTGTCAAGGTTGGCGGTTGTATATCAGATACTGACTGCTCGGCTGACACATCGTGTGTCAATGGCATCTGCCGCGACCCATGTAATTGCGGGCTCAACTCCGAATGTCGCATCAAGGACCATAAGCCAGTCTGTACCTGTCGCCAGGGCTACGAGGGTAATCCCGAGTTCGAGTGCACAAAAGTAGAATGTAGTGTGGATTCGCATTGTCCCACAACACATGCTTGCCGCAATCAACTGTGCGTTCCCGCATGTCAAGGAGAACAATGCGGATCGAATGCCGAATGCTTAGCTGTCAATCACCGCTCCATATGCGATTGCTTGCCAGGATATGGTGGTAATGCCCGAATTGGATGTACTCCACTTGGCTGCCGTGCTGATGATGACTGTCCCGCTGAGAAGGCTTGCGTCAATGGCAAATGCACAAATCCTTGCGAGACCACAGCGATTTGCGCAATTGATGAAGTTTGTAAGGTCTATCAACATCGTCCGAAATGCGCCTGTCCACCTGGAACCATACTCAGAAGTAACGGTTGCGAGGCAGAACGCGTCGTGCCCATCTGCGTCAGTGATTCTGATTGTCCCAGCCAACGTGCCTGTATTCGGGGAGAATGTGTTAATCCTTGCAATGCTACTCAGCCCTGTGGTGTTAATGCCAAGTGTCGTGTGCTAGATACCATTCCGGTACGCACCATGATTTGCGAGTGTCTGGAGGGCTATACTGGCAATGCGGCCGTGCAGTGTGATAAGCGTTCGATTTGTGTGATTGAGAAAGGTTTTGTGCGGGATATTGATGGCCAATGCGTTTGCCCACCGGGATCTGCTTTAGATGTCTACGAATACTGTACACCTTGCATTGTGGATCAGGGCTTCCGTATCGATGAGACAGGTCATTGCGTCTGCGCTTTAGAACGTGGCATGGTAATTGACGAACGCGGACGTTGCATTTGCCCCATAGATCTAGGCTATCGCCTGACTGCCCTGGGCGAGTGTATACCGGAAGACAAACCCGAATGTGTTACTAACGATGATTGTGCAGATAATCGATATTGCAATAGTGAAACAAAGAGCTGCGAGGACCCTTGCCTAGTAAAGACCTGCGGCATTAATGCATTCTGTAATGCCATTAACCATCGGGCTCACTGCCAATGTATTACTGGTTATTCCGGTAATCCAGATACAATTTGCAACCACACCAACTTCCGTACGGACTTCCCACGCCCTGACATGGTTGTCAGTTGTCTTGCAGATGGTGTGCAAGTGGAAATACACATCACTGAACCTGGTTTCAATGGCGTTCTTTACGTCAAAGGTCATAGCAAGGATGAGGAATGCCGTCGCGTTGTGAATTTGTCCGGTGAAACTGTGCCACGAACAGAAATCTTCCGCGTACACTTTGGCACATGTGGCATGCAAGCGGTAAAGGATGTAGCCAGCTTTGTCCTAGTTATACAAAAGCATCCCAAGCTGGTGACCTATAAGGCGCAAGCGTACAACATTAAGTGTGTCTATCAGACAGGCGAAAAGAACGTCACTTTAGGATTTAATGTATCCATGTTGACGACAGCGGGAACTATCGCCAATACCGGTCCGCCACCCATATGTCAAATGCGTATCATTACTAACGACGGCGAAGAAATTAATTCGGCCGAGATTGGCGATAATCTCAAACTACAAGTAGACGTCGAGCCAGCAAGTAAGTAGAATTGTAGGCACTTTAAGTGCTCTTTTAATTATTTGATTTTATTTCAGCTATCTATGGCGGATTTGCAAGATCGTGCATAGCCAAGACTATGGAAGATAATGTACAAAATGAATACATAGTGACGGACGAAAACGGTTGCGCGACAGATACTTCCATCTTTGGCAATTGGGAATACAATCCAGATACCAACAGCTTACTGGCCAACTTTAATGCCTTCAAATTTCCGTCCAGCGACAACATACGTTTCCAGTGTAACATACGTGTCTGCTTTGGCAAGTGCCAGCCCGTCAATTGTGGGGGCTACAATGCATTTGGTCGACGACGTCGTCGTTCTATTGCGGATAACTCGAACGATACGACAGCTATTGCTACTAACACTGGCGTAGAGGGCCAACTGCGTGAGGAAATTACTATATCATCAAATGCAATTTTGACATTCGAAAAACGCAGCGGTCCAGGCTTAAACGATGCCAATAGTAAGCTCTATTTGCATTGCTTTAATATTTTTTTTTGCTACAATCCATTTCCTTACAGTTAAACCGGCTGCACAGCGCGTTGAGGATATTTGCGTCTCCATGGTGGGTCTGATTATTGCTCTGGTTATAACCGCGCTACTGGCACTTGTTGCCGTTGCAGTGGCAGTCTCTTGCTGGCTAATGGCTTATAGAAGAAGGCCCAAGACTTTGGCGCCATTGCCACATCCACCGGAGTTCCCCAATCCGCTATTCGCCAATCCAGATGCTGTGCCAGAACCAACACCAGATTACATATCCTAAACGTAACTGATAAAACAAGAAATATCTAGATGTAACTTAGACTATACAAAAAAAGGAAAAACAAATTATTGAAAATATTTGAAGTGCTCGTGCAAAAAGATGTTAAAATGAATTGAAATTTAATTTCGCGCTAGCAAATATGCAATGAATGAAGAGTGCAAGAAAAAACAAAAGTAAAATTGTGAGTTGAATGTTAAATTAGCGTTTTTGAAACGCTTACATTGAAAGAAACTGAAAACCTGCATCCTGTCAAGCAGGAGATAAAATCAAGTTGTGAAAATGACACGCAAAACTTAGTGATATAAGATAATAATTTTATGCATCTTGTAGTTCTTTTATCCTACTAATATGAGAGTTTCGCGTAGCACTTCTTGTGTCCAAAAAAGAATTTCAGAAGCCCAAAAAACGTTCAATACTAAACTGCCAAACCTATACGAGGAATACTGTTTCAGAAGTTACCATATCCAAAATAATAATAGTTAGATCAGCAGTAATGTCTCATCACAAGCAGCTACAAACGAATTCTCGTCCACTAACGACAACTTCTTCATTAGTCGATCATAAATATTACTTACTTACATATGTTTGTTATAATATAAATACTAAAGACTTTTTATAAGCACTTAGGGTGTGGGTAGTAGCAACGACACTTTGTATTATAGCACAGATGACACAAACACACACACAGAAACTACTACTTCCTATAATTTATAAAGCGAGCTCGGCTTTTAAAATTACAAACTGCCTTAAATTTGCAACAATTACGATCAATGCACCCCACAATACTCCTTAGTAGAATGTAAGCTAAGCATAGGACAGCAGCATCGACCTCTGTTCAACCAGTGCCACTATGAAACCATTTTCAACCAAAAGACAATATTCCAACGATTGTCTTCCACGGATTGTAGCAATGCTCAAGCACACACACACACACACACACACATACAAACACTCGAATATACACGTCAACAGAAAAGTCACACAAAAGAGCTGAGGCACAAGCAGCAACAAGTCATTCCGTTCCGCTGTTCCCACAAAAAAAAACTGCCACTGAGGCGTCAGCGCAAACAGATTAATAGCCTCACTGTCTACCTAAGGCATAGGAAATATTAGGACTGTTTTAATTTTAAATGCAACAACGACTAATGGAGAACTTGCTTTTCACCGCTCTATACTACCACTACCACTACTTACTATTAATATTTTTGTAGATTTTTAGTCAATTAATATTAAATTGTTGTGATTGTTTTTAATGCAAAAAATACTTCCACTAATTAACTAATAATATAAACAGAGCATAAGTAAATGCTTAAAAATACAACGAAAGGGGACGCCACCGTCCGCACCTACACACATGAACGCAAAATGGCAGCGCTCTGCCGTCAACGCACCGGAAGCTATGCAGCGAATTTTTGTTTCCTGTGCCTGTTTATGGCGAGTAACTGTGTATTTTGCGTGACTTGCGTGTGCGACCTTTGACGCCTAATATTAAATTATTAAAAAAAAAGCTTAAATTAATATTATTAAACGTAAAGAAAATGTATAGTCACTACTTTAAGACAAACGTGAATCAAATGCAAGAAGAAAATAAAACAATATTTCCTTTTAGTAAAATACAATAAACACTCAAACAGCGACACAAACACGCAATGAAATCAATTGTAAATAATGACCACTAGAATTTCATAGTATTTTAATTAGAATTTTTGTGTTTTCGCACTTTTACTCTCACTTTCTTTTATATCAATGCCAGACATCAAATTAATTTCCTTCCTTTATTAATAAACATAGAGCTAAAAGACAGTCAAAGATTTCGCTCACAATGATAATAAGCTTTTATTTTTTCTTTTGTAATCAAAATGTTACGTGTTCTACCATTTCGTACAATCCAAATAGTAATAAGTACTCTTATATATACTATAGAACAACTTTTTGCACTGGCAGCATATACAAATTAAATAAACCACAGACAGTACGAATCTTTTATTGTAAATTTGTTAACGGTAAAATCATAATAGTTAAATTATAATTTTAAAAGCTGTATTTAAACGAAACAGACAAACAAACGAATATAATTTTACTGCTTATTGTAAACTAATAAATATTAAATAAATATGAATAAATTAAAACTTTGTTTCTTTTTTTGAATCTCAACGTTAAATTTTGAGCGTTGCAAGTACTCTCTTGTTTTAACATACCCATAATATATACATATGTATACATATGAATGGCAATTATTTTTGTTTTTGAAAAGTTGGGTTTCGTGCCTCGTTTTGTTCGTGTAGTACTGTAGTACTGGAGAAAAATTGATCCGCTAAATTGTTGTATTACTGACCGATTTTATTAAATTTAAAATAAAGGTAGATAAATTAATAGTATGTATCCGTAGAGTTTTGATCATTGTTGGTAAAACCCTGTAGCAGAAAAAGGATTCCCTAAGAATTAGGAGCGTCTACATTCCAAATTTGATCTATATAGGCTAAACCGATTTGAAATCCAAATCCAATCATCTAAATAGACTAAAAGAGGGACGGGCATGTCGAAGTCAATTTCTCTCGCCATGCTGATGTCGAGCTTCTTACCCTTCTTATCATTAGGGTATAGTGTGAATATCAGGAAACCCCTTTTACTTTCCAAAAATTCCAAAAAATAAAATAAACTCGTCCTTTCTCGGACCTAGGAGAATCTGGATATCAACTTTGGTTATTCCAGCTGTTATAGTTTTTGAGATCTTTGCGTTCATCCAGACAGACGGACGGACATGTCTAGATATACTTGATGGGGTCGGAGATGCTTCCTTCTGCCTGTTACATACTTTGCACAAACCTAATATACCCTTTTTACCCTACGGGTACAGGATATTAAAAGATACAGAAGTTTTTTCTTAAATATATAAATCTACTGAAAATACCAAATAATTGTATCTTTTGAAAAATATAATGAGATGCAATGGTAATATAGTATATATATATATAGTATAGTAGTATAATGGATATAGTATGTATATCTAAAGGCTTATAGTTAAATTAAATAATAATATCCTAGTACTCTGCCTCTCTTTTTTTCTCTCGCTGTCTTTTCTGTAAACACTTTTTTATTTCGATAAACATTTATGTAAGAACAACTGAGTTTTCCATGCACATAAACATCTAGACACTATACACTATAAAAGCTGTCAACGTAAGTATTAATGTCACTTAAGATCCATTTCAATCAACTTCTGTATCATCGTATCTACTTAAATAATATCTCGACACTCAACCCAAAATCCAGTCCCTCAGCGCGTTTTCATAATGCAAGCAGGCTCCGAGCAATGAAAACTCTCGCAAAATTGCGGCATCTTCTTTCCAGTATAATAAAAAATTAAAATGCAAGCGGAGTAGACAATCAAATCTGCTCCCCCAGTCCCCGAGTGCGTGTGCGACGCACTTCATTACCCCCATTAGACAATCTTGTATACTCGTATACATACACGTACATACTCGAGTGTAGACGTAGTCGCTATGGGACTATTGCTGCTATCAACCGTCGCACTCGGGCTATGCTGGATTGACTGCGGCGCTCTCAACGAATCGTAGAGAGTCTTTGAGAGGCAGCGAGAGAGCGCCAACATTGGTGTCAACTGTAAACGATATTCGCAAAAGTGGATGTGGATCAGTTGACATTTGACAGCGGGCGCGTTCGGACGCTCAGAGCGGTTACAAGACAATCCAGACAAATATTTAAGTGGTATACTATATTAAAATATGTATGTTGGCTTAATATTAAGCATGCAAATTTTGTGTTGTAGTATTAATACAGTTTTATTTGTGGCGTCGACTCACACGCTTTGTCTCGATGTTAAAGCTATTTAATTGATACAATCTGACTAATCGCACCGATTACAATACTACGATTCAATTTAGGCGTTTATCGGTGTATCACGAGCTTTAATAAATATGTACATATATACAAATGTCTGGTTCTGGTTGTTATCTTGCTGATTTTCCAAAGAATCAGCTCACGATGTAAATGAAAACCGTGAATCAAAAACAAAGCAGTGTTAATTGCATTTAAAATGACAACATGAATTAAATAACCATTATTATTGCAAATTGCCGTTATGATTATAAATTAATGCGTGTGCGTGCTGATCCAAGTATGAGTGTGTGCGTGTGTGTATGTGCGCCATAATGGACACTAATTTATGAAATTTGCAACATTCCTATCAAACATCAAGCAAAATAGTATTGCTTCTACTCGTACTTTGTTAAGCAAAGGGTAAAATACTTTATCAGTTTACTACGAATATCCTCGGCAATGCTCGGCAATTATGCTTATGTACCCTCATCTATCGTTTTATCATGATGCGAGTAGGTGAATTCCCAAAAATATTATTTTCATGAATGTAATCTCCTCCCGCTCGACTATTTGTTGTTTTAATAAAAAAAAATTGAAAAGTAGATTTTTGTAATTATTCACTCTTTATTGAATTGATGAATTATATGTGTATACATTTTTTTTCTTAAGTCTGCTTTGTGTAGGAACTCGGTGCTTAGCTCATTCGTTGGGCATTAGGCTTCATAGAGCTCACACTAATTTACATATCGCGTGGTCAACTTATTAAAAATGTACACTGTAAATTTTACAGCAAAAACACCGCCCTCCTCCCACAACGCATACACACAGCATGCCATGAAAGACATTGTCTAATTAATTATTTCTGAATATCTACATATTTATGTACGTATTTTTTGCGCTTACTCTGCCATTTCAATGACCTTTAAACCCCAGCCAGTGAAGAGTCAGTGGAGCACATCAAGCCAAACATACCCGGCGACGATGTATCACGAAAAAACTATGACGTAGCACAACTCCATAGACTTGTTGTTTGTATTCCCTCGTTTATTGTGTCTGCAACTGGCAACAACAAAATTCGAAAGCTCCACTTCAAACTATAAAATGAAAGTTGAGTAATAAATGCCAGGTACTACTTGTATTTGTATACGCGTATATACCCGTACGTATGCTGGTGTCGCCGATAAGATACAATTTGTATCTGTCAAGTGAAGTGTGTGCGTATGTGAAGTATGGTGTGAAGAGAAGTGCTTTTTATCTTGACACTGAGAAAATTGAAATGGGACCAAAGCTACGTTTGTTTATTTTCATTAACAAATGTCACGAGAAATCCACAAATAAAAATGTGTGTACATTTGGAAAATTGAGGACAATGTTGGCTAGCATAAAAGAAAGCACTGCTGGTGGCTAAGCATAATAAGAATACATACATACTTGTACATACAAGTATATGAATAGTTGTATAATTTTTGAAGACCTAAAAGCTTAGAAGCACAGCAGCAACAATAGGCATCACAATGACAACAATATGTTATTCAAAGTTTTTTATGTGATTAAAAAATGTGACAACCGCAACTAGTAAAGTGAACCCCAGAGCAAACGGCAGCCTCAACAGCAGCCACAAATTATGAGCAATAAAATGATAAATCCGACAACAACCACATCAAAAACAACATCTACAAACCAGCGCAAACAGCAACAACAAAAAGAAGCCAACATGATTTTATGATATAGCCGGCAAATAGTACAACTACAAAAATAACGTTGCTTCGAAAACAAAACTTTGCAACGCATAGAAACGAAAAAAGAAACAATAAGAACAGCATCGTCAAATAGAAACATACTCCGAGTGTATTGTGAACAAAATGGCGGAGAGTGAAGACACCAGCGGCAGCGCGAAATTGGCCAAAACCACCTCCTCGCCAACCGCCTTGAACCTTGTAACGAAACGTTCCACTCCAACGCTGGCGCAACTGGGCAGACAGAGCTCTCTGAACCCACGACAAAGCCAGCTCTATGATAGCGGAGCCGAGAGCGGAGATGAGCAGACGCGACTCATTCGCACACCTTCGACGCGTACGCACAAGTTCATAATAATACCGGCCACGCCCAGCGCGACAACAGGCGAATCGATGGGGGCGGCAGCAGGTTCCGGAGGGTTGCCTTTTCGGCAAGCCACATCGACTACATCGTTGGGCGCCATGGCAGCGGCGCTGCATAAGCAGCCGTCCACAATGCAGGCGAAACTCAAATCACGCCCAACATCGGAAGTGATACAACCTCTGCAGTTGGCACAGCATCAACAGTCGCCCCATACCCTGCCCACAGCAGCCGCATCCACTACAACGGTTACCTTCACAATTGATGATTGCGACGAGGGTGAGTTAGCAACAGCCCCACCATCATTATCAACAGCAGAAACCACCGCAACGACAGCCTCCATCGGCTCACATTTCGCACCCGCCATCAAGCCCACACCCGCCACACTTTCCTGTGCGACGACCACCACAACAGCTGGCGATTATATGGCCAATTCACCGATGAACATGGCAGCGCGCATCGGCAGCCGCAGCGGCAGCATGCGATCCGTAGTGTCAGGTGAGCTACATTCATGTGAAATGTGTTCGCATTTCAAATTTCTCCCCAATCCCAGTCCAATTTTTTCGCAAAAGTACTCTGATATCACTGATCGGCTATCACCAATGATAGGCGGAAAAAAGGACCGTTGGACACGGTTATATTCATTTACATCATCATGCTGATCAAGAATATATTGTTATACTTATATTGTTAGAAAGGCTACAATCTAGAACACCATGATGCCATTTAGGTACCTAGCTACCGAAGAACATATACTATATATTCTCTCTAAGGTTACCTTAAATGTTGAAAATAATAGTCATGGCTTAAGCTTAAGGCCCCCGCTCCTATAGCTTAATTAATTTAAGTAACTCATAATTTGCAATTATGAATTGACTTTTATAATAATAATAATAATAGTCATGGCTAGGAAGAGGAATTTTATACGTCAGTAACTTCGTCTACTATATCTTAACGCAATATGGCTTCTCAACTCTTCAACTCAGATCAGATCCATAGATCATATAGGTAACATTTTGCTTCGATAGACTGATCTGCTTGGCTTCACGCAATATGTTGAATTTTGAGCATACTTGAAAATTATGTAAAATTTGTAGAAGGGCAATAATTATTCAAAATACTGCGTACAAATATGATCCTGAGATAAACCCTGTCACCGTCTGCTGTGTCAAATTTCCATTCCATTTTCTTTGTTGCTTACATATGTGTGTGGGCTTGTGTTTTGTGAACATTTTACAGTAAGTTTTTCGATATTGAAACAATGAAATTATTCAAGAAGCAGCTTTAACGTTAAAAATGTTGCAGAAGGCTTCCGGTTTTGTCAAAAACAGGTTTATAAATGGCGTAGAATGTTCGAAGAAGGTCAAGAAAGCGTTAAAAACGATCCCCAGAACATCAACGGATGAAAAAAAAGTTAAACAAATCAAAAAATTGGTGCTCCTAAATCCCCAATTGACAACTAGAGACATTGCTGATACTGTTGGCATTTAAAATGAATCTGTTAAAACCATTAAAACTTTAGAATTTTTGTGCCTTCTAAAAGTCAAATTTCCTTTGATTCTGTCCGGACCGTATGACCCCCAAGAACTTTGGAGCCTTGTCTAGTTCATGCGAAAAGTTAAGGCATGAAAGAGTCGGTGTTTAGAGTCAATGTTTAAGTGCCGCTTTTCCTTCAACTTGATTAATTTGGACTGATTTTTAGCATGATGTTTTTCGATTAATTACAGCCTATAGCAATAGCAATATTACCAGTCCAGTCGTCGCTTCCAGCTTACAGACGCATCACCCCCTCTATATGCAACCAGAAGCTACACTTAGCGCAAGCAGTTCCTATCAATTTCACGATTTGGCCGGCAATCAAATCTACTCTGATGTCACGTCCGTGCGTTCTCTGGCATCGATTGGTATTGGCTCGACAGATGGACGAAAGTTGGTCATACGACGTGTACCCACCACAGCCAATGAGCTATTCGACATGGTCAATCCGCAGACTCCGCCGTAAGTACCAACATCACATCACTTCCCGTTTTTAAATTCTCCTGTTCCTATGCAATCAGATACAAATAATACTATCGAATATTCCAATTGAAAATTATTCTTTAATCTTATTCGGATTAGCACTTAAGCTAGATTATTACATATGAATACAAATTTGGACTAGAGTTTCAATAATTGAAAAGATCTAGAAGGTTAATTCTGGAGTTTATTTTGTTGCATATGAAGAAGGTTTGGTCCCAGACAAAACGAACAGGCTATTTTATAGATATACTTAAGGTAATAAAGTTAATTGCATAGAAAATTCAAATATCGCTTTCTCATGTTTCAAAAAAGCTGGATACAGAGTTTTCTCAAGTTTAAGGTACTACTACATATTCCATAAACTAGTGATATATTAATAACAAGGAACATTAAAAATGTTCAATCCATTTACAGTACTTGGGTTACACCTCAAAATTTTTTATTGTTTTTAAACTCTTCGTTTAAAATGTTGTGTATTTTATTTAATTTCTATTCTGAGCCGCTCTGCATTCGAAATTTTGACACCATAGGCGCCGGTGACACCTCAGCATAATGCTAATGCTCTGCCTATTTACTTTTTTTTATCGAAACCACTTCAAATGTCCGTGTTGGGTCAACAACAAATTTTAACACCATTTTAATGGCCGAAAACATAAACCACATGATGTATTCACAAAACGTGACTTACACCTGCAATAAAAGCTTTCAAAGCTTTGAAAAAATGGGGGCTATTTATAAGCAGCGCTCCCTAAGCAGTTCAATAAAAATTGTTAGCAATAGCAATTAACGCATTTGAATATGCTCCATTAAACGAAGTGTATTTGCCGATCGCAAGTTTGCCCAAAACCAAAAGTGTCAGACAGTTTCCAGTTGGCCCGCAGCCTACGACAGTCGCAGTCGTTTGAATCGTCCGACCGGTCTCCAGGATCGACTTGAACGTTTTAGAACAAGTGTGAAGCAATAGTACAAATTAGGGATGGCCAAGCCGTGAATTATACATACACCCTAATAATCCCTTTGACGTATCCTGCCACGCTAGAGTGATATCACAATGCCCCAACGTGCAGAAACAGATGCAGAGTCCTCCAGACACTCGGACCACTCCTGTCGTTTCAACCGTGTGGCTAAAGTGTAAGCAATACTGTATAATTGATATAAAGCCGCATCTCCCAATCAAATCTTCAGTTACATAATGAAGGCTTTAATCACGCTATTTATTTAGTTCAAGTGCGTTTTCAATATCAGCTAAAAGGCTGTATGTATTTGCTGTGTTTATTTTAAATATTAGCAACATGACTCTGATTGAATATTTAAATTAATAAATGGGCTGATTAGCATTCGATTTTATTATAGCATTACATTCCCTGGTACTTAAGTATAAATAAATGTGGCACGCGTAGACCAACATCACCATGTGTATACTCTTTTAATTACCATGGCGAGCGCCAGTTGGAAACATACCTACCTAGACTAGATAGTATTATCACAAGTGCAATGATTTAAAGGAACTATTATAATCTTCTGCAAAGGAATTTACAGAAAAACATATCTTATCATAAAACCCTACAGGAAATCGGAAGAGATAGACTTTAACGAACATCAGTATCAGATTATGACTTCCCAGTGATAATTCAAGCTAAGAAAGTCTTACACCTACTATATATTATATTAACCGCGGAACCATTGCTTCTTTCATTTTCAAGTTTTATTTATTTTTTCGAATCTTAATGATAGCATATAAAAAATTTTATTTACATAATTCGGAAACAGAAAACGAATTCTAATTTCACTTCGCACTTCTAAATCGTCCCAGTGCATACCCTAAAAGTAGTGGCTTATTTAAGGGTACAAACATCTGCAACTACATGGAGCTAAACAAATATTAATTGTGTAAATGCCAAATGCTTAATTTGTCTGAAATTTGTGTGTTTTTATAAGAGTTACCAAAATTGATATGGATGCACCTTTAATTCTTGAAATAGACAAATTAATACAGTTGTTTTTGATTTATTTTACCTGCTTTTTACCTACTTTGCTTAAAATTTTACCTGTCCATATAGTTCAAATTTGGTATCTACAATCATCTTGATCCAAGAAAGCGTACGTTTTAAATTATTTGTTGCACTTCCGTAAAGCCATTTTGTATTTCTAGGAATCTCTAAATGTTATATTCCTATTCTTTTTTTAGATGTTTATTAATTGAAGTTTATAAAGAAAATTAAAGTCGCAAATATTTGTAATTCTAAATTAATCTGAGTACAAAGTAACACACAACTTTAAAAAAAACTCCAATACTTATACCTCCATATGATTAGATTATTAAAATCCGATAAGAGCTTTCACGAACTTAATGCTCCAAATTTTTACATTGTAATCTAATTATACGTAGTTATTAGCAGCAGAGCCCAGAAGTCTAGCATAATTGGCTTTGCATCGACACTTTGCCGCTTTGTCATCCCATTGTTGCACATCGTTATCCATGATTACTATAATCAGTAAATGGCAGCAGTGTCATCTAAAATAAAAATAATAGAGCTGCCGACACATTCATAGTTTATTTGTTTTCATTTAGTTACAATTCGAACAATGCAACATTCGAGAGTGTTGGCAACTATTAGTCGCGCATCGCTACCTTTCTATAAAGTGTAGACAGAGAGAGGGAGAGAGAGAACTACTTATATTATAATGTTGTTCCCCCTTCTGCCTTTAGGCCCCTCGGTCTCGATGACGATGACAGCTATATGGACATGTCGGACGAGGCTGCCAATTTAAAACCACGCCAGCAGCATTGGGCAAATAAAATGCAATTCGTCTTGGCCTGCATCGGTTATTCAGTGGGTCTGGGCAATGTCTGGCGATTTCCCTACATGTGCTACAAAAGTGGTGGTGGTAAGTAAGCAACAGATATACATATATTAAATATTTTTTAATGTTAACAGAATGTGTCTAGTACATAAGTACTACTTGTATGTATGTATGGAAAGGAAACTGAGTTTTAACGTTCATTTGAGTTCGGCTTTAGTATTTGCTTTTAGTGTTTGCTTAAAATACAAGTACACACATGTATTAGGTAGGTAGAACATTAATATTTATAGTATATGTATGTATACGTATGAGGCAAAACCTTTGATTTCATGCGACTCTGAGCACACAGAACAACAACAGCAAGAGCACGAACTACATCAACAGTTATACATAGTTGTAGAAATTCTCGCTTTATACGACATTTCCGCTAAAGTGCTTAAAACCATAAATTAAAATTTGTTTAAGCTAAACGCAAAAGTTTGTATGAAAAATTGACGATAACGAAGACGCGACGCCAGCGACAAAATAAAGCGGTCACTGTCATCTTCTTGGCTCTACTCTGACGGCATCTTATCTGGCTGTACCCCTGTATGTCTATGCTATACAAGTATAGCGACTATATCACGCGAGCTACTTACGATCCCCGTCCATCTTTATTTGCACGTTCAGTCTGGATGCCGCATTTACATTTCTCGAGCCCATTTAATGAGCAGATCGACTGTTTCTGTCTCCAACTAGCACACTCGCTTCTAATGACCCATAGCTAGCTTTTGTCTACCGTTTCATATAATTCGCAATTTTCAGTCGCACCTACCCACTCATGTTATACATAAGAACATACATACTTGTACACATGTGTGTGTACTTATGGTAAATATTTATAATTAATTTAATTTGTTTACTTAGCTGTTTAGCTACTTAGCTTACTGTCATTTTGTCATTTGGCATTTTCAGGTGTTTTTCTAGTACCTTATTGCATAATACTTTTCATATGCAGCATACCATTGCTTTTTATGGAACTATCTGTGGGACAGTACACTGGACGAGGTCCCATTGGCGCCCTGGGTCAGCTATGCCCATTATTTAAGGGTAAGTACAAAAAACCATATTGCTGAGGCTTAAGAGAAAAATGATAGTTTTCCTTTTATTGTAAGCCATAGCCGAAAGGTAGGAGTGGTATAAAAGCTCTTTCTGCTTTTGTAAAGCCAACACGAAGGTATATCGGACCATTCATTCATTACTAAATAGCACAACAAGAGTAGCTGATTGAGACATGTTCGTCCTTCTTACTGCGTCTATAAGCTATATTTTTCAGTACATTTTCCATAAAAAAATAAGAACTAAATTTGAGTAATTTTTGAAAATTTAAATGTAATCCAAATAATATCACAAATCATTTCGAACACCATATCTATCGATGAAAAGCCAACTCTTAAATGTAAATTGTTAAAAAAATGATTCTTCTAAGAGAGATTTCTGCATCGATCGATCGGCTCATCATTAAATAAGGAGGCTGTACTATACCTGGTTTTAATAAACTTGCTCTGCGTATGGATGGGAGATGTCTACAAACCAAGCTTGGTGTTCCTTGTTATTTTCGACTTGTTTATACTGATTGTACCTATGACGTGGGGTCTGCCACACCTCCTTTGTGCATTCTAACATTTGGCATTTAGATTTTTCAGTACACACTTAGCCCTTTGGCTTTTGAGTGATTATTTTAATGCAAATGAGAATTATGTATTGAAAATATATATAAGTGCTATATTTTAATTTTTTTTAAATTTATATTGGTATTATAGGAATTGAGCACGGTTTGTCAAAATGTATCTTTAAGAACTGTCATTTACTCGTGCTTAATTGTATCCTTATTACATTGCTCCGTGCTTAAAATAAAAACATGATTTTATAGAAATTAGAGCAGATAGTTTGCACAGCATCCTGAAAACTAGACAATAGACCAACTCGTGACTACTCTTTTTTCTTCTCCTCTGCCAAACATTTAATATCTATCGTATATCGTATGTATATGTTAGCGTATTGGGAAAATTGGGGAAACAAAACTTTATAAATATTGTTAGTAGCCCATTAGCTTTTGCCATTATAGATCTCACTACCTATTGCAAATGTGACGTATTACGTCACTCTGCCCAACAATGTGCACAGATATAAACACGGCTTCTAGCTACGACTACGTCATGCCGACAAACTAAACACGTAGTGAGTTAAACAAAACACAAAGGGTTAGCCATGTACCATGACAACGAATCAGCGCTGCTTTGAAATTCAATGCACAGGCCTCCCCATGAAGTTCATTATCAAGGTGGGAGCCTAAGAACAAACACACTCACACACAAAAAATTGCTAACATTATGATGGGTTTTTAGCTTATATAAGGCAACAGCCTTGCTAATGCCGCGATCTTCTATAGCCTAGCCCTCCATTGGAATCGGCCCACTTACGGAAATGTGAAACTAAAGCGCTTGTAATTTTCATACTTTTGTAAGTATGAACGAAGCGATATATATACGACTATATGCTAATTGTAAGTGTCATTGTTGTGCACATGTATGTGTATGTGTGTGTGTAAGCCACATGCGCTGGATAGAAACGGCTTACGTAGAGTATTCGCCTCCCACACCTGCCCCTTTTCTCGCATCTATTCGCCAAACAACCTTAATTACAATAAATATTTTGTAAACAGACAAAGGCACGCCCACGCTCAATGCAAACCAAAACTTATAAATATTAATAGGCAGTAAGCCATTTAGCCAGGTTTCAAATCGTTTTATTTGGTGCAATGATATAAAATATGGCACATGTTCAATTATGTTAATAAGCGGCGGTCTAGACAAGTGATTGTGATTTAAAATACTCGTATACCCCATACCAGGCTAATTAGATGGAATTGAAAATGCACAGCACTCTAACGAAATGCTTATTGTCTCGTTTATACAGGAGCTGGACTGGCCAGTGTAGTTGTCTCGTTTCTCATGTCCACCTACTATAGCGTCATTATAGGTTATTCAATTTACTATTTCTTCACATCGTTCAAAACGGACATGCCCTGGATTGATTGCAACAACAGGTGTGCTATATAAAGTGACTACCAATCTATCTACACATAATTTAGTGCCGCTCCAACTTGTGGTTTTCCAGATGGAACACGCCGGACTGTTGGGTCCCACAGCCTCGAGGGAACAATGCTAGTGCGCCGGACACGTCACGCACCCCATCCGAGGAGTTTTTTGAGTGAGTAACTCCGAATTCCTAGATAAGAATCTTCTCCAGCTGTTTTCGCCTGATTTAATGTATATTAATTTAGAGCGTATTGGGGAAAGTCTTAACAAAGTGAACTTGCTATATCGTCCGTCCAACTATGCATTAAAACGTTAACTCGTTTAACCACTAAGCTTTGGTAAGCACTTTCTAGTCCCCACTCGTAGACTTTCTCCACCGGATAAATACTCTTAGATATGTCGCATATCCTTGGAAAATCCTGTGGAACAATCACTCAGAATAAATCGGATCTAGGTTATTTTTTCCTAGTCATGGTAAACATGTTTTAGTAAGCAGTTTATCACTTTTTCTTCACACAGAAATAAAGTGCTGCAGATAAGCCCGGGTCTTGAGTTTCCTGGCCAGATGCGTTGGGAGCTTTTCGCCTGCCTGATATGTGCCTGGTTAATGGTCTATTTTGCCACTTGGAAGTCAATTAAATCCTCGGCAAAGGTGCGATATTTCACAGCCACCTTTCCTTTTGTGCTCATCATCATACTCATGGGTCGCGCAGTGACATTGGATGGCGCTGCCGAAGGCCTGCGATTCTTCTTCCGACCCAACTGGTCAGAGCTAAAAAATGCCAATGTCTGGATCAATGCTGCATCCCAGAACTTCAATTCTCTTGGCATCACCTTCGGATCGATGATCTCTTTTGCCAGCTACAACAAGTACAACAACAATATTCTTCGAGACACGGTGGCGGTGAGCGCAGTTAACATGATCACCAGCTTACTTGTGGGAATATTTGCATTCTCGACTCTGGGAAATCTTGCTCTGGAGCAAAATACAAATGTGCGCGATGTGATTGGTGATGGGCCGGGCATGATTTTCGTTGTCTATCCACAAGCCATGGCCAAGATGCCATATGCACAGCTTTGGGCAGTAATGTTCTTCTTTATGCTCTTGTGTTTAGGCCTTAATTCGCAGGTAAGCATACGAATGTGAAAGCTAAGAGTTTGAAACCGATCTACCACTTATCATTCATTCCCTTCACAGTTTGCCATAGTCGAAGTTGTGGTCACCTCCATACAAGATGGTTTTCCGCGCTGGATCAAACGTCATTTGGGCTATCATGAAATCGTAGTTCTCTTTGTCTGCGTTATCTCGTGTCTCTTTGGTCTGCCAAATATCATACAGGGAGGCATATACTATTTCCAGCTAATGGACCACTACGCCGCCTCTGTCACAATTATGTTTCTCGCTTTCTGTCAGATGATAGCTATTGCCTGGTTCTATGGCACTGACCGATTGTCGAAGAATGTTAAACAAATGACCGGAAAGGCACCCTCCTTCTACCTGAAGTCCTGCTGGTTAGTGCTGGGGCCCTGTTTACTCTTCGTAGGTGTTCCATAGTTCCAACGCATGAGCAATTTATAATGTTATATATTTTTTATGTAAATTGCAGGCAATTTGGGTGTTGAGTTTGATAAACTACCATGAACCTACGTACCACAATGGTCGCTACACATACCCTGATTGGGCTTATGGCATTGGGTGGATGTTTGCATCATTATCCTTAATATGCATACCAGGTTATGGACTAATCAATTTTGCTCGGGCGAGCGGCAACACTTTCTGGGAGGTAACTATATTTCCATACCATTTATCAACATATTTCGATATTTTTAGGGGAATATATTATGCGTCAATTATCAGAAAACAAGCTATTTCTGCCTATAGAGTTATACCATTACAGAAAAAATACTACTTTTTTTATATTTATGTCGATCGAGAGGTATTAAAACACAATTTTAGAATTTGTATTAAGATTTAAAATAAGTTGGCCCAAACAGGATGTATCGTTTCAATTACCTAGCTCTTACCGATTGTGCTGTGAGCAGATCGCGCATAGCTTTTCACACTCAAATTTTTAAATTTTAATGACTCGTTTCGGCTCTTACATATAGTACACTGCACAAGCTTAATATACCCTTTTTATACCCTGTACCCAAAGGGTAAAAGGGTATATTAGTTTTGTGCGAGTGTACATGGAACACACAGAAGGAGGCGTGGTAGACCCCACAAAGTTTATATATTCTTGACCAGCATGACAAGCCGAGTCGATATAGCCATGTCCGTCTGTCTGTCTGTATGAACGCAAGGATCTCAGAAAGTATAAGAGCTAGAATAACCAAACTTGGTATACAGATTCTCCTGAGCCCGAGAAAGGACGAGTTTGTTCATTTTTCCCGATGCACCCCCCCCACTCCCCCCTATTCAAGATATTCTATAACTCCCGTAATTCTTAGAATTTTGAACTAGTTAGTGATTATATATCCGTATACCAAGTTTCATTATGATAGGTTGATCAGAAAGAAAGTTATAGCCATATAACCAGGCCCAATGCACACATACATACATACATATGTACAAGTACTGATGTACAAATCTGATGTAAATGTACTTGTATGTATGCATGTATGGAATATTTTATATTTAATTTAGTTAATTAATTTAATTTAATTAATTAATTAATTTTTTGTGGGGTGGTACAGGGTATTTAAGAGTTGAGCCTGCTCGACCTTAGCATTCCTTTCTTGTTAACCTTCGGGTACAGGATATTAGAAAGAAAGTCTCTATGTTCATCTACTATATATCTGTGTGTCTGTGTATCTAAATGTCTTTCCGTTATAGGCGACCAAGCTATCAAGCTAAGCCGAAATTTGTGTCTATTATTCAATAAGCGAATAAATTGTCTTTAAATGGTTTCTGAAAAAAGTGAGCATCAGTAGAAAATCTGAATTGATCGTTAATCAAAAACTGTTTGACGTGCTTTTGTAAAATTTTACACCTAACTACTATTGTGGAATGAGAAAAGCTATCTACTATTATATGTATATAGTATGCATTTCAAATATCCTGAGTGTCCGCAATAAAATCTATAAACTGGTGTAATAATAATTTGAATTTAATCGGTGAATTCTGAAAAGGTAATAGCGATTATAAAACAGGACGTTTTTTGGGTATTTCAGTGTATTTCACTGTCGCGCTTGCTCGACTTTAACGTTCTCTCTTGTTTCATATTCAAATCAATTCAAACTGGGAACATGATATATGCTTTCCACTCGGTTCCATAACAAAAAAAGTTTAAAAAATTTGTTTGTTGTTTTTTTAAACTTGAATGTATGTATGTAATTTTCCGTCCATGACAATGGAGTAATAAAGATTTTATTGTAAGAAACAGTAGCTACAGGGTTCAGGATTTTTATACGGTATCCATTAATTGTGTAGACTGATTCAGGTGTTGATAGTAATAAATAATCCAAGATATAACGGGATATGATAAAGTTAGCATATCTAGTTATTTTACTCGAAAAAAATCGCGCAGAATAGTTAGGGACAATTGATTTTTTTGGTAAAAGTTATTTAATTCTTGTTGTTCTTCCACAGCGCGTCAAGAACGCTCTGCGTCCGAATATTTACGAATGCAAAATCTGCGGTGAGCATCACTGCGAACACGATTATCACGAACAGGAGCAATACATGCTGACGCAGGAGCTTGCGCAGATGTACAAGCCAAAGTCTACGCACCTGCAGCTCAGTCAGAAATCAGGTTACAATCCCATGCATGCTGCCAAGGCTGCCGAGCACGGATTACACACGGAATACACATATCAGTCGAAGCACGAATCACAGCTAGCTGCAGAGCAGCAGAAAGCGGTTTAAAGTGCAATTATTGCTCGTGCACAGATAGTTTTTAGTTTCGGTTCAAATGCAAAATTTTAATTTTTAATTAATAATTTGTTGTAATATGCGAGCAATTATAACACAATTTCAATAAATAATAATACAAATAATTTTAAAGCTTCTGCACATAGTGATAGAGCACATCAAATTCCTCAAACTTGGGCACGGTATTGAAGTTACGTGGAATCTTACAGTAATCGGCATAGATGCGCAGACTTTTGGCATCGACTGTCGGCGGTACCACGCTCAGATACGAATCCGTACCGTAGTCACTCAGTGGCTGAAGCATAATGCCACGTTTGATTTTGGCCTTTTCAATATCGCGCTGCGCCACCGCCAAGACGGCTGGATGGGAGCCACCACTGGAGAGTTTACCCATTTGCACGTATTTCTTGTAGATGTCCATGTTCTGCTTTGATGGCGTGGAAATGCTGCAGCCATAAACCTCTTGCATTGAGGGTAGTATGGATTCGAACTTGAATGGCACAGGTTCCGTTTTCTGCTCGAATTGATTTGCCTCCTTCTCATGAAAACTGGCACTCAGCTCCTCCTCGCTGGAAGTGTCCTCCGCCTCGCTAGAGCTTGAAGAGTTGCTGTTCATGGAACTGGTGGAGCTTTGGCCTGTCATAGAAGGATTTTGGCGCGCATTGCTCGAACTTTGTATTTGGCGCTGGAATGGACTATAGTTGGTGCGAAATGTAGTGTAGCGCAAAGCCAACTGACTAATCTCAAAAGCTATATGTTCGCTCAGATCGGTCCATTTGAATGACAAATGATAATTGGAGTATGCATCGATCGTTTCTAAATCGTTGCTGTGTACGCGAATGAGTTCTTTGACAATCTTGTTGGAGTCCGAACAGGCGTATGGCAAGCAAGAGCGCACCTTGTGACGCACCCAATCCGTAATGAGTTTACAATTATTGCTGGGCGTGAGCGGTCCAAATGCATTGTTGTGCATATCGTAATCTGTTTGGAGATCCCAGAGTGGTTGACTCACTGCAAAGGATATAAGATGGATGGCGATTTGCGACTAGAGTTTATCGACAGTATGGACTTACATTTTGAAGCGCTTGGCCTGAAAAGTCCAAGGAACAGATTGATGCTATGCTGCTTCTCCGTATCACTGAACGTATTGCTGTAGTACCTACTTAACGTCTGCATTACATCGCTGCCTTGCGATGTCCAAAGTGCTGTTTTGCGATAGGTCTTGATACGATGAACCAACTGTGAGCCACCATACTGTAAGGCCAAGGTGTCTCCATGCTCTTCATACAAATTCTCCAGCATAGTCACACAATCCGAATCAAATTCCAATTTTACAGATTTCACGAAGCCCAAACGATCCAACTGATGGCCCAGTGCGCACTTTCCAATGGCAAACTGTGCAGAATTGGTGCGATCCAGGCAATCAACGCAATTGGTGCGGACAATGCCAGTTTGGAAGCTTAAATCACTGCCTCGTGCCTTGAAAAACATGCCCGTCTGTTCCACAATACTCTCAGCTATTTCGGCCAACTTCTCCATGACATTCCCACCACTTTGGCGACTCTGACGCGCCATATCGAAGTGTATGTGCTTCATTCGATGTTGGGGCGGTAAAAACTGATTCAAATAGCGAATGCTGTACTTGAGCTCCTTAGATATGATTGACTCATGCTTGCGCCGCTCACGCTTTTTGACCAAATTCAATACAATCAATGGGGAACCATAGTGAAAAAGTAAACGTTCAAAATGCCGCGACGGCGTTTGTGCGTACGGATCACATATATCCAGCTGTATCTGGGGCTTCGGCACCATCTTGCTCGTGTCCTGAGACCAGTGTGACGGTATGGAGCCACGCATCTGCGTAAAGGAACACAAACGTTGGCCGTCGCTGACAATCTGTTCGGTTTCCACTTCGTTAGCGACATCGCCCTGAAAGTTGGCCCCTCGCTTGAGGAAACGGGTGCCAGCAAATCGCGTACTGCGGCGTGCAATGAGACATACATTGACATGCCTCCCAAAAACGTTAATGGAAGATTGACTAACATAGCCGTGCGTTACTTCCAGTAGCCAATCCTTGCGCATAATGTCCTCCATTGGCTGCAGCAGATAGGCATTCCAAACGAACCGCTTCCGGGAACTGCTGCGAAATGCATAGTCCACACGCTCGTTAGCATGATTCACATTGTTAGTCAATTTATTCCAATTCGGCAACGGCTCATCGTGGTCCAGGTTCACTGACTCACCCACATAGCGCGGTGCGGACTCATTGTACTGCAACGTGCGCGTTAGATCGTAGGAGTATGAAAAGTAAAAATTACTGCGTAAGTCAATGTTCTGAAACATCTTCTTGTAACGATCCTCGTGTGGATGTGGCGGCTTTTGGGATGTCACCTCATTTACGCGTACCATTACAGTATCTTTGATGGTATACACCAGATGCATGCCAATATGAGCGCAGCATTTTCGCTTGGTTACCAATATTAGGTAGAATCCCTCCAAAAATCTTACAAATCCCAACACGCCGTAGGCTGAGGTGACCTTGGGTGAGCTAGGAAGCCCAGCCACAAAACGCCGTATGTCCTGACTATTAAACTCTCTCTCGTTCTCCTCGATAATGAGATGGTTGTTTCGATTGACTCGATCTATGCTAAGTAGACGAAAACGCGTCTCGCGATTGTTGCTGCCTACCAAATAGAGCCGCTGGCATGAAATAACAAGAAAATTAAGCTGATCATTGCGACATAGCCCTTACGACTCACCTGGCGCGTCTCATAAAGAACAACCTTTTGTATGGCACTTATCAGGGGGCTAAATATAACATTTGGATTATCATTATTCATATTTGTAACACACCCACATACATCCACCCACAGCTTATGTTTATGTTTTTTATTTGCCAGCTGACTAATGTGTACGACAGCGCTGCCAGACTATACGCACATTGATAAACTAACGAATTGGTGTCCATTATATATTATTTGTTTTAAATATGCAAGGGCGTAGTCAGCTTTTACCAAAGGGGGGGTCCAAAAAATTAAAATTTTGATTAAATAATGCCCGATGCATTTAAAAAATAATTTATGCATATGATCGATGAAAAAACTTCAACAAATCCAACGCAGATCCATCTTAAGGCGAAATAGTGCGTCATAATAATGAACGTGTGGTCGAATTTATACATACATATGTACATATGTAAAAATTTTTTTCTGCGTACGCCCTTGTAAATATGTCACAAAATTTGAATATAATTGACCCAAAAAAGATGTTTTACTTTTATATAAGACGAATACTTTTGATTGTTTGGAATAGATTTCTGAATTAAAATAAATAAAACATATAAAATTCAAATTGAAATTAAAATATTATATTATCTCATCAATATTATTTTTGTAGTTCAAAAACTAAAAGCGATATAACTAGAAGTGAAAAAAGTATTGCTTGTACTTACTGCTCCGGAAAAAACCGATACTAGTAGCTTGGCACTTATTATTATTATTGATTCTCTTATATTTATAGATGATATCGTTCAATACTCAACTTCTTTTTACTACTCCTAAAGTTTTAAGACCATCAAGAAACTTAATAAAATGTTATAAAGAAAAAGTTACGATGGGTTTGTAAAATAAATACATAGAAATCGTCCTCCTCAAATTACGTGAAAATAAGTTTGCTTAAAAGTAGTTTTGTAGTTTTTAGTAAGCTACAACATTTTTAATTATTTTAGCAAGAAGAATATACATATCTAGCGCTGCCAGACTATCATGCAATTTCAACTATGATTGTTTTCACACCCCCGCTGATATATTTACATATGCATGTATGTATACAATTTAACAGCTGATCAGTGTTTTTGAAAGCGTTGCCGGACTTTTATTGCTAAATAAGTTAAGGGCGTCGCATAAAGAGTGGGGTCGGTCTGTGCATTTTGTGCTTTAACGTAACTTAAGCCTCGCATAGTGCATTATTTTATATTTAAACCATGACGACGTGGGGCAATATCTGCCGTATATGCAGTGGCCCCGCTGACTACGATATTTTCGCCAAAATTCCCACATTTCTGCATGCGGGATCCAACGAATTTTTAAATTGGCAAAAAAAAATTGGTCTACTGCTAGAGGAGACAACAGGACTGAAAGTAAGACAGATTTACATATCTATATATGTATATGCATATGTATAACAAAGGAAACATTGTGTCATCGCCCTTAGAACTCCCCAGACGATGGACTTCCCCGCTATATTTGCGCACCCTGTATTTCATATTTAAAACACGCCGTAACTTTTCGCGAACAAAGCATAAAAAATGCCCTTAGTCTTAAGTTAGCTGAACTCTACCAACAAAAGTCGCCAAACGTCGAAGATGATAATAATGTGGACAAGGAGAATGTTCTGTTTACTGCCGAAGACTTGCGCTATGTGGAGCAGAGACCGGTGCATAATTTATTACTCAATAATAGCCGTGCCAAACTAGATCCCGCCGACAAGGTGCACAAACAGCTACTCAACCAGACTGAGCTGCCGATAGGCAATTGCGAACAGCGTATACAATATCTAAATGTACTCTTCGACAAGGATCGCAACGCGGGAGCGCGAGTCAAGAAGGGCAACGGCAAGTGCCTGGACCTGCCAACGACCAGTGCTGGCAGTGGCAATGGAACCGGGGATGAGGACGATTACCTTCCTGCTAGCTCAAGTGATGAGGAAAATGAGCTGTCGCGCCGACATAAGAACTGCTACAACTATAGCGAGACTAATTTTAAGGAGGACGACCCTATGGAAAACGCGGGTATGCGGGATATCAAGGTAAACATACCCCAGCCAAATTGGAAGGAACGAAAGTGTCCGGCATGCTCGAAACGTTTTATGTTTGAGGACTCATATAAAACACACATAGAGAACTGTGTGGAGCATCAGTTTTTAATTTTTGTAGCCGAGGTGAATAAATTATTGGAAATTAGACGCCAGAAAATGGTCTCACCACACGAATTTATCAGACGCATGATTTTTTCACTGCACAAGACTTGCACATGGCTGCAGGAACATTCTATTGACACGCTACTTGCGGAGAAACTGAATCAAGTAAAGGTAGCATCGAATGGCAATGGTCACGAAAAATCAGCAGCATCAGAAGCTGAAGAAGAAACACATCAGACTACCAGCAATATCCTAAAGTGGGCTGATGAATCCGACCCTTTTGACTTCCCGGTCCGTTTGAGAGGCTCCTTGACGCCGATAACAGCCGAAAACAATGTGCTGTATGCCATCGAGCGTTCCGCGAGTCGCAGCTCTCAGTCCACGCCTGTAGTCAAGAAACCAATTCCCATACGCGGCACTGCCCTTAAGTCTCTACAACGACCCACGCCAACCCAAAATAACGCCTTGGAGCGTGCTACGTTCCTTGAGAAGTTGCAACGAGCCGGTGTCCCACCCGTAACGAATGAACAGCAGCCACAACTACCATATCTGCCAGCCACGCCCACAAGCCTCAAAAATACCACAACGATACCCTTCTCGGCGCGTTGTGGCCAGTGTAATTTAAGCTTTGACTCAGTCTCCGAATTGGAGGTACACAATGTAATGCATCATAATGGACACAACGTTGTCACACCAAATGCTATAGATGCGCAATCCTCAATAGACGCAGTGGATGACTCTCAGCGTCGCCGCATTATCGCACTCTTTGAAGATGACATATAAACCACAACTCATTTTTAACTTATATACTCAATTATTCCATTTTTAATTTATGTATGTTTAGGTTTAAGTCTATCACTTCATGTGTTTGTGAACGTATGTATGTATACCTTTTCAATTGTTCATTTGTAGTTTTTGCTCGTCTGCATGTATGCAACATATTCAATCAATGGCAACTAAATCGTTATCATACGAATAAAAGAAAAAAATACAACTCACCAAGCAAAAATTGTAGTTTTATACACATAGGTTTAAATATATAGTTGCATTGAGCCGAAGGCATGGACTTGCAAATGGTCCAGCAATTTGTCCGATTGCTGTAAATTCATTATATTTTTAACCAAGCGCAATAAATCCATCGTTAAACTTTCATCTTGTAAAGCAAAGAGCCTGTTCAATGTTTCCACTAAATTCTTAATTAACTTAGCATTGTCAATGCATGTAAATGTGGCCACAATGTTGGTAAATACACGTACAGCATAAATAACTTTAAACTTTTCTGTTGGAGTCTTAAAATCGCCCTGCAGACACGTCTCTACAAAACTCAACAGGTTTTTAGAATTTCGCAAGCACAATTCTTGCTCCAGTCTCAAAATTTCCGTTTGAAATATGATGTACATGTAATATTCAGATGCCGGTCCGGAGGCACACTTCTCATGCACGTGCTCAGCAATATAGCGACGGTCCTCGGAACTTAGCAAATCAGCAGCAGATGTCGCTATCAGATATAAGCAAATGGCAGCATCTTCTTGATAAACATTCAGATCATCGGCAGGTGCAGTATATAACTTCCAGAGCTTTGGCACAAGCTGCATCTGAAGCAGGGTCGTGGTCGCTTTGTTGCTTGTAGACAAAATATTGGCCAATGTCCATAGACAGCTACGTTTCAAGCGAGGCTCTTTGATGTCCATATAAGTGACCAGATAGGTACCTGCCAATGTGGCAATCTTTTCGCAGACATGCGCTTCTCCCAACGAAAAGTTGCAAAAGCATTCGGCGGCATCAAATCTACGTGTCAGATCTGTACCTGCGAAGAAATATTATGAGATAGTTATCTTGTTCATCTTGTTCTTAGACATAACGTCACAATAAGGAGTTAAAGCGCAGAACTGCGTCTGGCGTGCGAAACTTGGAATAAAAATTGATTATCACTGCACTCTATCAGTGGCGACATTTGTCAGCTTCACTGCCCTGCTTCAAATGAGGCATTGCAAAAAATCTGGCTTCGCCGCCGAGCTTATTGTGACATGCCTGTACAGGAAGTCAAAAAGTTGTAGTCTTTAAATTGCTACCCTTTTGATTGTATTATGGATGTTTTGCTTAGCAAAATGCACTCACCTGTGAGTTCTTTTACCAGCACCTGCACAGCGCCCTGCTTATCAGCAAATGCGTTGATGTTTTCATTGCCCTGAAGGAAAGCATAAGATAAACGATACATATCGTCCGACGTGGCATGTTTTCGACGCTTGATGCGCGCCACCAAACCATTCACATCCTTAACTGAGAGGTGTTCGATCTCCTTAATTTCTTCCTTTATTTTTCCCAACCCAAAACGCAACGCATCTGTAGCACTTGTACGCAGTTCTTGGCGTTGCCGACGCGCATACTCCCGTACTTTCTGGCGCAAAAAGTTATCCTCCAATTTGACTGTAGTACTTGAAGAATTGTCACTCATTTCAGCCAAAAAAAAATCTTTAAAAGCCGGCGCAAAACAAACCGTACTTGTGACCAGGTAGTGTTGAAAACAACATAAATAATTTATCGATAATGAAATACAACAAGCGATACAGCTGTTCGACAGCTGTTCAACTTCCAGCCGCATTGCATAAATATAATTTGTGTTTAACTTTTATTAAAAACGAGTAAAATGTCTTTTAATATAATGCAAAAGTTAACCCTGCAATGTCTAAAAGCAGACCAGCCACTTATAAGTATGATTTGATGCCGAAATGACGGAATCTTTATTAATATTTATTTTACGTTCGTTAAAGCAACAATACGTAATGCGAGCAAGAAAACTGGTGGAAGTACGCGGAATAAGAAGGGTCACCCAAGACCGAAGCACCGCGGCTGGCGTGTCCAGGATGGCCACTTTGTATCCCAAGGAACGATACTAGCCACGCAGCTAACAACGCGTTTTCATCCGGGCTTGAATGTATGTACATGTCTGCTGCTTTATCTCCTGCATTCAACTGTAAATGTTTGAATTATATATTATTAGGTTGGTTTTGGACGTAATGGCACGTTATTTGCAATGGAGCATGGCAAAGTTTATGTTACCTGCGAACAAATCGATCCAAATTGGGAACACACCTGGATTCAGCGTAACTATGCTGGACGCGATGGTCAGACTATTTATAAGAAATTCTTCAATGTCATCCCCGAGAAGCAGCATCAACGCTTTAAGTTGATCGAAGAAGTGTAAAAGCTTTTATTAATAAACTTAGAGTAATAAAAAAAATTGCCCTTTTATTTAAATATTTGTGCAGCCCTTCAACTTGCACTAGTTGAGTGCTATAAAACGTTTAAGGCACATTTGCAACACTATTTCCAGTGTCGACTGTAAACGCAGCCAACTTCACTCACTTCTTTCTTTCCAAAAATCCGAAGATGGTGAGTGGACGTCGTTGTTTGTTGTGTGATTTAATTTTGTTTTAAACAAGGTGGAAGTGTGCATATGGAAACTGTTAAGCACATTTATTTAAGCATTCCTTCTGTGCACTCCCTATATTAGACGCGCCATGATATGCAACTGTGAAAGTGAGCAAAACTATAAAAAACGACTGCAGCGTGCTAACATATGTAACCTCCCCACATGGTTTGCCTTTTGTAGCCGCTGTTATCAAAAAGTAGCTCCTTGTGCCCAATACACGTGTGTCCAGTAAAACTTTTATTAAAACCTTTTCATTTCTATTTCCAGTCGAATATCAAAAGGAAGAAGACCAGGAAGCTGCGTGGTCACGTTAGTCATGGCCATGGTCGCATTGGCAAGCACCGCAAGCATCCTGGAGGTCGTGGTAATGCTGGTGGCATGCACCACCACCGCATCAATTTCGACAACGACACCGCAAAAATTTCCACTTAAGTCGTCACCACAAGTTCAGGCCCGAAATAAATTTGGACAAACTGCGGTCTTTGGTCGGAGCCGAAAAGCTCGCCGATCTGGAGAAGGAAAAGAGCACGAAGGCGCCAGTTATTGATTTGGTGCAGTTTGTAAGTTCACTTAAATATTGTACGCTTCTTGTTAGTTACGTATTCTTAACATGAAGAGATTCCACAAGGCGACGGGCGAACTGAACGCAATTGTACATTGCTCTCCTCGTGTAGAGAAAAGCCTTTCAGATTAAGAATACTAGAAAACAAAAACCTAAATTCATTTTTACTATAACTCGAAAAGTTCTAATAATATGTCTTCTTTTTTGTTAAATCAGGGCTATTACAAACTGTTGGGCCGTGGCCACTTGCCCGCTCGTCCCATCATTGTTAAAGCCAAGTACTTCGGCCGGTGGTGTCTGCTTGCTGAGAGCCTAAGTTAAAAGCTTCTTGTTTTTGCAAATTCCTCATCTGAAACGCTAAAATTCCCACATTTCTGCATGCGGGATCCAACGAATTTTTAAATTGGCAAAAAAAAAAGTTGGTCAACTGTGGTCTCTGGTCGGAGCAGAAAAGCTCGCCGAGCTGGAGAAGGAAAACAGCACGAAGGCGCCAGTTATTGATTTGGTGAAGTTCGTAAGTTCACTTAAATATTGTAGGCTTCTTGTTAGATACGTATTCTTAACATGAAGAGATTCCACAAGGCGTCGGGCGGACTGAATGCAATTGTACATTGCTCTCCTCGTGTAGAGAAAGCCTTTCAGATTAAGAATACTAGAAAACAAATACCTAAATTAATTTTTACTATAACTCGAAAACTTCTAATGTATTCTTTTTCTTTAAATCAGGGCTATTACAAACTGTTGGGCCGTGGCCACTTGCCCGCTCATCCCATCATTGTTAAGGCCAAGTACTTCTCCAAAAAAGCTGAAGACAAGATTAAGTAGGCCGGTGGTGTCTGCTTGCTGAGAGCCTAAGTTAAAAGCTTCTTGTTTTTGCAAATTCCTCACCTGAAACGCTAAAATTCCCACATTTCTGCATGCGGGATCCAACGAATTTTTAAATTGGCAAAAAAAAAATTGGTCAACTGTGGTCTCTGGTCGGAGCAGAAAAGCTCGCCGAGCTGGAGAAGGAAACAGCACGAAGGCGCCAGTTATTGATTTGGTGCAGTTCGTAAGTTCACTTAAATATTGTAGGCTTCTTGTTAGATACGTATTCTTAACATGAAGAGATTCCACAAGGCGTCGGGCGGACTGAATGCAATTGTACATTGCTCTCCTCGTGTAGAGAAAAGCCTTTCAGATTAAGAATACTAGAAAACAAAAACCTAAATTCATTTTTACTATAACTCGAAAAGTTCTAATAATATGTCTTCTTTTTTGTTAAATCAGGGCTATTACAAACTGTTGGGCCGTGGCCACTTGCCCGCTCGTCCCATCATTGTTAAGGCCAAGTACTTCTCCAAGAAAGCTGAAGACAAGATTAAGAAGGCCGGTGGTGCCTGCTTGCTGAGAGCCTAAGTTAAGGTGTGTTTCCAAAAACTGCTTCAATTATAATAAGCATTAAAAGCTTCTTGTTTTTGCAGATTCCTCATCTGAAACGCTAAAATTCCCACAATTCTGAATGCGGTATTCAACGAATTTTTAAATTGGCAAAATAAAATTGGTCTACTGCTAGAGGAGACATCAGGACTGAAAGTAAGACAGATTTACATATATGTATAACAAAGGAAACATTGTGTCATCGCCCTTAGAACTCCCCAGACGATGGACTTCCCCGTTATATTCGCGAACAAAGCGTAAAAAATGCCCTTAGTTTTAAGTTAGCTGAACTCTACCAAAAAAGTCGGTAAACGTCGAAGGTGATAATAATGTGGACAAGGAGAATGTTCTGTTTACTGCCGAAGACTGTGGAGCAGAGACCGGTGCATAATTTATTACTCAATAATAGCCGTGCCAAACTAGAGCCCGCCGACAAGGTGCACAAACAGCTACTCAACCAGACAGCTGCCGATAGGCAATTGCGAACAGCGTATACAATATCTAAATGTACTCTTCGACAAGGATCGCAACGCGGGAGCGCGAGTCAAGAAGGGCAACGACAATGGCCTGGACCTGCCAACAACCAGTGCTGGCAGTGGCAATGAAACCGGGGATGAGGACGATTACCTTCCTGCTAGCTCAAGTGATGAGGAAAATGAGCTGTCGCGCCGAGTTGTGACACCAAATGCTATAGATGCGCAATCCTCAATAGACGGAGTGGATGACTCTAAGCGTCGCCGCATTATCGCACTCTTTGAACTCATTTTTAACTTATATACTCAATTATTCCATTTTTAATTTATGTATGTTTAGGTTTAAGTCTCTATCACTTCATGTGTTTGTGAACGTATGTATGTATACCTTTTCAATTGTTCATTTGTAGTTTTTGCTCGTCTGCATGTATGCAACATATTCAATCAATGGCAACTAAATCGTTATCATACGAATAAAAGAAAAAAATACAACTCACCAAGCAAAAATTGTAGTTTTATACACATAGGTTTAAATATATAGTTGCATTGAGCCGAAGGCATGGACTTGCAAATGGTCCAGCAATTTGTCCGATTGCTGTAAATTCATTATATTTTTAACCAAGCGCAATAAATCCATCGTTAAACTTTCATCTTGTAAAGCAAAGAGCCTTTTCAATGTTTCCACTAAATTCTTAATTAACTTAGCATTGTCAATGCATGTAAATGTGGCCACAATGTTGGTAAATACACGTACAGCATAAATAACTTTAAACTTTTCTGTTGGAGTCTTAAAATCGCCCTGCAGACACGTCTCTACAAAACTCAACAGGTTTTTAGAATTTCGCAAGCACAATTCTTGCTCCAGTCTCAAAATTTCCGTTTGAAATATGATGTGCATGTAATATTCAGATGCCGGTCCGGAGGCACACTTCTCATGCACGTGCTCAGCAATATAGCGACGGTCCTCGGAACTTAGCAAATCAGCAGCAGATGTCGCTATCAGATATAAGCAAATGGCAGCATCTTCTTGATAAACATTCAGATCATCGGCAGGTGCAGTATATAACTTCCAGAGCTTTGGCACAAGCTGCATCTGAAGCAGGGTCGTGGTCGCTTTGTTGCTTGTAGACAAAATATTGGCCAATGTCCATAGACAGCTACGTTTCAAGCGAGGCTCTTTGATGTCCATATAAGTGACCAGATAGGTACCTGCCAATGTGGCAATCTTTTCGCAGACATGCGCTTCTCCCAACGAAAAGTTGCAAAAGCATTCGGCGGCATCAAATCTACGTGTCAGATCTATACCTGCGAAGAAATATTATGAGATAGTTATCTTGTTCATCTTGTTCTTAGACATAACGTCACAATAAGGAGTTAAAGCGCAGAACTGCGTCTGGCGTGCGAAACTTGGAATAAAAATTGATTATCACTGCACTCTATCAGTGGCGACATTTGTCAGCTTCACTGCGCTGCTTCAAATGAGGCATTGCAGAAAATCGCCGCCGAGCTTATTGTGACGTGCCTGTACAGGAAGTCAAAAAGTTGTAGTCTTTAAATTGCATACCCTTTTTGATTGTATTATGGATGTTTTGCTTAGCAAAATGCACTCACCTGTGAGTTCTTTTACCAGCACCTGCACAGCGCCCTGCTTATCAGCAAATGCGTTGATGTTTTCATTGCCCTGAAGGAAAGCATAAGATAAACGATACATATCGTCCATTCACATCCTTAACTGAGAGGGGTTCGATCTCCTTAATTTCTTCCTTTATTTTTCCCAACCCAAAACGCAACGCATCTGTAGCACTTGTACGCAGTTCTTGGCGTTGCCGACGCGCTTACTCCCGTACTTTCTGGCGCAAAAAGTTATCCTCCAATTTGACTGTAGTACTTGAAGAATTGTCACTCATTTCAGCCAAAAAAAAATCTTTAAAAGCCGGCGCAAAACAAACCGTACTTGTGACCAGGTAGTGTTGAAAACAACATGAATAATTTATCGATAATGAAATACAACAAGCGATACAGCTGTTCGACAGCTGTTCAACTTCCAGCCGCATTGCATAAATATAATTTGTGTTTAACTTTTATTAAAAACGAGTAAAATGTCTTTTAATATAATGCAAAAGTTAACCCTGCAATATCTAAAAGCAGACCAACCACTTATAAGTATGATTTGATGCCGAAATGATGGAATCTTTATTAATATTTATTTTATGTTCATTAAAGCAACAATACGTAATGCGAGCAAGAAAACTGGTGGAAGTACGCGGAACAAGAAGGGTCACCCAAGACCGAAGCACCGCGGCTGGCGTGTCCAGGATGGCCACTTTGTATCCCAAGGAACGATACTAGCCACGCAGCTAACAACGCGTTTTCATCCGGGCTTGAATGTATGTACATGTCTGCTGCTTTATCTCCTGCATTCAACTGTAAATGTTTGAATTATATATTATTAGGTTGGTTTTGGACGTAATGGCACGTTATTTGCAATGGAGCATGGCAAAGTTTATGTTACCTGCGAACAAATCGATCCAAATTGGGAACACACCTGGATTCAGCGTAACTATGCTGGACGCGATGGTCAGACTATTTATAAGAAATTCTTCAATGTCATCCCCGAGAAGCAGCATCAACGCTTTAAGTTGATCGAAGAAGTGTAAAAGCTTTTATTAATAAACTTAGAGTAATAAAAAAATTGCCCTTTTATTTAAATATTTGTGCAGCCCTTCAACTTGCACTAGTTGAGTGCTATAAAACGTTTAAGGCACATTTGCAACACTATTTCCAGTGTCGACTGTAAACGCAGCCAACTTCACTCACTTCTTTCTTTCCAAAAATCCGAAGATGGTGAGTGGACGTCGTTGTTTGTTGTGTGATTTAATTTTGTTTTAAACAAGGTGGAAGTGTGCATATGGAAACTGTAAAGCACATTTATTTAAGCATTCCTTCTGTGCACTCCCTATATTAGACGCGCCATGATATGCAACTGTGAAAGTGAGCAAAACTATAAAAACGACGGCAGCGTGCCAACATAACCTCCCCACATGTTTTGCCTTTTGTAGCCGCTGCTGTCAAAAAGTAGCTCCTTGTGCCCAATACACGTGTGTCCAGTAAAACTTTTATTAAAACCCTTTCATTTCTATTTCTAGTCGAATATCAAAAGGAAGAAGACCAGGAAGCTGCGTGGTCACGTTAGTCATGGCCATGGTCGCATTGGCAAGCACCGCAAGCATCCTGGAGGTCGTGGTAATGCTGGTGGCATGCACCACCACCGCATCAATTTCGACAAATACCATCCCGGTTATTTCGGCAAGGTCGGTATGCGGAATTTCCACTTACGTCGCCACCACAAGTTCAGGCCCGAAATAAATTTGGACAAACTGTGGTCTCTGGTCGGAGCGGAAAAGCTCGCCGAGCTGGAGAAGGAAAAGAGCACGAAGGCGCCAGTTATTGATTTGGTGCAGTTTGTAAGTTCACTTAAATATTGTACGCTTCTTGTTAGATACGTATTCTTAACATGAAGAGATTCCACAAGGCGTCGGGCGGACTGAATGCAATTGTACATTGCTCTCCTCGTGTAGAGAAAGCCTTTCAGATTAAGAATACTAGAAAACAAATACCTAAATTAATTTTTACTATAACTCGAAAAGTTCTAATAATATGTCTTCTTTTTTGTTAAATCAGGGCTATTACAAACTGTTGGGCCGTGGCCACTTGCCCGCTCGTCCCATCATTGTTAAGGCCAAGTACTTCTCCAAGAAAGCTGAAGACAAGATTAAGAAGGCCGGTGGTGTCTGCTTGCTGAGAGCCTAAGTTAAGGTGTGTTTCCAATAACTGCTTCAATTATAATAGGCATTAAAAGCTTCTTGTTTTTGCAGATTCCTCATCTGAAACGCTAAATACAGTACATTCGACCATCAAAAATGTATTTGTTTTTTAATAAATTTAAAAGAAAGAGCCACAATTTTATTGTTTTTTGTGCAGTGTTGATTTTTTTTGTTTTTACTTGAGATGAGCCAACAAGTCTTGTTGAACAGCAACTCACCGGCAGCTATTCAATCAATATTTATCAGTTTCCTCATCATTATGATGGGGATTATGGAAAATTTCCTAAAAAAAAAAAATCTGGCAACCCTGTATGAGCGGCCACGCGCACCTGCCAAATCGATGGCTTATTTCGCACATTGGGGCAGAAATTCGCAGAACGTCTCGTTGAACGGTTCGGTTTTCGATTTGTGGAGGTAGTTGTAGGAAGAGAAAGAGTTGTAAAAGGTATAGTCAATCGCAATCATTGTAGGTCAAGGCTATCTGTAAAATGTACTTCCTTACTGCCTATGCAATTCGAATGACTTTAATGCAATGACCTTTCCTGAAGAATTTGATAAAAGAGTTGCGGCTTACGTATGTAGATAGGCGAGCAGCAAAACAAATATGAAAATAGGGGCTTTTTTTTTGCGAAATTGTAAACAAATTTGTTTACCTGTGCTTACAGCTCACATCAGCTAATTTGCAACAATTACATAACGAGACCTGGACTAGCGAAAAATTGTAAAGTCGCAGTAGAAGAAACATGGCACAAAAAGTCTTGAGAAATGTGACTCACTGCATCTTTGATATGGATGGCTTGTTGCTTGGTAAGTTTTTTATAGGGGCGACGGACTGTGATACAAGTGCAATTTTTGACACATGTCGCCATTCCCCTTCCACTTCGCACACTTAACAACTAGACACGGAACGTCTCTATTCGGAAGCCATGCAAAAGATTCTCGATCCATATGGTAAAACATTCACGTTTGACGTAAAGGAACAGATAATGGGTCTGCAGACACGCCAAGTTGCCGAGTTTATGATAAAAACGTACGACCTGCCGTTCACATGGGAACAGTATTCGGAGAAGCAACGCGATAATGCCAAGGCACTGATGATGGACGCGCAAATGATGCCAGGTACGCAGATTTGGCCGCCCAACTAATACCGCTTCCTTCTCTTACAGACACGGAAAAGATATACGAGGAAATCACAAGGCAAATAGCTGCAGCTTTTGGACGGCCCTATCCGGAGGCTGTGCGTTTTCGAGTGATGGGCACAACGGAGCAGCGTTCCGCGGAAATAGCGGTCACCGAATGCAAACTGCCCTTGAGCGTAGGGGAGTTTCTACAACGCTATCACAAGCTATGCGGCGAGCGTTTGCACAATGTGCCACTGCTGGAAGGTTAGAACTTGGCCAGTCGGCCCGCATGTATACACACACATATGAACAAACATAAAAGCAGTAGAGTAGCGATAATTTGAGCATAATTTGGCCGCCTGCACATGTTCATTCAACCGCAGGCACGTTCGCTTCTCCGCAAAAAGTCCATTGTTATTTGCCTATGATTTCCAGTTGTATCTTTAAATCAAATTTACATGCTGTGGCTAAAGCATTCATTATTTTGCAGGTGCTGAGCGCCTGTTACGACATTTGCACGCAAATAATGTTCCTTTCGCCTTGGCCACCAGCTCGGGTGCCGACATGGTGGAACTAAAGACCACACATCACCGCGAGTTGTTCGATTTGTTTAATCACCGCGTATGCGGATCCACCGACAAGGATGTGAAAAATGGAAAACCAGCCCCAGATATTTTTCTAGTCGCCAAGGATCGATTTGAAGACAAGCCTGCCGCTGGAGATTGCTTGGTTTTCGAGGACTCACCAAATGGCGTCACGGCTGCCATTAGTGCTGGCATGCAGGTTGTTATGGTGCCGGACCCTCGCCTATCCAAAGAACGGTGCAATAATGCGACACAGGTACTACGGTCGTTGGAAGATTTCAAGCCCGAGGAATTTGGCTTGCCGCCGTTTAAAGATTAAGTTGGAATTGCATGACGAGTGTTTGTAATGCTGTGCATGTAGCCGCAAGATGCTGACCATTGTAAACAATGTACCTTATGTTGTAAGCATAAAGATGTTTAACGAACATGAGAAATGAAAAATACAAATTGTGCAGTTATTTTTTAGCAGTATCTTCGGTTGTGTGTTCTTTAATAGTTCCTTCATTTGGTTCCATAACATAAAGCCTACTTGCCAACCGCATCCAATTGTTTCTGTATGTCGGGCGCAGGTTGGTTCGTCAAAGAAACAGATACCTCCTTGCCTTTGGCTGTAATTTTAGGCAAATTAAATAAACAATATATTAACTTTTTAGAATGTAATATTCACCATAGCGTGCCCACAGCCTCGGTTGTACACCAGAGCACTCGCGAATCAAGATGGGGAGGTTGGGATTATCCTTCTTTAGATTGGGATAGAACTTCTGCACGAATTCCCTGGTTTGTTTTTATTTAAAATTATGTAATAGTACAGCAGGAGCAAAAAGTGGGCGGCCACTTACCGGGCGCCCTTGGAGGCTTCGCTGGCTGGGTCTAATATGATGCGAAGTTCCTTCAACTTCGGCGTAAAGGCAGCCAATCGCGATACTGTAACACGCATTTTGCTGATTGCTTGGAGGAATCAAATTGGAGAAAACTCTAAGCAATTGTATTAGGTGTGTTGCCACCTATGTTTACTTTTTTATCTATGCGTTTTGATGTCTGGCAGCGCTAAATATTGATACTCGAAATCCGACTTACTCGAGCATTGTACACATCTCTAGTTGTTGAGTGTTTTATTTTCGTGCTAGTAAGTTTAAAATAATAATTTGTACAACAAAATGGCATCCGTGCATTGCCAACTATGGATGGGCAGTGTAAGTAGTATTTGAATTGTCTTTAACACACTTGTCTAACTAAGTAATTAAACACAGCTTGAATCTTATATGACGGAGAACTTCATAATTGCCGCATTCCGTAAAATGGGCGAGGATCCGACCACTGTACGTTTGATGCGGAATAAGTATACAGGCGAGCCAGCTGGTTACTGCTTTGTCAATTTCGTCTCAGATGACCACGCTCTGGATGCCATGCACAAGCTTAATGGCAAGCCAATACCCGGCACAAACCCTATAGTGCGTTTTCGCCTTAATTCTGCCAGTAACTCGTACAAGATGCCCGGCAGCGAGCGCGAGTTCAGCGTCTGGGTTGGGGATCTTAGCTCTGACGTAGACGATTACCAGCTTTACAAGGTGTTCTCCAGCAAATATACATCTATAAAGACTGCTAAAGTGATTCTGGACAGTCTAGGCTTCTCTAAGGGCTATGGATTTGTGCGTTTCGGTATCGAGGATGAACAGAAATCTGCCTTGTACGATATGAATGGTTATATTGGATTAGGCACCAAGCCCATCAAGATTTGCAACGCAGTGCCTAAACCAAAGGCAGAACTAAGCGCCGCTTTAGGCATGGGTAGTGGTAGTGGCAACGGCACTACCTATGGTTATGGTGGCTCGAGTACAACATCCACAACGCAGGGTACAGATTACTCGCAGTACTATGATCCGAACAGCACTTACTGGCAGGGTTACAATGCCTGGCAGGGCTATTATGAGCAGGGAGCCCCCTCCATAACGGATGCCGCTGCCTATTACCAGCAAGCTATGTCGCAGTCTCACTCAAATCCTCAGACATTAGCGCAACACGCCGAGGCCTGGAGTGCCCAACGCAGTGCTCAGTATGAACAGCAGCAGCAACAACAGAGCTCAAGCGCCAATGGAGCAAACGAGGAGGACTACGGACTGGAGGAACATAAATTCGTGCTGGATGTGGAAAAGCTTAATCGCGAAACTATAGATTCAGATCGTCGGCTATACGATGCATTAGAGAGCTCCAAATGGTTGCCTATCGAACAGTTGGAGGTGTTTTAAAGTATTGATTGATTGATTTAATTGGCTAATTAAGATTAAACAATTTAATTTTCAAGTGTATGCTAGTGATAAAATTTCAATTAAGAAGGGCCAGTAGAAATAATATACATTCATATGTATGTATGTATATACTATATACCCACTAAGAAATGTTGCACGGAATTGCAGAATGATGGAAACTAAATTTGGTTGCCAAATGTCAAAAGTGACATTACCATCGTGAAGTTTGACATTTTTTAGCATAAACGTCCTCACAACGTGATGTGAGTTAAAAAAATCAATTTGGCCTAACAGTTTAAAATTCAAGAGAACGTTTTTACTGGATAATTTTTCAAAAATTTTGACGTAGATTATCTCAACTAGAATATGTCGATAAACTCAGTTCTTTGTATGGCAATAAAGCACCATCAATATCCACAGTATATCGCTGGTATTGTGATTTTAATCGTGGTAGTAGTACGGTCGCCGACGAATTCCGTTAAGGTCGTCCAAAATCGTAGAAACATGTTTTATGGATAGATGAAGTTTAAAAGCTATATCAAGATATCGAATTTTATTATCAAAAAATGAAAAGATGAAAATTAAACATGCATAAATCAACAGCTATTGTAAACAGTACTAAATGTTTTTGTTTTTAATTTTTTTATTTTGCTGGACAGTCCAGCTCATTTCTAGAATTCCAAATTTGTGTTGCGAAAAATCGCATATTGTGGCAGCACTGAGCCGCTGTGGCATCACTATTCGGCGCTTTTGAGATACGGCCATTTTTTCGGGTCTTTGCGATTTTCTTCAGATCGCATAAAACATTAATATCCGTTGAATTATGGCACCGTTTAAACGAGCGCGGCAGCCAAAGTTCAGCACACAGGCATTGCTGGATTTCGATCTGGGCGAGAGTTCGTCGGATAGTGATTTCCTGCCAGACGATGACAACGACAACGAAAATGAGAGCGACGGGGAGGGTGACAGCAGCGACGCCAGTAGCAGCAGCGGCTCGGACTCAAATGCCGACTCGTCGGAGAGCGAGGATTCTACATTGCAACTGCGTCAGCTGCTGGCCGAAAACGATGTGGGTGCTGCGGCGTCGCATGTGAATGGAATTGCACCGCATGGACAGGAAAACGGGCTGCCCGCATTTCGAGCATTAGAACCGGCGCAGCTCTCGCAGGCGCCGCCTAAGCGAATGTGCTGTGTGTGTCTGGGCGAACGCAGTGACGATGTCAACGAGATTGTCGAGTGCGATGCTTGTGGCGTATCTGTGCATGAGGGTTGTTATGGAGTGAGCGATAACGTAAGCATATCCAGCACCAACTCCACGTGCTCTACCGAACCCTGGTTTTGTGAGGCCTGTAGAGCCGGTGTCTCTGAGCCAGACTGTGAGCTGTGCCCAAATAAAGGCGGAATTTACAAAGAGACGGATGTTGGTAAATGGGTGCACTTGATTTGCGCGCTCTATGTGCCTGGCGTGGCATTTGGTGAAGTGGAGCAGTTGTCTTCGGTCACACTCTTTGAGATGCAGTACAGCAAATGGGGTGCCAAGGTGTGCTCCTTATGTGAGAATTCGCTATTTGCTCGTACTGGCGTCTGCATTGGCTGCGATGCCGGTATGTGCAAGACCTACTTCCATGTCACATGCGCCCAAGCGGCAGGATTTCTCATCGAAGCTCATCATGAAGATGATGCCGCCGATCCCTTTTATGCTCACTGTAAAGTGCACTCGGAGAAAGAAATGATTAAGAAGCGGAGGCGTAATTATCAGACGCTACGGTTGAATATGCTTCAAAAGATTAAGGAACGCGTTGCTGTCGAACAGCCTGGCGAACCAAATCCCGCACAGGCACGAATACAACGCAAGCTGCTCAAAATCCAGCACAAATATGGGCAACACAAGCAACTGAAACCGACTCCTTGGGTCCCCACGCAGAAAATGTCACGACTGTTGACGACATCGGCTTCCGCATGCCGACGGTTGCTGGCCAAGGCCGAAACCATGTCCGTGGATGTGCAGTATTTGGAGCAACGGGAGGCCCATATCAATGCCCTGACAGACATACGCAAAAAGTGGCACATAGCACCCGTTTTTAGTGTCGAGTTTGTCGCTTACTACATGGACCGTATTGTACGCATGGAAGAGTTGAAGCAACAGCAGCAGCAGTTGCTGCTCGACAATGCAGCGCTATCCAGGGAACAGGATGAGCTGCGTGCCGAATACGATAGGGCGCTTGAGGAAAAGAAGGCAGCGAAAACAACGCGAGACTCTCTGGTCGCCAGCATAAAGGCCTTGCACAGCAATCTGGCCCTTCTCAATCCCAATCTTAATTTGCTAACTACGGAGCAGATAGTGCGTCCACAATTAGAGGTAGCCAAGGCAAGCACGCCACCTCAACGTCCCATCTCTGTGCCGACTGCAGCCGCTCTTAAAATGGGCGTTGGCTTTCCACTTTCACACCTCGCACCGCCTGGAGCCAAGGATTCAACCCGTATGCTGAGCACTCACGCCAAACACAGCAATAACTCCAAGACGGGAACAGGATCGACTGCCATAACGCCATCAATGGCCTGTGGCATATGCAAGCGAAATAACGATCAACATTTACTGGTAAAGTGTGACACCTGCAATCTGTACTACCATTTAGGCTGCTTAAATCCGCCGTTAACGCGACCGCCCAAGAAATCCAAACAGTATGGCTGGCAGTGCTCCGAATGCTGTGATAAATCGGATGTATCCGATGCTGTGACTGAAATCTCATCGGGTCCGCGAAAGTCACGCACACGTTTCAATAAAGACGGTCATTTGGTTTATGTAGATCGCTATTCGCTGGATGATATTCCCGCGCATTTTCCCAAGGAAGCGACCAAACGGGCCTTAAATAAATCTTTGCCAGCTGTAGTCGAACCTACTGAAGATATATACAAATCTCCAGCTCAAAAAAGACCCAAGCAGCAATCCCCGCGTAAGACCCTTTCAAATGGTAAGTACACTTTATTGAACCCAATCCATATTTATGTAACCCCTGAATCGCAGCACTAGTTACTGCAGCTCCTGAAAAAGAGATGCCGACGCAACTAGCCGCTGATGATGCTGCATCCGATAAGCTGTCGTTGCTCACCGCTACTATCTCGAATCTTTCTGGCTGCGATGATTCTATAGACGACTCCATTGGCAAGCAGTCGCGCAAAGGCAAACGCAAGGATAAGCACAAAAACAAACACAACTTGTCATCGGATACAGAGAAGTCCTCAAATAAGGAGCACAAACGCAAGCGAAAAAAGCGCGCCCATCTCGAGGATTCCACTCAAGACACGGCGAACTCTGCAGGCAGCACTATCAAAATAATTTTCAAAACTTTACGTCTGCCCGGTGAAGATGCTCCTGAATCGCAGTATTTTTATGTGCCTGCCAATGCAGTACGCTCGGTGGATGAAGCATCACGGCCAACCTCTGTGGAAACTGTTGAGGATGTTACCCAACCAGAGCCACAGCTGCAGCTACAGCCGGCAACAGTTCCCACTCGTACAGTGTCGCCTCAGAAACTTAAAGACGTTAAAGAAATAGAGGTAGTGGCGGAAGCCAGTGCTTGCTCCCCACAGCGCAAGGTTAGTCCACGTAAGGCAAGTCCCAGGAAACCACGCGTTGGACGACCTCGATTATCCAATCCCAAGCAAAACATTGAAATCAATTGCTGCGTTTGCACCAAACCCGGCAAGACCAATCAGGTTGTGACTTGTGATGAGTGTGCCAAACATTATCATTTTGCTTGTCTCGATCCGCCGCTAAAAAAATCGCCTAAAATTCGCGGATATTCCTGGCACTGTGCCGATTGCGATCCCACGGAAGACGAAGCGCAGCAACAAAAAAAGAAAAAGTAGTTTTTATTCATTTATATAGTTTACTTAATTTTATTACATCAAATATTAAAGTTTTTTAGGTTTTCATTAATTAGTATTTATTAATAAATTTCTTCGATATAAACTAAAATACTTTTATATCAAAAATACAAAGTTCTGACGATAAACGTAACTGCTTCATATTTTCCTATTTTCTTTTCAATTGTAAAAATACGTTTCTATGCTCAAATATATTATTAGTCATATCAATATTAAAAAATTCTTTTTACGGGATAAGAAAACTAATGGCCGACAATTTTGATACTAATTTCTGCCGAAATAATAATATTAATACTAGTAGTAATATTTAGCATACCCGTAGTGTGTGACAGTACGTATGTAAATAAAAACAAAATCACATATGTAAATTTACTTTTTCTGAATGTTACAAACATACACACTAAATTTCATCAATTTGCATTAAAAAATTAGTTGGGTATACGATTTTTAGATTTCGCCTATTTGATGGCATAGATCGCATACCTTATTTTCTGCTTTTTGTTGCCACTACAGGAGAGTTGACATACAAAATCCTACGAGTGTGGTCTGATGATAGGCATAGAGAAGGTAAGACCTTATAATTTTCTCTGCTTATGCCTTTGAATACACCAATGTCGATGAGATCAGGCCTTTCATATATGTAGGTATGTCTTTTTAGCGTTGAGTGTAATGCTAGTAGTGGTATTCTGCACTAAATCATTTAAATGTTAACTGCGTGGGGGCATCTAGCATCTATCTATGTATATGTTTAGTCTCATAGAACTCCTACTCAGAAATGTTGATGTTATTTATTGTCAAATAAAAGCAATGTCTGGCCATAAAAGAAAAATTCTTCAACAATTCTTTATTATTCACTTTCAAAGAGTACATACATTTTTCAAATTAAATCGAATAAATCTTAAACTGTAGTTACTTTTAAACTACATACATATATGGTTGATTCGATATGGACGGCAAATCAAAAATGTTAGACCAGGAATAAAATTTTTTTTGGGACATTCTCCTGTGTAACCGCATCGGAGGGCCTGCCACTGCGCATTTTGGTGGAGTTTCGGCCACCACGAAACTCTCGGAACCAATATTTCACGGTGTACTCTGAAGGAGCATTAGCCCCATAATATTTATCCAACTTTAGTTTCCTTCGCTGTTTTGCGTCTCAAAAAATAATGTTTTATGAGAGAACGAAAATAGTTTTGTCCCATGTTCAACACGATACATACATATGTATGTATGTTTTCGGTATATATCATTACGGACAAATTGTATGTAGAACCTTTTATTTGGGCATGACTATTTTATAAATGTGGAATAACTTATTTAAAACAACCGATTATAAAAATACCACAAGTGTATATTTTCAAAATTGGCAATATCGTGGTAAGTATCGTGCTGATGTATGGTATCGCAGTTTTGTAAATATCGATATACAAATATTTTGATATGAAATCTACAACCCTACGAACCGGGCTACCAGCTGAAACAAACAATTTATATTGAAGCTGGCCACGTAAATCGTGACGTGAAGTGGGTAAGTTTTGTTTAATCCACAACAACATTGTAATTTACTGAAGGTAAATAACAGTACGTACTCTACAAATAGAAATGCCACATCAATACACGGCCTGTTAAGAAAATGTATGGCACTAGAAGCTGACAAGGTGTTGAAGAAGGGGGTATCAACATAAAGTGGAAATGGAGGAAAAAGCAAAATATTCTTTACTGCGGGGGGAATTGGTGGACACACAAAGCATATGGACACGGTAAGACCTCCTTGTTCAATAGTAATCGTGCAGTGTATTTTACATGAGAGTTGGTTCTCATTTATTTTCAGTCACGAGAAACGCGTATGGTTCATAACGCTGATAACGGGTACTTGTATGCTCTATTCCACGCGCACGACTATGCCGCTGTTAATGCCAGCAGTGGCAAGTGCACAGAAATGGAGTAAAACAGATTCTGGGACTGTGCTCAGCTCTTTCTTTTGGGGCTACACATTAACTCAAGTGGTGGGCGGTTATTTCAGTGACCGCTTCGGTGGCCAGCGTGTTATACTATATGCTGCCATCGGCTGGTCATTAATCACATTTCTTATGCCCACAGTAATATGGGCGGCAGCTGCTGTCAAAAGTTATGCTATACCATTTATAGTTTTGGTGCGCATTCTTAATGGCGCCTTACAAGGCATGCACTTTCCCAGTATGATTAGCTTGACCAGCCAGGTAAGTGAAATCTTTACTCTATACTATATTCAGCTTTTAATCATGGATGTTTCTCTTGCAGAATCTTTGCCAAAATGAGAGGAGCAGCTTCTTTGGGTTGCTTACTGCCGGTTCCGCCATGGGTAATTTGCTCACGGGAATAATGGGGTCATTTTTGTTGGATTATTTTGGATGGTCATATGTGTTTCGCGTGATTGGTCTGTTAGGTTTCGCTTGGGCGCTGGTTCTTCGATATTATGCCATGGCTGGCGAGCGAACACGGATCATAAATATCTCGAATCCGTCACGGTTGTGTGTTAATAAAGCACCAGCGGAGTCTGCAGTACCCTGGCTTCGATACTTTAGTCGTTTGTCATTCTGGGCTTGTGTTCTTACGCACGCCTGCGAGATGAACTGCTTCTTTGTGTTGCTTTCCTGGCTTCCAACATATTTTCACGATGGTTATCCAGACGCCAGAGGCTGGGTAGTCAACATGATTCCTTGGCTGGCCCTTCCGCCTTGCACATTATTGGCAAGATACTTGACCACATACCTGTTGGCTCGAAATTGGTCAACGACGACGGTGCGCAAGCTCATCCAGAGTTGTTGCTTTGCTGCACAGAATATAGCGCTGTTCATAATGAGCCGTACATCCGATTTTCATACGGCACTTATATGCATGACTGTTATTATTGGTGGCACGGGCTTTCACAATAACGCCGTGACTGTAAATCCACAGGACTTGGCGCCGCTACACTCAGGGAGCGTGTTTGGCCTAATGAACACTGTGGGCGCATGCCCCGGATTCCTAGGCGTCTATTTAGCGGGGCACATCCTGGAACTGACGCAGAGTTGGCCTCTAGTATTTAGTGCGGCGGCAGGCATCAACCTAGTTGGTTGGGTTATATTTGTAGTATTCGGTTCCGCTGAAGCAATTGTATAATTCCTTAAAATTTACATTCTGTTGACATATAGCTGTGCGCTGTTATTTATACATATGTATGTAATGCCTGTATATAATTTAAGGCCCGTACATTAAGTAAAATATAAACTACTGCTGTTAGAGTAGATTATCACAATCTCTAAGTATAACGTATTTTAAGTAATATGATGGCATTTCATGGCGTAAATAAGGCATAAATCAACCCTCTGTCCTTCTATTTAAAAACTCTAATAAAAAGTAAAATTGTTTTATAATGTAAGTATATAGTTTTATGTAAAAGACATGAGTCCTCGTGACTTAAGCTATGCTCTTTGACATATATGGTCCATCTTGGTCGTAGCCCAGCTTCCGATAATAATTTCGTGTACCCACACCTGATATGACTGCTAATTTTAGGCTGCCGTGCTCCTCCCTTGCTATTCGCTCGGCCTCCTCCATCAGCAGCATACCAAAACCCTGGTGTTGGAATTTAGTTGGATCTCGTGCATTGACCGGTACCACGGAGCCATAAACATGCAGCTCGCGCACAATTGAACATTCACCCTTGAGTTCGGGTCTGAATGTGTCCGGCGAGCATTTGCGCAGGCGCAATAGACCCACAAGTATGTCCTGTTCAGGATCTTCGTACGAAAGAAAAGTCTCCCAGCCTCCATTGGCCACATAATCGCGACGAATCAACTCAATTTCGTAAGGACGAACCTTATTGTGTATTTCTTGAATGCCTACTTCACGCGTACGCACATCGCGACACGTCGTTCCCAGATCCTTCATGCGGGCCAGTGCAAGCTCTCGAAGATTTCCATGCTCCACGCCAGAACTGTGAATGCAGTTTTTGTAAATTAAAACTTGTTTTTTGGATGTTTGAGGCATGTTTTTACCTGACTAATGGCATCGGTATGTCGCGTTGGACACGATATACACGAGTCCAAGGTGGAACCAAGGCCAATATTTTGGCAACCAAATCGACCAACATCGATGGAGGATAGGATTTGTAACGGCCCGTTTTCCAGAGCTCATAGAGACCAGTGCCGCGGATCACAAGAGTGGGATAGATTTTCAGGCCATCCGAACGGAAGGCGGGGTTCTCAAAGTACTCAATAAACTGCTCGATGTCGCGCTCGAAGTCCACATTCGGCAGATCCGGCATCATGTGAGTCACAATCTTGTAGCCGGCATCCTTACCTAACTGAAAGCTTTCGCATACCGCGCGTACGGTGTGCCCTCGATTTGTGTCCCTGGCCACATCTTCGTATACAGACTGGACTCCAATTTCAAGGCGCGTGCAGCCATAACTTAGCATGTCCGATATGTGACGCTTTAGGCAGTAATCCGGTCGTGTCTCAATCGTGATGCCAATACATTTGGTACGAGATTTCTCCGAATAACGCACGGCCTCAGCCACATTTGCGCTGCTATGACCAGAGAGAGCATCATGTAGATTACGTATAAAATAATCTCGATATTCTTCCGGTAGGCACATAAAAGTTCCGCCCATGACAATAAACTCCACCTTGTCAACCGAGTGACCCAGCTGCTTTAGTTGCTCCACACGATGGCGTGTCTGCAGGAAGGGGTCGTAGCGGGCCCGTATGGCGCGCATGGACGTTGGCTCATACCCCGTGTAGGACTGTGTCGAGTACTCAAAATCGCTGTCGGGACCGCCTGGACAATACACGCAAATATTGCCCGTCATATTAATGTGCGGACAGCGATGAGGCTTGCACATAACTGCAACAACAGCAATCTGAAATCCGCCAAATATGTGGATAAACATGTGTACACATATGTAGATCTACTTCTTTCTACTTACGCCACTCGCCGTGCGAATGGGTTTTGCTCTCAGCTTAGGTAGCAAAATCTTTTTGGCATCCTGGGGCACCGCCGCTATGATGTCTACGAGCCGCGGTGAGCTCTCGAGTCCATATTTGGATGAAATAAGCGATTTCATACGATTGAGGTTCACATCTTTTTTGGCTTCGTGCGCCTGCAGTAGTTCCTGAATTATTTCGCCAATTACTAGAACTTTTCGTTCCTCACGGCTGAGGCCAACGGCTAAAAAACAGATAGAAAATAATAATATTTCATACTTAACACCCACAAGCGTAGGAAATTACTTGGTGGTATACGCAAGTAAACAAACTTACCGATCTTTTTCCTGGGCTTCATTTATTCGCATTAATAACTTATTGCACGTGTGCTCCAAGCGCTGGCAAAATATCGATATGTCGTAGTTATCGATAGTATTATTCCTATTTAAAATAATTACAATTATCTGGAATAAAATTTTCGCTTAAGAGTTCTTGAGTATTTAAATACATATATTGCAATTCAAGAATGTATGTAATTCAAAATATGTATGTGTCTCTCATGCTTAAATGCTTGAGTTATTTTGAATTTTCGCTTTACGCGTTTCGGGCCTAAATAAGTTGAAAAATATATAATAATGGAAATTTTTGGCCGCTTTAGAAGAACCTATTTACTTATTTATTTTATTGAAATGGTTTTTTTCTTGAAAGACGCGTTCTTTAATTATATGTTTTAGTTATATTTCAACGATAGTAAATCCCGGTATTATCGTTACTAATCGTTATCGTATCGAAAATTTCCGTTGCATGATCGGCGTTGTACCATCCTTAATATCTTCTGGACATTTGGAATAACAATTTTGCAATTGAAAAAATGACTAGCTGCGTGCCAGCGCAGCATCAAAAAGATCAAGAGCAATTGGAACAGCTTATTGCCAGCGACGACGACGAGATGGATGAACAGAGTGACGCTGATGAGGCGGAAAAACAGCAGCTGACTGAGCCCACATTTTGCTTTTCGGTGTGTATACAACATTTGTTTATTTGTTATGAGTAATTCAAATAGCCTTTTTTCCATTATTGGTAAATAGAACAGCACTACGTGCTGGGTCTGCAACGGCTATTACGGACCTAATTTCGGTGAGCCCCTATGTGGAGCATGTCATGCATTTTTGTACAACGCACAACGAGCTGAAGAGCTGCTGACAGAACTCTCCGATGATGACGATTCTGGTAATGATGAGCCGCCGTTGATGGACAAGCAGGAGGATGATGAAACTGAAAACGATGCCGATATAATGGGTTTTGAGGATTTGGAAGACGCCGAGCCGGCAGCACAACAGCAACAGCCACAAGTTAATGAGCCGGATCCCGAGCCAATGCAACAGCAACAGCAGGCGGCAGAACAGATTATACCTGCACCAAATGCAGCACAGCGACGTGAGACGCCGGAGCGTGAAGTCGAGCAGGAGCGTGCCGTCAATCCGTTCCTCCTGCCCATAAAGCGACCACGCCCCATGCCACCACCGGCATTACCATATTTCATGGCCGAGTTGGCCGATGGAAGAGCGCGCGCCCATGAATACAATGAAGCCGGCGCCAGTGGTAGCAATGCATCGGCTGGAAAAAGCATTACAAATATGATACCCGTCGAGGTTATGCTCAAAATATTTGCTTATCTAGATGACATGTCGTTGTGGATGGCCTCCGAGGTGTGCAAGCAGTGGCACGACATTATTGGTAAGAATACGGCGCCAAGCATGTGGAAAATGTACATCAAACAGCGCTGGCCGCTTTTCGAATGCCTAACCGAGATGCCCGATTGGTACAAAATGTACGGGGCGTTGATGTCGTCGTGTTTTTGTCGCACCTGTCTAATTTTGGCGGGACAATCGCCGCCAACAGGCGAACATGAAAATGACAACGTGATGCGTAATAACTATTTGCGTGGCGAGGCTAACCTCCTGAACAGTTACGAATCGGAGGGTATCAAGGCTATACCACTGGATCGGCAAAACAATTACTGGCAAGCGACCATTCTGGGTCCAATTGGTAGTCCCTACGAGGGTGGAAAATTCTTTCTCTTCATATACTTTCCAGAGCGCTATCCTATGGCACCACCCACGGTGAGGTTTTTAACAAAGATTCTCCACCCAAATGTTTCGCGTCACGGAGATGTGGGCATCGATATCTTCCAACAGCAGAACTGGTCGTTGGCCCTTAATGTGGCGAAGGTGTTGCTATCTGTGCAGAGTCTTCTGACTGATCCGTACACTGATGTTTGCATGGAGCCCGAGTTGGGAAATATGTACGAACACGATCGGCCCCGCTTTGAACAGTTAGTACGTGCCTGGACTTGGAAGTATGCCATGTTTGAATTAATTTCGCCGACTTAAAGGCGCTAAATCGTAATCTTCATGGAAGACATCACTCGTATTGCTTACTGGACTGAAAGTTGGAAACTAGCCCCTCTAAGTTGATTTGTATATGTAACTATTTAGATTAGTAGTGCCATTTCAATTGGTTGTTTATTTTGGCCTCTTAAACCCATCCCGAATTACACGTAGTCGAAATTACACTTAAAAATGCTAACATAAACATATAAAATATAACTAATGCTTAAGTTACTATTAGACGGTCTGGCATTTATTCACTTCGTCCATGACACCTTTGGTATGTCAAAGTGCTCGGTAAGAGTGTCCAGGTGCTCATTGAACTTTTCCACACGTTGCTTGTGTGTAGTCTGCGCCTTTTCCATAATGCGTTTGTTACGCATCTTCTCCTGCTGTTTCTTGCTCGCCACCTCAGCCTTGGTCAGCTTCCGCTCGTAGGCGACGGAAGATGTTGCAGAGCTAGCCTCAGCAATTTGTTGTTCGGCATAGCTTTTTTGCAGCTCTTCAAGGTCGGTCTTCTTGTCCTTGTGTTTATGCTTTTTCTTTTTTTTGAGTTCTGAGTCGCACTTTAGCTTAAGCTTGCCTTTGGCAACGTACGCGTACGCGTCAGACATGTTTTCAGCAATAATCTGTAAGAATTACAATCCTTATTTCAGTTTTGTTGTCAATGCTGAAGTGATTACAAATATAATCGATAGCACTGTGCTATCGTTGGCTACTGTATCAGCTGTGAACTGCGTGAGTCGTGAACGGTGCTGAATGTTATGCAGCCCTAGCTACCTCTGCCGCCGTCAAAACAGATTTTATGGTGAAAGTGAACTTATTTGTTTGAATTGCAATGTGTTTTCTCTTTTGCGCCCACACACGCTCTCCTGCAATACTGGGCGAAAAGCTCTCTCGATGGTCGGCCGCTAGCGCACTGTGGCTATTTGTGTGCGGGTCCTGAGTTCTTGAACTTGTTTGAATTCAGTCCAACTTTAACGAGCGACGGAACAACATCTCGTCTGTTTTGCATGTCTTATTCTAGGCGCGTCTGTAAATATTTAAAAAATTTATTCATAAATTCTTCAAAACAATACCTTTTCGAATGAAACAAGCGTTTAATTGTATTAATCCAAATATTGTGAAAAGTGTTTGAGTGTCTATGAGTGTTTGTCTAATACTTAAAAAAAAAATACAAAATAAAAATAAAAAAAAAATTTAATTTGAAAATTAAAAAATTTAATTGTGAAAAAAAAAACAAAGTGCGAAGGTGAAAATTCAGCCCACATTCTACATATTGCTCTGTTCTTTCCACCTGTCTACCAGCACGACCACTGAAACTCACAAAACTCACGGTTTAGACATTAAGTGGCAAAAAAGCTCGCTCATTTTCATGTGCTGGTGTTATAGTGTGTGATTGTGTGTGCCTGTGGCTCAGCCATCTTGTTTGAATGCTGCGTGCCTGTGTCTGTGTCCGTGTATGCGAATGTGTGTTAGCATCCTGTGGCAAGTTCTTCACTCAAGGATAACAGTCGTAAAAGTACAACAATGTCATGAAAAATATCAGAAAATATCATCATCAAGCGAAAGTATTACATTTTTATGGTCATGTTGTTGTCGCTGGCATACATGTATGTATGTATGTGTATATTCATATATATACATATGTACATCTATGTATTTATATACTCGTACATACTTATGTATGAATGCTTCGGTCCTCGGAGTTGCCAGCTCGTAAATTTTGATGTCCTTTTTTGTCGCCTAATTTTATGTGATAGGCACAGCAATCCAACGTGACAATTTGCATCCGTTAAAATTGACCCAGCACCTGGGCTGCCCATCAATGCAGATGACAACCCTGCGTAAACAATCACCCACAAACATTACAAGCTGCATTTAGTTGCCAGCTTATGCTTGCCATTGCCATTGCTCTGTGCTCTGTGCTCTAATTGCTTTCAAGTGCGGTTTCCTGCAGCAACAACCGACAACGAACAACCACATGCACGGTCCAAAATTGACAACAATGTCAGCGTGACCAAAATATACACTGACTGTATATATATGTATGTATATTTAAATAGTACACATGTGAGAAGGGCAACAAAGACAACAACAACAACTGCCGTTACTACATGTGCGCCCACGCCCACGCCCACACCCACGCACACACTAGCGGGCGGGCAAACGCATGTAACAGGTAACTACCACAATTACGAATTACGTGTGCATGTCTCTGCGAAGAACCCACACCCACAAGCTGAGGACGGGCTCTACGAGTATATCTGTATCTGAACTTGAGCAAGAGCATGAGAAGAGCTCTCTTTTTGTCATTTTCTGGTGGGTGTAACGGTAACACGCACTGTCAATAAAACGACAACTGAAGGAATAGCAGCAACAACGGCTATTTCATTGCCACACAAAATACTCGAAGCGTTGAGTTCGTATTAAATATAAATACTCTTGAGTTTTCTTTTCCGCTAGTAAATAAACAAGTTGGAGTGTTCCATTCCATACATAAGTACATTTAGGACTCTCAAAATTTCGTTAATATTATCTTTTTTTCCATGATGTCAGTATTAAAACAAAAAATTTTAAAAACGCTTTTAAAAGAAACTGAAATTTCAAATAATTGCCTTTAATTTCTTAATTTTATTTAATTTTTTATTAATTAATTACATTTAAACAAAAAATAAGTCAGTATTAAAACAAAAAATTTTAAAAACGCTTTTAAAAGAAACTGAAATTTCAAATAATTGCTCATAATTTCTTAATTTAATTTAATTTTTTATTAACTTCCTAATTTATATTTCTCATAAAAGCTTAACCATAAATTACGTTAAAAATTTGTAACTACAAAACTTTCTCTGACAATTCTTGTAAGATTTGTTCAATTATCAAATAATTTAAACTGTTAAAGAGTTAATTCAAGTATAATTATAAAAAATATCATTTCTACATCGGCTCGGTTTGAAACTAAAATTCCAGATTCAAAATGTTTGAATATATTACGCATTCATGTGGCTCTAGCTGTTCTTGTCGCATTCACCTTTTCAAATATCCTGCGATTCTAATCGATTCTATACCCTTGTGAAGCAGGGTATGTGCAATTAGCCAATCAAGTGTCATTTCTCTTGAATAATGTTTAGCGACAAGTTCGGGCGGAATGCATGGCTTTTACGAAGTTAATTGATATTTTACCACATACCTGTTTAGGTTTCTTAGCATTTTTTCTGGCATTTACGGCCTCTGCCTCTTTCACAACAACATTGGAATGGTTCACTTTTTGGCTTGTCTTAATTTTAATTGAATTGATGCCAGTAGAGAAATAATATAGGTACATATGCTGATCCACTGTTCCATTTGCGCGAGCATGTCATTGTGCAGTGTAGATTCTAATTTTTTTCTACAAAGAACTACATTTGTGTACAATTTTCACGCATAATATTTTGAATAACTACATTTTAATTATAAAAAAAATGTAGAATGCCATTTTGAAGCGAACTTTTGCAGGATTTGCATAGAAACTTTGTCAAATTTAAAAAAGCAGACATGAAGATATGTATGTACAAACATACATATGTATATATGTATATGCCAGATGTGGGACTTTAGGTTTATGCTACAACTGTCGATATGATTCAAATCACTTTTTCCATGTCAAAAGTTAGAGACAGAGCGAGATAGCGTGTTAATCCCCATTTGCATGTACATATGTACATATGTATGTATATATGCTGTGCTGTGCTGTGTTGGTGTGTCCGTGGGCGAGTGCGCAATCCTTTTTATTGTATTATTGGTCACAACTCGAACGCATCGCATAATGAGTGACCTTATTTGCAAATCGCTTTCACCACTTTAAGCCACAGCGAACTTTATCAGCTAAATTATTGAAGGACAGCGGCTGTTTTATTGAACTTTTTCATTCACCATTCAAATAAATAAATAAACTGAAAATTTATGAAATGCTCGATTTGCTTGTTGCGGTTGCTTGTTGCGTCCCTGCGGCTTTTCAGTCAAACGACAGTTTTATTGCATTTTTTATTGAAATGCCATTAGCGTATTTTCGAGGGCAGTGGGCTGCGCAAACGTATTGCACACGCACATACCTATATACATATGTACATACTTGTATGTATGTAATTATGTAAGTGGGAGTGTGAGGTGTTGGGCCGCCCGTGGCGTATACGCAATGTGTGCATGAATTTTAATTTGCATGAAATGCAATTTACTGGCCATTATCATAATATTTATGCAGGGCCGTGCATGTGCTTGTTGCATCTTGTAGGTGTCATACACGCATATAATGGGATATTCAGCATATTCAGCACAGCAACAACAATAATAACAATAACAACAACGACAACGATACGAGAAAGAGCAACAAAAACTCAAACACAAGTGCCCGCTGTGAAAATATTTGTACCCAAGAAAAATAATTAACATTCATGTGAATTGTGATGCAAATATTTGCATGCAGAGCCAACAATGATAAATAAAATGCGAAAATCATAACAATTGTTTAAATTACTGATCATAAATAATACACGCAATTGTGGAGGCAGCCACAGCAGCAAATGAAGAGTTCAAGTGCCGTGAAAGTCAATGAGCTGAAGGCTCAGATATGTTCGGTGTTTAATTAAAAAAGTGTTTTCATGTATGTTTTGGCGTGTCTATAGATTCAAAACAAAAGAAACACATAATGCACATAGTATGTTATAATTATTATATGGCCAGTGTTGCGTAGCCAGTGCCACGCTTTGTGTTCCAATCCAACAATATTGCCGCATTTTGTGGCAAGCATCAACTTTGTTTTCATTGTTCTTCACGCCCGATTTTACCTTGAACGAGAATAACGTGTATTGAGTTCCGTTAGTGCGCTCATCAATTTGGAAATCTGCAATCAAAAGGACAACCGCTCCAATTGTCAGCAGCTTGTGATTCGATCTGACGCTCTTCCTGTCGTTCATTGGAGCCGCAGTTTCTAGTTGGTGGTGTTCCTTGAAGGTGAGTAAGAAATAAAAAATGCTCCAAAGGTGTTTCGGTTTTAGAAACCAATCATGACATACCTATTTCCCTTTTAGGAAAGTAAAAAAAAACAATAAGCGAACATTAATTTTATAGAGATTTTCTGGCACGTTAAAGAGTTTTCCAGTTTTGTATTTAATTTATTTTTCTTATGTTAAAATTTTCTTAATTTCACGTCTGTAGATAAAAAGGAATATGAGTGCCTTTTTATCTACAGACGTGAAATTAAGAAAATCTTAACATAAGTTAACAAATTAGATTAAATTTATGAAATATTTACTTTTAGCAACAAAAAAAATCAATTAAAAAATTGAACCACGAAAAACATTTGATTTCTTGTTGAATATACACAAAATTTGTACGAAATTATGAGCATAATTAAGAGTTGAATTGAAATCGGGCACAGCGGGGGCCATAAATTCCCATCAGAAAGGTATAATTTCTTATTTCATATGTACATACTATATGCGTGTTGAAATCTTTATTTTTCACGAATTATGTTTTTTGTTTTTGGTATTTTTATTGTCTAGCATTTTAGAGGATTATTCATAAAATATTTACTGTACTCGCATTGTTAATCGCATTGATTTTATCGTGTTTGTAAATTATACTTTAATTTGTTTTTGACTTTTTGTTTTGGTTTATTGTTTGCATAGCAAATGTTTTCGTTATAAGGCACGCCGCACATTGTCGACGTCATAAATCAGCGCAAAATGTCAATAAACTTTTTGATTTGTGGAAAACTGAGTTAAATGTGATACACGAGCGCAAACATGCACAGCTCTTTGCTAGATAAATAAGGAAAATGGAATAAATGGAAAATGTAGTCATTAGCATGGCTGTCTGTTGGCCGCACACGTAGGAGGCTGAGCGCGCGAATAATACATACTTATAATGGACGTATAATGGCAACATGTTAGTTATAATTAACAACCGTTTCTGCCCAACCAGTGCTGGCCATTAGCTAAAGCTGGTTATATTTAAATGCCATTTACGTAGCATACTTTTGTGCGCGACTTAGAAAATCTGTTAGACACAATTGGCTTAAAGTGGAGAATAAAATGTTTTCCAATTTTATTTAACTGTTGTTCAGTTGTTGAGTGCGTTTTATTAAAGCCCTTGGCTATTTATGTATTATACTCAGCCAATTGAAAGAATTTTTTCTGATTTGTTTATGAATAATGATTGTTAATATTATTATTTATAAAGGTGTATTTTATAAATTTATTGAATAGTTCATATCATGCGTAATTCATTGCTGGAATGTGATTCTTACCTATTATTCTCAATTAGTTGATAAAATTGATTTGGTGGTACTAGGACCAGAGGATTTAAAAAACAGCTTCAAAGACTTAAATATTTTATTTTATGTCTATTAATGTTTTTTGTATTTATATATCGTTAGAATAAGTAATTATGTTGGGAATTGTCTGGATAGGCTCTTGTTCAAATTTTGTGAATACCCAAACAAATAATTAAATGTCAACCGTTGGGGTATTAATTATGAATTACCTACTTATTCTTAAAAGGCACTTTTAAATATGTTTAAATTTCATGCTTTCATGATTTCGTTAAAATGTAAAATGTAACAAATAGAGATAAAAATTTTTTTTGGAGATATATCGGTCTAGAATATTCTATATCCTGAAAACAGTTATGTTTATTTCCCTTAGCTGTAAGGGTGATTCCTTGTTATTATAATATAGAGATTTATCTTCGCCCTTTAATTGCCTTTTTAAATTGGTTGTTATATGTATTATTTAGGAATATTAATATTCATTAATAAAAAATGTGAAAATGTGAAAAACCTTAAAGAAGTTCTCGTCTGAGAAAGGATTGCCTCCATCTACCATCAGGAATTGTGTGCTGTTTAGCTTACATATTGATATGTCAAAAGAAACATAAATACACACGCACCTATTTGCGTACATAAAAGTACACACACACATACAGAAACAGGAAAAATTCAATTTCATAAAACTGTTTCCACTACTTTTGTGTGTAAGCTGAAAACATGGAAATGACGACGACGACGACGAGGACGAGGAAAGGAACCACTAAAAAATGCGAACACAAGAAAATTGACCAAAAAAGGAACAGAAAGGAAGAAGAAAACTGTGCCAAAGCGAATTGCAAAACGAAGGCAAAGTATGTGTTTTGTGCCTCTGTGTGTGTGTGTGTGTGTGGGTGTTCTAAGTGAAAAGTGCTGCGCGAGCAAAAAAATCTCGAGGCAGCAAGAAATGAAGCATATTTTCGGGGGCGGCTTCAAGATCGAGCCTTGTGCGCACAAAAATGTTGCCAACAAGTTTTCATTTCGTTTGCACCTGATAGGTCTGTGTGCATTTGTGCACTGTATATATATATTTCTATATATGTATGTGTGTGTGCGTGTGTGCATGTGTGAATTGCGGTAGGCCGTCTCTTTTAATACTTTTTGTTGCTGCTTTCGGGCCCGAAGCGCGCAGACAACGCGTGAAATATAATGAATAAGTAAAGTATTTGCTAAGGATTTTATTTCACACACATAGCATACACGTTCTACATATGCGAATTCAGTGAATGTGCGTGTGTATCTCCCGGTGTGTCTGTTGCATATTTTAAGCCGATGTTGCTACGTTTTTTGTTGTTGCTGTTACTTTCACATTTTTAATGCATGTAAATCCGAAAAAAGGCAAATGCGGCAACAGAAAATTGCGAGCCAAAAACAACGAGTTTTTGTGCCATCGTTGCAAAAACTTTTATTTCACTTTATGTATTTGCTGCCTGACCAAAATTACCTTCACCTTTTCGCAAACACAAACACAACCACACTCACAATACACATTAGAGCTGTGTGTAAGACGTGATTAAGAGGTCGAATTGGTTTAATTTGAAGAAACTGTGCTTCGTTTCGAATTTGAAGTTTGTCTGGTAATTATTTATCTGAATGCAATCGTGTTTTATATGACAATCAGGGGTGATCTACTCTGTTTGGAACTAATGAATGGCATTACATTGGATTCGTTGTGACTATTGTGGATACGAGCTTTTAAGTGCCAATTGGTGCCAGTTTTCTCCTTTTTGAAGAAAACTTGATATTATTTTAGCATTATTAGTACCTTCGGGGCAGATGTAGGACTTAAACTCTATTTCTTTAAGTTATTTTTTTGAATTTGCTTTTAACTATAAGAAAGGAAGTAAATAAAGTTTGCCTGTTTCATGCCATGTGTATGGCTTTTGCCTTTCTAGCGATAATTGCTTATTTCCTAGTCTCCTAATGTATAATATTTTAAAATATTGCTATTGGTTGAATATTTGAAGTAATTGACTTCGTGATTGTCAGTCACGTGATAGCATGAAAATGCTCACGCACTCATCTTTCGAGGACACACACACACACATACACTAATCTATATAGTATGTGAAAACAGGCACGAGAGGTCAGCGAGTAGTTGCCTTCCAATTTATAAATGTTATACACCAGTTTTTCATGCGCCACAAATACACACACACACGCACATTCTCACAGACACAAATTGTATTACATATTCACATTTTATGCTGCGGCTGCCATTTTCTCTTGCCAGCTACTCAAACAAAAACAAGCCAGGAAGAAGAAGAAAGGAAAAAAATCAAAATGGCTGGCCCATTGACCGCCCAGCTTTGGTTTTTGTGTGTTTGCTGAAACTTTGTAGCCGTTTGTTCTGCTGCAACCTGAAGCGTCGCCCCTCACCCCGCCCCACGGCCACTGGCACACGGTCAAGTGTCAGGCAAAACAAACAAAACGTACACGCAGCCATGCAAAAAGTTTTATTTTGTTGCCTAAACTTGCACGTATGGGTTATTTTTAGGTCGTTGCCTGCCTGACACTCTTCTTTGTTATACCTTGTACCTTGAACAAAGAAAAAATTTAGACCGAGCACTGGCTTTGCCGAAAAAATCGATATGTGTGCGTATGTATAATTGTACAAATATAAAGTAATCTAATCTAACTAATTAACATCAATAAAACTGACAAAAACATTTTAGTTCGTCGATCCGTTTAACTCAGATTTATGTCAGTGACACGTTAAAATTAATCTTAATTTAGGTTAAGTTGACAGCACATTTTTCAGAAAATATGTTAGCTCTATTTGTACTTTTTCCATACTAATTTCCACTAATTGTCATTCATTGTTTTAGCTTTTTCCTTTCAATTTTATTCACTAATGGTATAATTGTGGAAGGGAAGAAAGGGAAAAAATAAAACACTAGGCTTGCACTGTCATTCCAAACATCTAGTTTAAGCCATCGTATACTTAAGTCTGACTTAAGACTCAGATTTATGTCAGTGACACTTTAAAATTAATCTTAATTTAGGTTAAGTTGACAGCACATTTTTCAGAAAATATGTTAGCTCTATTTGTACTTTTTCCATACTAATTTCCACTAATTGTCATTCATTGTTTTAGCTTTTACCTTTCAATTTTATTCACTAATGGTATAATTGTGGAAGGGAAGAAAGGGAAAAAATAAAACTCTAGGCTTGCACTGTCATTCCACACATCTAGTTTAAGCCGTCGTACACTTAAGTCTGACTTAAGACTCAGATTTATGTCAGTGACACTTTAAAATTAATCTTAATTTAGGTTAAGTTGACAGCACATTTTTCAGAAAATATGTTAGCTCTATTTGTACTTTTTCCATACTAATTTCCACTAATTGTCATTCATTGTTTTAGCTCTTACCTTTCAATTTTATTCACTAATGGTATAATTGTGGAAGGGAAGAAAGGGAAAAAATAAAACACTAGGCTTGCACAGTCATTCCACACATCTAGTTTAAGCCGTCGTACACTTAAGTCTGACTTAAGACTCAGATTTATGTCAGTGACACGTTAAAATTAATCTTAATTTAGGTTAAGTGGCCAACACATTTTTCAGAAAATATGTTAGCTCTATTTGTATTTTTTTTCCAAACTAGGTATATTACCCAAGCTGCGTAGCTAATTTCCATTCATTGTTTTAGCTATTAGCTTTCAATTTTATTCACTAATGGTATAATTGTGGAATGGAAGAAAGAGAAAAAGGAAAACATAAGGCTTGCACTGTTATTTCATTGCTTAAGACTAACACTCGCTGTTCGCAGGCAGCTCTCTTGCAGCTCACCGGCTTGTAATAATATTCGAGAGAGAATTCACCGTTAGTTTAGTAAACTGCATGAGAGCAGCAATTAGCCTGCTATAATGAAGGAGAGTCCACTGGCCTGCAACATAATCAGAATGCAAATTTGGAATTTTTGTTATTTTGTTTCCATTTTCTTGTGCAGACCACTTTTATTGAGTGTTGGTGAACTTTATAAATAATAATAAAGTGCTGTAAAGACAGCACAAATGTTTTTTACGAGTATATCATGTTTTTGTTGATGCCGATCTAATAATAGGAGAGCTGGTTCAGTCCACACAATAGATAACTGAAGTATTCCCTTTGATTTATACATACGTATATGGTTTGTTGGTTTTATTAAACTAGACTCCTGAGTGTATACGTGTGCAGGCTTAATTAGTTAAAGTGCGTTGATTGTCTAATCAATTTGAGCCTGCGGCCTAATTTACCTTGCAACAGCGTGTGTGAGACTACATCGATGTGTGGCAAGCCGCGGCAGATCAACTTGTTGAGTAACAAGTCAATAGACGCGTGACGAGTTTAGGGGTCAAAACTGTCATAGCAGCGTCAACTGGATCGAGAGAGTGTCAAAACACACACACACATACACAGATAATTGGCATTCTTCTGTTGAAAAGGTAAATTACTGATGTCTGACGTATCATAAGGACATGTGATGGCTCGGGACGATGCCAGGCGAGGCAGCATTGGTCATCGTCGCCATGAAGCCAATGAGCGAGCTAGCTTTTGAGGCAGGATACAATTGTATGCCCGAGGTTTACATCTATTATGCAAGAGCTAGATAGCACACAGGGCGTTTGCCCTGCAGCAAAGCAGGATGGGATGCCATGCCGTACGTGGATGTATGTGTTTGCTCTAATGTTATATGAATGTGGTTAGCAGCCTCGAAAGCGAATTGCCAAAAGCCAAATAGGCGCAAAGCCCAAACAATGCAGTGGCAGCGATTGTAAGCCTTTTAGTTGAATGCTTAGCGCATAAATCATTTAAGTAGGGTATTTACATACCACTAGAGCTGTGCGTGAGTGCGTTCGTGATAACTTCGTAAATATATTGTATTGCCAATAAATGTTGCTTACCTACTCACCTGTACATATAAATTCGAATTAAGCGTTTTCAGATTAGCACTTGATCTGCTGAATGTGATTTATTAGTTTCCTTATTTTAGGTCGTAGAAAGATGAGAGTACAAATTGTAATTGTTTTCTAACTTAATGCCCAAGTTGTAGTTGCGTTATTAACGTCACATTAAGATTTAATTGCCTCAACATTAATAAGTATGTTTGGTTTATTTATTTGGTTCTTAGCAACATCGAACATATACTTGCGCACATGCGAGCAATTGCCAAAGTTGGGGCTAACTCAACAATAACACTCGCGGTATAGCTGAAATAAAACGCAATAAATTCGCTGCAATGCGCCCGAAAGTATGCCATAAAAATAAAACAACGCTGGCCTAGTGTCGCAAAGGCTCGTAAAAAAAATACAGCAAGCTTCTCCGCCCTTGTTCACAGTTCATAAGTTCTTAGTGGAACAGCGCATGCAGTTAATAAAAACAAAATTATAGGCCTTAGCGAGGCTCATGAAAATGCCAGCTTCACTCCATCGTCGGCTTTATGTGTACCTTTCTTCTTTTTTTTTTGCCTAAGTCAATAAATAGAACGCACAATTTGTTGTTCATTATACTTTATGAATTGCTCATATTTATGGCTTGCATATTACATGCCGTTCACAGCACTGGGGATAGTCGGCACTTGGATACTTGCGGGCGCCCAACTCACATCCCGGCATTACGCCCTGGGTGCCGCAGCTGCAAGAGAAAAACAGACAGCTCGAGCCCAATCATTCATATTTGAAAATTATACGCACGTGTGTATCTGCGCATGTCCATCCTTGCCACATATAGCTCTGGCACAGTCCATTGTCGGATGTTTAGCTGCTTGACCTTCGCTCAAGATCAGACTGGGCGTTATCACACATTTGCCGGGATGGGCTGCAAAGTCATTTGAGTTGAAGGAAATTATACTTGTAGTTTGAATGAATTTCAATATCTCGATAAACGCGTATTTATTTAAGTACGTTTGGTTACTAGATGATGACTTCCAAAGAGTCATATTGCTTGATAGCGCGGCACTAAGTGGTAAACCTAATAAAAACTAAATATAACCATGAGATTAATGGTAAACATGTACGTGAGGGAAAGTTGAAAACAACTGTGAATAGAAAGTTAAAAAGTACATGAACCGCTTAGTCTTAGTCCGATGAACCTGAATATGGGAAATTTATCGTTAAATTTTAATTTTTAAAAGAGTTAACAGTTGCTTTATTATATTATATACTTGTTGACACTACAAAGAAGTGAGCAAAGGGAAGTCATTTATTAAGTCGTAAGCCAGTTATTTTTCAATTCGCAATTTCGAAAATCTATTTCACTGCACTACTAAACTTTACACTTTTAATAACTTTTGGGAAAACAACCAGCTATTGTTTTGCAGAGAACAGTGCCCGAATTAAAATTAAAATTTGCTGCAAAGACTAAAAATATCTGCCTTTAGAATTGCATATCAACTACAACTACTAATATATGAGCTTTTATAGAACACAAGTAAAGATATGATAACTTTTCTACGGGTTCAAAAACAATGTGATGAAAATGTAAGATATTTGTAAAAGTTAAACTAATGCAGCATACTTAAAAATTTTAAAAACTTATGTATAATATATACACAAAATAAAGGGGCGTTCGAGGCTAAGCTTACAAATAATATTAACGGCTTAGTTCACAAGTTCAGTGGAATCTGATTAGCTGCCGATTGAGTATAAAAGCTAAGCTTCTCTGCAGCTGCTAGCTCAGTTTTGTTTTTTCCTCCGCATTGTGAAGATGAAAGCGTGTTTATTTTTGGTTGGCTTCTTGGCTACTTTGCTGCCTCTTGATCTCACAAGTGCAGCTGTTTCGATCGGTGTCTTCAAAAATGAAGGTGTGTAGTTGCTAGGAATACGAGGATAAGTTTCGCATAAAGGTTGCACATATTCTATTCAGCTCATCCGGGCAAGTGTTACATCGATGAGCATACAATCTTGAGTGTTGGGGAAACGGCCACCGCACCGGGCTGTCAACAAATCTCCTGTGGCGCGAACAGCATGGCGCAATTTGCAACGTAAGTGTGATATAGAAAGAATATTTCTATATATATATACTTTCAAATATCTAATCTTTGTTTATGCAGTTGTGGTTTGAAGGGCATCGGCCCACCTTGCAAGTTGGGGGCCTTGAAATATCCAGATGCTGATTATCCCAAGTGCTGCATTAACGTGATGCACTGCCCGGATGGCGATAGCGAAATTTAAAAACAATAAAACGTTTCATTTTATAGATCTTATCAAGGGTTGTTTTATTTAAAAACATCCATATTATGTCTATATTGTCAATCACTCACCTGGATCTTTAAAAACTCCACGCAATATTGCTGCCTCGCTTACGCCCCAGAATACAACCAATATCAGCAATAAGCTCGACAACACAAACTGTCGCATCTTGTTGATTAGAACACAAAATGTTTATTGACTGACTGATGACACTTTTAGCATTTATATAGCTGGAGCTTCTTATATATATGTAGTATATGGCACAGCGAGGTGCCCAGCTGCTGCTCTTATCGACGTCGCTCGTGGGTCAATTGAGTGGATTCGGGAGAACTTGTTACGTCGGCTTTCAGATCCACTGATAAACACTCTAAGCAACATTTTATTTCAAGGGCAGGGAGGCAGCTTATTGTGTGTGTCTAAGTAATACTTGTAGTTAGACGCCGAGCATTTTGTTAAGCAATCCCATTATAAGTATGACTTCACACTCCAAACTCCATCGGTAGTTACACTCTAAGCAATGCTTTATTTCAAGGGAAGGGGGCAGCGTATTGTGTGTTGTTTATGTATTATTTTGACACCGAGAATTTTATTAAGCAATCTAACTAAAGGTATGACTTCACACTCTCAACTTAATCGCAAAAAACGCGTCGCTTACAGCATTCTGGGAATGGGGCTCTTAAGTCAACATATTCGGTGAAGCGACAACCACTTTTTGGCTTCACGTGATCGCAGCTGCAATTAAAGAAATATGGCTCCAATTCCCATTGATCATAAGTAGTATGGCTTACATACGTTTGTAGCATGCCCCAGCCATCGCCTAGACAATAGATGGAAGTGCAGGGCAGCGATTCAAACTTGTACATCTCACCCACCTGCAGTAAAACGACCTGGTCGGCTATGTCCAAGACACACCGATCAGGATAGGCTGAGATCAGCGGACGGTATTAATGCATCCGACCAGAACTTTCAGCTATTAACTTACCATTATCTCCGTAGTTATTCATGGACATGGCGGCCAATGTGTAATTCAGCCAGTCAAGCATGATCAGGCAAAATATTGTGTTCCTTGTCAGTCGCAGCATGTTTAATTTTAATCTCTTATCACATTGAATGTATCAGCTTCGCCTACATAGTTTCCTAGATAAACAAGGCTTTTAGTCGCACAACACCATCCGTTCGCAGCACATCGGATAGTCCAGATCCAAGTTTACATAATCCCCAAAGTAACAGGGAGGGGAAAGTGTGTGGACGCCGCAGCTGAATCGAATAGTTATTATTAAAACCATAATAGAAATGACCAAAGCTTCCGTTTATATGTATGCCCAATTGTCTTTCGTTTTCTATGATAGAGCTGTCATAGCAGTCATTGTTGAATAGATATATTGGCCAGAATGAATGCAGAAAATCAAGAACGAATTCATTGTATGGTACTTAGAAGCTTTAATTATTTTTAAAGAACAAAAATAAAGTGACAAGGGTAAGATGCTTCTTTCTTTGGAAACTTAATATAGTATAATACATTTATAGAATTTTGTTTGCCCTTCGTTACCAGGAAAGGTAAAGTGTTTTATTCAAATCTTTTTAAATCATATGGTTTTTATGACAGCTATATGATATACGACTAGTAATCTAACATGCTTGAAGCCGATATATTACCGGTGAATTTAAACCAGAGCTCTTCACCTTAAAAGATAAAACAATTACAGCTCTAAGGGCATTGGTGATTGAAACTGACACACATAGGGATCTTTGCTGATCTTAAGTAAATATATGATTTAATGGGTGATCTAATGAGGTTACGCCTTCCAGTGAAAGTTATTAAATAGGATATTGAAACAATTACTAATTGCGTTTATAGAACTACATTGCTAAAAACAGATTTGTATTTGAAATAAACGTTTCAAATTGGCATTTAATTTGTTAACATATCAATGTTAACTATATTTATATATAATTCTTACTAGAAAAAAATGAACGAAATCTAATATAGTGAATAATGGCATCGACACGTGTACTAATCTAAATATTAAAACTTGTTAACAATTTCCATAAACTAACTACATTCTATTAATGATTCTTTAGCTCTGAGAGTTGATCGCATGTCCCATTAACTTACCCTTGAACGAGGGCCAGACCATTCAGTCCACATACAATTTGACGGCAATCATGGTTAGGATCCTTTATTCTCACGCCACTGTTTAGTATTATTGAGGGCGTTATAACGCACTTACCGGGAAATTCTATCTTGCTAGGCAACTGTTTTTATGTAACGGGCATACCTAAATATATTCAATACTTACTCTTGTCCCGATAATCTCCCCACCATTCGGCGGCCTGGCCGATGACTAAAAGGCTTGCTGCAATAATAATGATTGACAGAAGGCGGAAATACATTTTTTTCTTTTGCGAGAGAATTATTTGTTTTTTTCTTTTACGTTAATTTTGAATTTGTCAAGAAGTGACAATATTTCAAAAGTTGTATTTTAAAAGATCGACTAAACTGCTGCAATGGAACAATTGGTCAACGGCGGAAACTGCTGAACAAATCTCGGCATTACGGCTGCTGAATTACCAATGCTTTTTTGGCAGCTATTTTGGTTGTATAGCCAAGCCTTTGTCCACCCAAATGAAACAAAGAACGTTTATTTCATTGCAAACTAAAAAAGGCTATGGCTTACTTCGCGAACAACAACAACAAAAGCATTATTGGTTTTATCGTATGTGGAGTAAGTTGATAGAAAGCTCTACAGTCTAGACCGTGCGCATCGATAGAGATTTCAACACTAACTTCGGCAAACGCAAGACCCTAACACTGCAGTTGCATTTGCAGATCAGCCGCTGCTATAAGAGCAAGAGAGCGCTGTCAAATTACATTATGTTATTGAGAGCCAGAGAGCGCTGTGTTGCAGTGGCTGTCAAATTACGTTATATTTACACCGAAATGTTGATACATACATATGTGTGTACATATAGCAAACAATAATTTGAGGTTATGTGATAAGCAAATTAAAGGTACACAACAGTTAATTTAGAATAGCGTAGCTGTCGATGCGCCGAGCAACGGCTTTATTCCCCGACTATGACTGCAGAATAAACTCATGTGGAACCAGTGCTAAATTTTGAGATTGGGGAAACTATTGCTTTAGAAAATTGCATTCCACAGCAGTTGAAGTATTGTTGAAATGGTTAACACGTTAAGTTGTTATTTGTTTATAGAAGGTATTCAATTTACGAGTACTAGTCCGCAGCCAGGCAGAAATCTTCTGTTTTTAAATAAATTATTGCCGTTGGTATTGGTCCATTCTTTGGAGCAGATGGAGCGAATATCTATAGAAATTAATTAAATACAAGGCGCTGTTTTCAATTGATTGGTTTAATAAAACAACTAAAATAAACTAATACGCATCATTGCAAACCACGACACGTTCGCAGCACTCGGGGAAATCAGCCATAAAGTTTATGTAATCACCAAACTCACAGTTATCCGGCGGCGTAGTACGTTCACATCTGAGTACGGATGAGAAAAAATATATTGCTTTCACCTTTATTGAGAGCACTTACGTGTAGACCAAACCCCAACCGTCTAAGCCACACACAATATGTGCACACTTTCCCGGATAACGCCGCTCCTGGCCGCTCTGTATGATCGCCTTGCCCCGGTCCTCGAGCACAACACAGTGATTGGGGTATTCTGAGAAGGCATGAACATTTTATGTAAAGCTCATGTAAGAGCTCAGTATATGGTTTACCCTTGTCCTTGAACATTTCATAGCTAATATCGGCCTTGATGCCGATAAAGATATTTACAAGAAGCAGCGCCGCCAACAACAACATCGATTGCAGCATATTTTCGAAGTATGTTTTCCACTAGTGTCTTGTTGTGTGTCAGCGAGAATTTTGACTTAAATCATTTTGAAAGTAAGCATTTAAATGCTGTCATATATTTAACAGCTTGCTGAATTGGCAATTAATGCTTGAATGGCTCGCTCCTCAGCTCCAGATTGTATTCGCAATTCTCTGCACCGGCAGCTGTCAATTTTGTATGCACAGTTTTAATTAAAATCTGCAGCATACGAACTCGTATATATGTATGTATGTATGTGTGGGCGAGTGTGTATACATATGTTGATGAAGTTATCGAATATGCTAATCAAGTTATTTAAAGCTGCACATATCTGTATGCATACATTGTTGTTGTAACTGCCACTGTTGCTGTTGTTAATGTGGCACTGGCCCTGAATAATTCGATTAGGCAAAAGCCCAACCATTTCCACCCAATCTTGCCCAGTTCGACGGCGTGTGTAAATATTTGTTTGTTTGTTTGTTTGTTCCGGCGCTTGTCTGCACTTGATTGCTGCCATTCATGCTGTTGCCATTCAGACAGACGACAATGGTTGTTTGGCCCCATTTACTGGCCGGCTGTTGAGCAACTTGCAATTATTTGCCTACCTTACATACACTCTTGTAAGTGTGTCTGCACTTACATAAATACATGTACAAGTATGTATATGTTGCTTGAATCCATACGTACACAAATTAGCGGACGCTTTGTGGCACATCTAATTAAGACTGTCTGTCCAGTGTTGCAGTTCCATCAACATCGTATATAGCCTCGCACAACTTTTTACAAATAAGTTATCGGCAAAGTAATGGGAGGTACATTCTGAAGTCAAAGCAACAATTCTGAAACTACTTTGAACTTATTAGACCATTAATTGAAATGATTAGACAAGTGACAAGAGTTTTAGGTTCGGGAGGAGTACTTCGGCTCAGAAAGAATTCACGTCGGATAATAAAAGTCATAAATAATATTACTTTCAGTTAGTACGAGTTTCGAAAAATATTAAATTTTTTTCAAGCATTTCAAGTTTTTAGCGAATTAAAGTAAATATCTTGGTTGTGTTTGTAAGACAACCTTCTTTTTACTTAAAAAACATTCTTATTAAGTTAAGCCTGAAAAGAGTTGTTAATATTCAAAAATAACATCCTAATTATTTTTGAAATACATATATAAATATTGAGAATGATCATTATATCAGCAAATCATGTTGCTTGTTTATAAGGCTAGAAAATTCGAATTTCAGATTCAATTTAAATTTAAGTGTACTTTTAAAAATATCAATCCGTTGACATACTACTTTCATTCATACTGCAGGATCCACTTACTATATAGCATATACCTGGCTTATTTCCCTGGCCTGTTTGTAGACTTAATAAGTCTTATGGACTGTGTATTGTTCGGCAGGTAAAATGCTTTGAGTTGAGTGAAAACTATGGGAAGGAAACTTAAAGCCTAATGTACTATATGTAGCGCACAGAAAGAGGCGTGGCACACCTCTTATATGGGTTCAATTAGCTTAATTAAAAAATCAAATTAATAAAATATTGTTTCAATCTTATTTTTTTTGGATTAGCTCGACTGGCATTTTGAGTTGCCGTTTTAATTAATTTAACACATGGGTTCATATGTTCACGCACACAAACACGAGCCTCACATATACAAGTATGTATACATATATGCTGACAGAAGCTATTAAGCAAAAATTTGCAAAGAAAATAAACAAGGGAAATAGTTCAGGTGAAAAGGCCAAAAAGGTGCGCAAAAATGAGCAACAAGCTAAAATCCAAGCTAAGAATTTCGCCACACTACTGATACATTCCTGGCACACACACAACCTCACATGTTTATATGTAAATAAATGTACATACATATGTATGTACACACTCACAAAGGCATGCCATTTAGTTTAGCATAAACAAAGCGCAGTAAATTCTGAGTTGAGGTTTTTCTTCTGCAAGTTTTTTTTGTTGCTGTTCCAAAACGATCGATAGTTTTGGGCTGCTGTGTTGTACTCGTATGTACATAAGTGTGAACGTATGTAGAGGCGTGCTATATACATACATATAAGCAATCAACACGTAAACGGAGCACAAATAACAAATTGGCCAAGACAGTTGGGCATATAATATACATAGAATACATGCAGACAAAAGTGTGGAGACAAAGGCAGGTGTTTTGTGAAACTGACACAGCCACAGGCCTAAATTAAGGGTCAGAAATGAACACCCAGGTTCATGCGTGAATTGAACTACTCAGTAGGACTTTATTTTGAGCTTAAAGCACTAAGTTAAAAGCATTAAATAACTTCCTCACTTTATATTATACACTCCAGCAAGCTTCTACAAGTTTTTCTGTAAGAGACAAACCATTCAACGGATATTGTGTTAAGCCCAACTATGTCAGATCACATCATATATCAGATGGCAGTTCTATAGAAATCACTACTAGCGGGTAAGTGGGGGTGCATCAGGAAACATAAAAAACACAAAGCTAACCAAGTTAGACTATTTTAGCTCTTATATCATTAGAGATTATTGCGTTCATTCAGATAGACAGGAGCATGTACCGACGGTACATTCCCACTTACTTGTAAATAGTATACTCTTTTACCTTTTGGGTGCAGGGTGTATAAATTCTGTAAATTTCTCGGAACCGGAACCTGATATATATTGATATATTTAATAAAATATATAAAACCACATGGAAGTTCTGCAGAAGTTCAAATAAACAAAAAAAAATTTAACAAAACAAAAAAAATTCACACGAATTGCTAACCTCCTCCATTTTCGAAGTCGGTTAAAAAGGGTATTTTCTTGGCAACTAAAGGCCTACTGGGTACATGGACTGGGAAAGATTTCTGATCCGCCCATTCAAGAGCTGCTAGCATTTGCAAACAAAAGAGCAAACGTAACCTTCACAACGAAATTGTAAATGCCACACTCACCAAACACATTTTTAGCATTATAAAAAATGAAAAACGCCCTGAGTTATACAGAAATGTCTATTAAGTTCAGAAAGCACCGCTCCACTCAACTTTATAGAAAACGTTTTTCTTAAATGTAGAATAGTTTTATTTTTGATTCCAAATTTTTAGTTCATTTTCATTTCAATTCATTTCAGTTCATTTCAGTTATTCACAAAAATCGGGTCATAAATTGATGTGTATCTATAGTAAATAAATAATAAAGAGTACTTAATTATATATTTTTACAGTTTGTGAGTGAACGGAAAGATTCTAGTATGTAACAAAAGCGGGGGAAAAATTTAACCAAAAACCCATGACAAATTTTCAGTTACATTTAGAACAAGAGAGAACGCTACAGTCGAGCAAGCCCGACAGTGTAATACCCTGTACCCAGGTAAACTTCCGTCACTGAGTTACATGCGCCCAAAAAGAGGAAGAAGAAGAGCGAACTTGTTGCAGCAGTTTGGGGGGGTTGTACTGGAGAGAATTTGTTTTGCTAATAACTTTTCTTAGAATTTACCGAATTGGATAAAACAACAGTAGACAATTATATATAAATTATGTGTGCAAAGTTTGGTTTAGGTAGCATTTGAAATGTGGACGCTATTGACGAAATTTTGTAGCGGGGGAAGGGGGGGAAATTAAAAAAAAAAAAAACTCGTACTTTGGTTATTCTAGCTTTTATAGTTTCTGAGATCCTTGCGTTCATCCAGACGGACGGACAGACGGACGGACGGACGGACATGTCTAGATCGATTTCTCTCGTCATGCTGATTCAGAATATATATACTTTATGGGGTCGGAGATGCTTCCTTCTTCATGTTACATACTTTGCACAAACCTAATATACCCTTTTTACCCTACGGGTACAGGGTATAAAAAAAACAAATTTATAATAAACCAAAAATGGTTGCCCTCGAATTTATAAAAGATTTGTTAATACATCTGGGAACAGAAACAGAATAATGCAAAAGCACAGTTCATCCATTTTGTTTGTAGTGCTGTATTTTAAGGGCGTCTTTATAAAGTTTGGGGCATTTCATTTCTGAGTGTAGGCACAATAAAAGTTGGCCCAAGCCAATTCTGTGCGTGTTCCGTACGCACAAATTACAGATTGCTCGTTTTTTTAAAGTATATGTATAGGCTTATGCCACATATGTACATGTGTATATATGCGTTAGACGCTTGCTCCTGTGAGTATTTGTGCGTGTGCATGCATACATATGTCTGGCGCTTGTGTCGTGTCCCTTTTTTATGGACTTGCTTAAAACACACCTCATTATAATTTCAATGAAATTAAAGTCAATATCAAAGTGAATGAGATACAAACGAATTACATTATTTTTATTGCTATTTGTGTTTTTGCCGCCACCGCTGCCACCCTTAAAATCTTATCCCCCTTTATTTTGGGAACTGATTTCGCATTTTATATTTTAATGCTTTTAATTTTAGCAACGTCTGGCAGCTGCCCCCTGTTCTCTGTTCCCTGCTTGTCTTTGAAAGGCCAACGACCATCTGTTTAATGTGCAATTTCGCAAAAACAAAAAAAAAAATCAAATATACTTAAAGACCATGTGAAAATATTAGCTATAGAGCAATTTTGCAATTAATCTTGAGTCAAACAATTGCAAACAATTTGCACACAAACTAGTCCAAGACTAGACATTTTATGGCTTCCGGACTTCCACTGCTGTGTTGTATGCTTTTAAATCAGCACGCATAGCTGAATCGAAGTGAAGAAGAAGCTCGAACTCGCTGCTGCAGGATTATTCGAAATAAATTATGACGAAAGTTTGACGTAGAGGCCGGCTTTATCATACATACTGATATATAAACTTAGTGGAGTCTTACATGCACTCGCCATAACCTAGAAAACCGCTTTAACCTTTTAATAAAGGGTAACAAATTTTGAATTAAAATACAAAAGATGTTGATGTTATAATTACATTGTATTTGGATTTGCTATAAATAATATACATGTTTCTCCCACGCGCAATTGGTTTCAAATGCTATGTTAAGCAATTTTATCCAGGATTAAAACAAGCGATTTTATTTCATAACTTCTCTTGAGAAATGTAATTACATTTCTACAGTAAATGAGCAGTTGGAGAGGAAGAGAGGA